TAAAAGTTTAAAATATATCCTTGAAAATACTTCACTGAATAATAAAATAATAATTTAAATCAAGAATCACTATGGATAAATAATAAGATAAATAATAAAAAAAGTAAAAGTTTGCCATTAACCACTAATAAGTCCTTTAGGTATCAATATTTTTGTTACAAAAAAATAATCAAAATTTCGTTATGTGCATCACTGGTTATTATTCCTTTGGGCTAATGATTACTTTTTGGATCCATCTCATAAGCGGTCTGCCGAGAGTGCAGGCTGCATCGCTTGAGGGATTCGCTGGCCAAGATGAAGTTGCAAGACGTCCGCGAGATCGTAAATTATGCCACATAAACCGCGCGCGACAATGGGCAGTCAAAAAACCGAAAAAAAAACAAGACGACAAAGATGACGACTACGACGACGACGACTTGGTCACTGGGTGCAGTGCGACTTGATCCAACACTAAGCTGACCGCAACTAAAACGCTCCAATCGTCAACGTCGACGCCGCTGCCCAGAGACCGATCCGCTCAGCTTTTACACTGGGTTGCAGTGGGTTCTCCGGCCGTAGATGACTTTCGATTGGACTGTGACTGGGTGAAAAATCATGCGGAGAGCTTCGCTCATATGGAGCAGCGAAGAGCGCTGATGGTTCCAATGTCGCCTTCGCCGCGGACAATGTCACATGCTGAGGAAAATAAACAAAATACAAGCTCGATGACCATGACTTGTGCGGCGTTAGCAAAAAGTGTTGCATTTCACCCGAATCGCAGCGACTTTACTTTCTTCGCGACATTTGCTGAGCTCAGTTGGATCGGAGGGCGACGCCAGCTTTATAATAAAAGACAGTAACCAAGAGCAAAGTTGACCCCTGAATCAGATATTTGTATGCATAAAGAGAGGTCTGATCAGCAATTAACCCATTGTAGTCTAATGATTACTTTGGAAGTTATATCTTAAGAGTGACTTAAATCGTTTTATTTGGCTTCTTGACCTTCAACAAAAATTTATTTTAAATTATAAAAATCTTGATATTAATATTTTTATTTAGTTCCATAAATGCATATTAAACTCTCATAAAAACGGGTTAAGCTCCGATTTGCCATTATTTTTGTGTCATCATATCGTATTTTGGACTTTACGCGATTCATTCATTGATCGATCACGAATAGTATGAGTATCTTTTGGCACTTGTCAGCCGGCTCTGTGGCACGTGTTGCCGATTTGTTTTCACTGCCGATAATACTTCTTTTTTTGGAACTGCCAGTGTTTTATGTCTTACAATATTTCGGCTTCTTTTTTGTCTTTGTTTTTTGTTTGTTTTTGGCTGGCGTCGATGAGCTAATCGCAAATGACGTTTACAATTTCTTGCACGCGCAGCACTATTTTTGCCCTCAGCTGCAGTAGAGCAATGTTGTTGTTGCTGCAACTGCAACATCTTTTATTATCTTGCCTCAACGTGCAAAAATTTTAAATATTCTTTTCATTTATAGTCCCTCTTACTGCAGATAAAGTACAAAAGTGATTCATTAGCTGTGGCGCCGTATATACAAGTTTGGAATTGGGAAAAAGACTTGAGATTGAGGAAGGTTTCTAGTAAGAACAAATATATGTTTCGTTTTCATTAAAAACATTATTGACCATAAAAGTGCAGCTATCACAAAATTATTCAACAAATGTTATTTCCAAGAACATTTTTGCACTTCAAAATATGTTTATAATATTAAGAAAATTCCCTTCCAAGAAGCATCTAATAAAGGAGTGTGAGATGCATTATTTCTATGCTCTAAGTCTAGGGGCAATGCCAGATCAACCCTCAACTTGTCCAATGCTTACATGTCAGGCCCAAGCCCACAGATCTAGATGCATATCTCAAGACGTTCGATGATGGGATAATATGCACACATGCCTGTGCACATTGGACATATAGTAGATTCCCATATTTTCAGTACAAAAATCCCTAAACCCTTTTTACGTAAAGAGAAAAACAGAAAAAAACTTACAAGTTTGAAGCGCAAAAGATACAGATACATGAGGACAAAATGCGGGCGCTGTTATCCGATAGCGGAATGGTAAGGACCAAGACGAGGACAATGGATCCAGGATCTCAGCTATTCCTCGACGCTGTTCACTTGGAAACAAAGTTGCCTCTGAGATCGAACCGATTCGATATCGGGCGCGGGAACGTGATCCAAACAATGAACGCAGGACATGTGGCCAGGACTGTCCCAAAAACAGCATATATATGCCACAGTGCAAAAGAGTTCGTGTCGCCGCATAAATTAAGTCATTAAACAATAGTTGTAAAAATTATAAAAATATTTCCCTAGATCTAAGGAAAAATATATTTTTGGGTGTGAAAATGGCTAAACTGTTGCTCCAGCTGCAATTTACGCTTGGATTACAACCCTCCGACTTTTGTTTTTACGGAAGCTGGGCAACCGGAAAAGACTACGAACCGATCCAGGAATCCCGGATTCATGACTCAGAGCTGGGGGCAACCAATTGGATTTGTGGCAGACATAGTGGCGGCAGTTGGATAGCAAACCTGGAATTGTTAAGTACTTAAAGGAACCGGGACAGAGACGGCTGTGCGGCTCAATTACATTGGCGATTGAGCATGAAATTGTAATGCATGATTTGATTTCACGTGACAAAGGGACACGACATTGAAGACACTAGCATATGTGGCATAGGGATACACGGAGACAAAAATGTGTACCATAATTACCTAAAGAAATTTTATATTATCCTATATTGTACTATCAAATATACAGATGTTGTTTAAAGAAATTTAATCGTCTTCCATTGCTCTAAAAATTCCATAATTGACTTCAGATATTTTTAAGACTGTTAGATGGATTTCTTTTAACATTTTTTAACACAACACATATATTTTTGGGCTTTTTAAGTTTCCTTTAGCTTAAAAAAAGTTATAACAGTAACTTTTACATTTTCTATAATATATTTAAGACAATTCCTTGAGAAATCAAAAGTATTTCAAGGTGTTTATATCTTCTAGACCCCAAATAAATTAAATATTTTGTGGAATTTAATCAACTTGTAGGCCAACATCACATACAATATGTATTTTTCCAAGTGCTTAAATGCATGTGGATAAGTTTTAGGATGACTGACATCCTCCAGAATCCCAAGGCTCGTTTTGGAATTGGACACACCCGGTAATTTGCTTGGCGCGCGACACCTTTTGGAGCTGGAGTGCATTTGGAGACGGGTGTAGGTTAAAGGGAACTGAGCAACCAGAGACCTGAGGAGCTGGAGCTGGAACTGGCGACCCGTCATGGTCATTTCACTTGGCCAGCGACCAATGTCCAATGTCCGAGCCGAATGCTGTTTTGTTTGCTCGCCGTGCTTTTATGCCCTTCAGCGTCGGCACTCTCTTTTTTTTTTGCCTTCCTGGAAGTATTATAGTAAATTTCTCGCATATCTCTCGTGTGTCATTGTCGCCAGGTCCCCGTATCCGTATCCATCTCCATTTCCATCACCATTTCCATATCCATCTGCGTCTCGGTTTCCGTTCACGCTCCTCCTCCCCACCTCCGTCTCTCGGCCAGATTATTAGTTATTATTTTTGTCATAAATGCAAATTAGCTATGCGCAATTTGCATATTCTACATTAAACTTGAAACGCACACTGTCTCGGCAACTCTCGTTTGGGCATTGTGTTGAGGAAAGACCCGTCTGAAGTCTGGTCAGTAATGTTGGACATCTTTGTGGACCCCTGGCTTTGATCCTATTTGGGTTTACTTTGCGATTTCGCTGTGACAGAGTCGTTCACTGGTTGGGCATAATTTTGAGGTATGAAAGTATATTTAACTTTCCTTTTCTAATCAATATGAATGGGTGTGTTGTAATTTCAAAAGTTGTCTTAAAAGTTATATTATTTTACATGACTACAAAACTACAAAATGTTGATAATAGCGTAGATAAGTCAGCAGAAATTATAGTATCTACAAAGTACTTTTACAAACAAGTAGAAAATAAACCTCGTTGTAGTTTAGACTTTTACTTTTTCCAGAATCGACGTCATTGGTCAGATATGAGATATTTATATTAAGCTTTCTTCACTCTAATCGTCCACTAGGTATGATAAAGTTCTATTAAAGTTAAAGGAATGCGACTGTGACACTAAAATGAATGAACTGTAATCCAACGATAGATTTGTAAATATTTTTTAAACAAAAGTCTTCTAAATCTCTCTTAAATCCCAGGTAATACCCAACATTTTCTGTTCTTCAGAAAATGTGTTTTAGACCAACCAACTCAGCAAGCAATATTATTTCAAAAATGTATAAAACCAGCTTTGCGTAGGATCCAGATTCAGCTTAATGAAAGCTCTATAATTTCACCGATTCTCGGAGAGGACCATTAAAAAAACAAAAAACCAAACGTTGACTTTTGTTTTATGGAGGACTGCAGCGGATTCTGTAGAAAACCCGGGGCTGATGACCACAACGTCTGGGGTTTTGGAATCTGGGATCTGGATGGAGTCTGCGAGGGGACATTTTTAAGTGCAATTCGATTTGCTGCTTTTCCCTTTTCATAATTATAAAAAAAAAACAGTCTGTTGGTTTGGGCCCCGAAGAAAAATTTGCATTTGGCAGTGGGGCGTTTCGGTTTATGGGGCTTCTCTTTTTTTCGGGTTTATATTATTTCGTTTTATTGTTATTGTTGCTAAACAATAATTTCTGATTCTTGGTCCCCGAAACCGAGCAAGTAGTAACCTCCGCCGACGGCATCGTCGCCGTTGAGGGCGTCATATTACAGACGACTGTGTGACATGCCCTCAATGCCGATGACGATTCCAAACTCCTTTGTTTGCCTAGCATACATACATAAGTTTTTTTTTTTTTTTTTTGTCAAATGTCGCCTACAACAATTCGCATTGAATTTCACTTGTTCACTGCGCTGTTTTTTATTTGTTATTCATTTTTATGGTGTTAGTTGAAGGTTCCTTTGAAGGGTTATGAGTCATCTTGCGGGGAAACTCACCTCTGGCAGCTATCCGTTTTGCCGCTGGTATTGTTGCAGTTTGGCCACCGTCGATAAATCCCAATAGGAAAAGCTCCGTTTGGCAGAAAAACAAACTGAATTTGGCTCTTAAAAAGCTAGCACATTTTTTGTTAAATAGATGATTTAAAAATAAATAAACTTAAATGTGTTGCGGACGAACGATTTTTATGTTTTTTGCCGGAAAAGGTTTTTTTAATGGGCACTAGAGCAAATTGCTTGTTAGAATTCTTTATTTATTTTTAATAGATATTTATATATTTGTTTCTTAACATTTGCAGGCACAGCGAACTAAAATATCCAGACTGGTAAATGGATATTAAATATGGGTTTATCAATAGATATAGAAAGACGGCGTGGACGCGCAGCTGAACCAGCGAGCGGGCGGCTAGCGAATGAGTGACTACTCAAATGGACCGAGTTCAGCCTGCAGTAACTGGGGGCAGCAGCAGCAGCAGCAGCGGCGGCGGCAAAGGCGGCAGCAGCACGGCAGCAACATCATAGCGGCAACATCGTTACGGCAGCAACACCAACACTAAAGCAAGTGATGTGGAGGCGCGACGAGTGCGCACGCACACCCATACAAATGCAAATGCACACACACACTCTTATAAATTAAATCCCTTGACTGGAAGTTGCTGGTGTTGCTTGTGTTGCTTGTGTTGCTCGTGTCGGTGGTGGCTAAATATGCAACTTTCCAGTCTCTTTCCCGTTTTGTCGCTTGTGTGCGTGTATTAATGAATGAAACGCCAATGCCGCCGCACCACCCCTCCTTCGAACAACCCTCCCACCTATTTGTTCCTACACCCTGGTTATATATATGAACTCACGTTTCTGCCGGAACCTAGATGATATGGACGTGCCCGGGGACCGGTGTCAAAAGAACTATGCTGCGCATGCGTACGATGTGCCAAAAGGTATTAGCATGGGAGATCGACTTTTGGCCAGGTTTAAGAAACACACAGCATCATTTGATTCCCAGAATAACTTCTTTATCAAAACAGTCTACTAAATATTTAATGGGATACTACATTTTTCTTTAACTGCAAATACGAAACTCGTATTTCAAAAGGATCGATAATATTTTGGATAAGGCTTCATTTTTGAAGTTCAAACTATATCCCTCGATGGGAAGTACTATCCATGACGAAAATATTAATTCTTGAGGTTTTTATTAACTGTCCAACTAAAAGTCAAATTAAATTTTTATATTTAATAAAAGTACAAAATTTAAAGATTTAAATATTTACTATAGAATTCTTGGGGATTTTTTCTGATTTTGGCAATCAGAAAGACATTTCAAATATCTCTAATTGAAACCATTTAAGACTAAACTATTATGACTATTTTCTTGGTTTTTATAACTGATAGCATATATATATACATATCTGCTTGCCAAAGTGAAGTTTTTGTTTTTGATTTTTATTTAAAAAAATACACTTTTATTAAGGCAACTTTAAATTTTCAAACGGTTTTACAATGCCTGCATATCTATGTAAAATATTTTATTTCCAAAAAATATTATTCGTTGGCTAAAGTGAGCAATAAAAATATACTTAACGCTCTACATTTACGTGCATTCAAAAAGTTAATTAACATACTGAATTTAAATTTTTGAATAAAAATTAAAAATAAATAAATATTAACAATTGCAAATCCGCTCAATAGAAACTGAAACAATGAAATGATTAAATTCAATTCATATTTTATTTTTTATATTCTATACAGAAAACAATATCCCTTCAAATTTTGATTATAAATAAATGAAGAAAAATTTCAACTGCAATCCCAAAAGTATGCAATAAAATGCGTAACGACTAGTAAATGCAAGTCTAGTAAGACTGAATTAGCCTTATAAAACCCATCAATTTTATTTAAATTTTTTTTATTAAATTAATGCGTGACTGTGGCGCATCTTTGAAAGAGCGCGTGCGGCGCACTTAAAACAATTTTTTTTTGCTACATTGTCAATATTTTTTACGAGCAAACACAAACCAGGAACTCGAGAAACATCGTGTGAACGACAGTCGTAGCATCTAGCACGGAGAGTTTCGAGTAGGAAGAAGTTATGGGGTTAAGCGGGATACATGGTATCGAAGTTTCATGTACATTCAAATAATTCGCATCGAGATAGATCATCTTCCAATACTTATATACAATTGACCATAAGGCCTCAATGCATGCGTGTGAGGTCCTCAACGATCTTGATGACATCTTCCACATCCGCACCCTTTCGCTCACCATTCAATGTTATCTGCAAAATATATAAACATTTAAAATCATCTCGGAATGAAACAATGCATTTAATCTTACCTCCAATCCCTGAACGGCATCTCGCATTTTGTCTCGACTTAAGTCCAAAAAGCTCTCAATCAGATCCCCATCGATGAATCCCTCGCTAGGCTCCACTTTGGTATTGATTTGGAAATTGCGGTAATAAGTATGCTCAATCTTGCCAACCGACTTGATGATTTTCTTGAGCCGCTCCTCCAGCCCGTGCAAGAAATCATAAAAGTCCTGCGGTATCTGGGTTACAATGCCAATGGCTCCATTGCATGTCCCGTATAGTACACATCCGTTAATTGGCGTGGTTCGCTCACCCACATTCTGCATCACCAGGGATCCGTGGCGGAAAACATTAACTGTGTCACCCAAATGGAAACGGGCCAGCTCTGGCAGCAACTGACGTTCCTCGTCTGTTGTGGCGGCACTAAAATATATCAAAGTATTAAAGCATATTGTTTTCCAGCTCCATAGACTTTTTAACTTACCTATCCTTTTGGCACACAAACAGATTTCCATTCGTCTCGGATCCCAGGAACGTATCATCATCTAAAATCTCAACAGCTCGCATCCACTTGGGTTCACAATCGCGGGCAATTTCGACAAAGATCCCCTCCATCTGCTTGTGCTGCAACAGTGTAATGGATCGCATCAAGGTCACCAACTAATATAAAGTCGCCCTTTGCCTTCAAATACAGGGCGGCAATCATGTTTTGAATGTTGCACTCCATGCGTAACTCCTTCTCATTGGTCCACTCATATAAACGAACAAAGCTACCGAATTCCGGCCAGAACTTTGCCATTGAACTCAACCAGGGCATAGCAAGTGCCATCCACCTTCGTCTCGGCCACTTGGGTTAGCTTATTGTCGTTGTAGTGGAAAATAATGATCCTTCCCACCTTCGGTTCGGGTTCTTCTGGAATTACCAGTGATGTGGCCACCACATAGTAAGTATTGGGATCATCACCCAACTTGGCCGACATAAGCGAGGATATAGTTTCGGGGGCTACGAATTGATGAGCATGAAGAACCTCGAACGTGTTTTGATCGATGACCAAGAGGTTGTATACATCGATCTCTTGTCCCACTTCCGCATTGGCAGCCGTGGAATTTCCACCACCAGGTTTGGGCAAGAAATTCGAGCTACACGTTATATTTTGGGCCTGAGTGGAGGCACTATTCCGCACAGGTTTAGCTCCGCCTCTTCCATGAACATCAACACGTAGCGTAGATACAGCAAACGTCTGTGAAGCCTCTTGGTAGGCAATTCGTCGTGGTCCCTCGCCCAGCGGCACTGTTCGAATATGCAGCTTCTGAATCTCATCGATGGTGCCCAGAAATAACAGCGTTTTTATTGGCCAAAGCCAAGCTATCCGGATAGGCCTGTGCATTCAGCGAGCACATGTGGTTCACCTCCTTCAAGTTCACATTTGAGAACACCAACTTGTGATTTGAAGAGTAAATCACAGTGGGACGATCGGAGCAGGCAAAGACATTAGTGGTGGACAGTGACCGGAAGGTTCGCAGCGTGGTTGGTTGCGTACCCAGAGTAACCTTTTTCTTATCCGTCAGTTGCCCAGTAGTCTGGTCCATGATAAAGTAATACATGGAGCCATCGCCCAAAGCACAAAGAAGATAATGGATTCCCTCAAAGGTTGTCATCAGGATAGATCGGGGAATGATTTCTGAAAACAAAGAATAAATAAATTCAATTTTTTTTAAACGCTTTAATTTCCTACCTCCGCTTAATTTCTCAGTATAAATGGTCTCTAGATTAGGTAGGGACAGGATCACAGCAGATATATCTGTCCATAACCCCACAGCCACTAAATCTGACTTCTTTTGCGTTTCATCCAATGGAGTGATGTCCAAACAGGCCACCTCGTATGCCAAAGTCCTTCGAGACTGCTCCTTTAGGCTTCCATCTTCAATAACGATGTAGAATATGTCGCATGCGGAGGCAACAACAATTTGCGTTGTATTGCAGGATACAACGCCAATAGAACGATCGCCTTGTGGACGCCACTCGGCCACTAAGGCTTTCGTGGCACTACTTACTAAGCGAACACTGTCCGATGTTACTTGAATCAACTGCAATAAAAGTATAATGTATAATAAAAGTCAATATTCCCCTCTGCCAAAACGTACCTGATCAAAATCCACATTTGAACAAAGGAACGTCTGTAGATCGCTAGCAAATCCGGGAATATCAGTCTCCTCAACCTCTTCGCCAGAAAGGGTTAGAATTCTGGTGTGTCCCACAAATGCCAGTACCAGAGTATTCTCATATGGACTCTCATCAACTCCCACTTTTAATGACCACATGCCTTTGATTCCAGGAAGATCGATGCAGGCATGCTCTTGTATGCCAATGCCAATGCGAATAATACGCAAGGATCCATCCTTAAAGCTTCCCGAGCAAGTGATGATCTGGCCTTGACCCTGACGATCCAGATCCACCACTGCAATGTCCAGAATCGGAGCCAGATTGGTGAAATTCTCAACGGGCACAACATAAGAACCGTCGATCGCCTCTGAATTTAGACGCACCAATTGTGAATCTCCATGACGAGCTCCAATATAAAGGAATCCATTGTCCAGGTAAGTAATGCACTCTGGTATAGAGATTTCGCCCAACTGCTCAACCTTTATGTCCTTGACAGTCACTCCCTTGGCCGTTTCTGAGGTGCCCAGAAACAGCATGTACAGTTGGCCATCCATATTACCCAGTAGATAGCGCTGTCCATTGCTGCTCACACGGGCGTAGCAGTTAATGGTGCTTTGGCGGAAGGTGAGCGGTGCAACCGCATGATAGTTGCTTCCATCGTGATACATAATCGATTCGCGCCCAATTACGATCACTCCGCCGATTGGAGAAGGCACCGGGATCAGCATAGTGGCTTCTGTTTCCACATTGTCCTGTTTCCAGGCGATTTTCATGAACTCCTTCTCGCGCAGATTTATCTCGTGCGACTTAACGTGCCTGCCGTCATTGTCCTTGTGTATTACTATGACGGTTGGATTGAGGCAGCCATGCAGAAACTCCACATCGTATACGTTCAGCTCATCCATTCTGAAAGGGAAGAGAAATAAGTTCATTTGAAATATGATATCCGGCAAATGCAATTTTAATTAAATTAAAACTGACTATAAAATTCAACAAAAAAAAAATGATTTCGAAAACGAGTTGAATAGACTATTTTGAGTAAAAAAAAATTTGGAAGTATTGATAAAAAATATATAAACATGTGTAATAAAACCATGTTTTCGAATATTTCGAAATAAAAATTGGGAATATTAATTTCTTAAAAATTGGAAATAAGTAACCTCAGATCTATGACCTAAGCTAATCTGTAAATCTACAATACCCTTAACGGAGATTCACCTTAAATTGGTGGCCTTAAGTTCGCTGGCTTCCTTATCCATTGGGATAATAGTAAATAGACCCTGGTATAAGCACATTCCAATGACTCTTGCTTTTGGATCAATGGCGGCGATAACTCCTCCCTCCGAGGGAATCCCAGCCGAGTCAGACACATTCCCGTTAGCCTTGGTGACCACCGTGATGACATCGTTGACCATGCGGGCCTCCAGGATCATAACGTTGTAGCGACGCGTCAGAATAAAGAGCAGATCTTTGTTGCTATCTGGCGGACGGAAGTGCCGCATTACGGCAATGGTACCATTGATGTTGATCTCTTTCAGTGGACGCAGTCCCTCTGGCGTAACAAGGTCAATTTCCACCTGATTATTTCGGGCAATGATGAGATTAAGATCCGTGGGCGAAGTAAAATTGCCTGCAGGTAGTAAAAATGCCGGTATTTAGAAAACATATGTACTTTGTCTTGTGTAATCCGGCGACCGGCAAACATGCTTGTTTTCTGTTTTCGCCGGGAGACCACATAGGGACCCCCTCAACACCCCTCTTCATACCAGTTAAACAGGCAACAACTGCCGTCGGCTTTTGCGCCGTCACCACGTAGTGATGCGACATGGCTGCACGCTGTCCAGGATCAGATTATCCTTAATTTTATAGGGCTCCAACAGTTCCCGATTTACAAGCCACCACGAGGACTGTGATTTTCGTTTTTTCACTGGCGTCGCAACGCGCTAAAATATTTCCTGCCTGGCAATTAGGGATGTGACTTCGAAAAATACTTACATATCGGTTATTTTCGGAAAAATTTCATCGATATTTTTCGGAAAAATAATTATACCATGTTTTTTTTCGTTCAAATTATAAATACGTACCAAAACGGCTGAAAGCAGTTAAATAGCAGTTTAATTTAAAGATAAAAATTAACATATTCAACATTTTGCTTTGAATTTTTATTCTGAAATGTCCCGCGCACTATCGATAAATTGCTTTGAGTAATGGGATTTTAAATGCATATATTAAACAAGTATTTAAATTATATTTCTTAAATATTAATTTATATTAAATAAATAATATTTCCTAATAATTTATGATTGGAGAAGTAAAAGAGCTTCGGGTAGTATTTTTAGACGTTACAAGTTTGAAATTGTTTCTTTGATTTCATTTGCGTTATTTTTTAGGTATTACAGTGCAAGAAATTAGTGTTAAGTTTCCGTGAGGGTTTATTTACCATGAAAGTGTATTGTTTACAATACAATAAATTTATGGACTTAATTTCATTAAACAAATTTTTAAGCATTATCAGTTGCCTTATCCTTCTGTTATTATTATTAATTTTTATTTTAAACCTTTCGACCAGGAAAGAGAAAATAAATTTAATCTAATATAATCCAATCTTATCTATGTTATTTTTGTTTTTATCATTAAATATTATTTTGAACTTCTAGACTTGCAGATAGAGAGAATTTATTTAATCTATACATAAGTACAAGAGTGTAACTGACCTAAGTAGTGTTAGTGATAAGAAAGCCGGGCGAACCGGTTCTCTTTCGGTAATTTTCTTTGAGAGCTTATACAGAAATGTATACAAGCTATAGACCCATCAAGAGAGCCCCACTATAAAGATCTCGCTCCACATCGGACGATGTTCAGTTTGCCGCTGTTCTTCGTTCCCCAACAACCTCCAAGTTATGTCTAAGAAAAGTAAGAAAGAAAAACAAACACGTATATACTTTGTAAAGCAAATACATGCCTCGAATATTTGATAAAGTGAATACAAATCCCGAGCAATTTTGATAATTAAATTGTTTTTCTTCAGCCTGTTGCCGCGGACCGGGTTACGCAACGCCTCTGGATGCCATGAGGAGTGGTCCCCGCGAGAAGCTCCTCTACACGGTCACAGTTCAGCCCAACTTGGATGAGCCCCACGGCGATTATCTGTCCACAGTCGATGTGGACCCCGAAAGCCCCACCTACTGTCAGGTAAGTAAATCACTTTGACACTTTGCTTAATGAGCAAATTCAATCTACGTAGAAAGGAAAAAATGATAGAAACTCATATTCAATCATTAAATCCATAGGTTTTTATATCCTACATTGATTACAATTATCTGTAAAATATTTTTTTAACCAAAGCCATATTGTTTCGCCTTTAAATGCAAAGCCTTTTTTTTATTTGATTAGGTATTCTTTCAAAATGTTAAAGTATCATATTCTTTCAAATGAATATATTTAATTTGTAATCCATTATAGATAGTACACCGCACATTTACCAACCGAAAAGGTGATGAGCTGCATCACTCTGGTTGGAACGCCTGCTCCAGTTGCTACCACGTTGATGAATACTCTAAAACCGTTCCAAAAAGAGACAGACTCGTTCTGCCGGCCTTGAATTCCGATTTTATTTATATACTCGATGTGGTTACCGATCCCCGAAAGCCAGAGATTATCAAGACCATCGATGGGGATGTACTGAAGAGTCACAATGTCACCGGCCCACATACCACTCACTGTCTGGCCAATGGGAATATTATGATATCCGTGATGGGTGATGCTGAGGGATATGCCAAGGGAGACTTTATCCTTTTTGATTCAGATTTTAATTGTATCGGTACCTGGACCAAGGGTGAGAAGAAGGCTCTATGCGGTTACGATTTCTGGTATCAGCCCTACTTTGATGTGATGGTTTCATCTGAATGGGGAGCACCCAATAAATGGCGACGGTTAGTAATAAAACTTAATAATTATAAAATATTTAATAATTATATCTTGTATTTCTTCAGTGGCTGGAAGAATGGTGACCTCGACGATATGACCCAGTACGGCTGCCGTCTTAACTTCTACAAGTGGTCCACTCAAACCCTCTACCAAACAATCGATCTAGGATCGGATGGCATAACGCCTCTGGAGATTCGCTTTCTGCATGATCCTAAGCGAGCAGAGGGATTCGTTGGTTGTGCCCTCAATGCTAAGGTGTTCTACTTCAAGAAGAAGCCTGACTCCGATGAGTTTGAGGCAAAGAAGGTGATTGATATCCCCGGAAAACTTGTTGATACCGGCAGTGGAACGTTGGAGGATATGGGCGGAATGATCTCAGACATTATCATATCCCTGAATGATCGGTTCCTCTATGTCAACTGCTGGCGACATGGGGATGTAAGGCAATATGATATAACAGATCCCGAAAATCCCAAACTTACTGGCCAGCTTTTCTTGGGCGGTGCCATCTGCAGTGATTTGCCAAATGTGATTGTTAAGGAGGATAAGGAACTAAAGGTTTGTAGTTTTCGAATAATTTATATATTCGTGTATCTTACAAAACTTTCTTTTCTAGGAGAGACCACCAGCTCGTTATGTTAAGGGTCGTCGATTGGAAGGAGGTCCTCAGATGATGCAACTATCTCTGGATGGCAAGCGCTTGTATGTCTCATCATCTTTATATTCTCCTTGGGATAAACAGGTAAGTTCTCTAAATAAAGAATTCTTTAATATCAAAATAAAAACCCCTTACTTTTTAGTTTTATCCAAAAATGGTTTCGCAAGGCGGTCATATTGTCCAGATTGATGTGGATACTGTGAACGGAGGAATATCTCTAAATGAAGACTTTCTGGTAGACTTTGGAAATGAACCCTATGGTCCTGGTCTGCCCCATGAAATGCGTTATCCTGGCGGTGATTGCACTTCTGATATTTGGCTGGCTAATGATGCCTAGTCCTTATATAAAATATATATTACCCTAAACAAAGCTTTAATAAAGACAATTTTTTACACAACCTATTTCCAAAATACATCACTTTAACTTTATGTTTAAATAATTAGTTTGGAGACATCTCCATTTGGTGGGGTCCCGGAATAGGAGATATCTCTAATTTCTCTAGACTCAAAACACGTTTGAGTTTAAATAAAACTTAATTTATGCGCATCGCTTATAACGTAATATGGCTAATATATGAAGATTTATGTTTAAAAGCTGAACTTTCAATTATGATTTTAGTTCTTATTTTGATTTTCATAAAATAAACAAACAAAAAGATGTTCTGCTTATCATAGTTTAATATATTTTAGTATGAAAATTTATAGTAACTTTCTTGGGTGACGGGTGTAACTACTTTTTAAATTAAAATTAAAAACAAAACGAAGTTTTTGGTGACTTTTTAACTGCCTTTAGAATGGCGTTTATGTCCGGCAGATTAAACAGATCCACTAATCTCTGACCACTGAAATAGAATATATTTTGTAAGGCAATGTTTAAGAGTTATGTATAAATATAAACAACTTACTTTTTATCACACGTGCAATCTATGAAACCCCGCGCAACCTCGTTAAGGAGACGTTGATGGTAGAAAAATATATGCACTAGGTAAGCCAAACAACTGGGTATCAACAGTCTTGACCAGGGAATCTTTTGCATCAAGGATATTAACTGAATGTTTTTCAGCTTTAAGATTACAAACTTGTTGCCAAATAACCTGGATAGCAGTTACCACAGAGAAACACACGAAGGTAAGACGATTTGGCAAGATGATAAATGATATTCCACTTATAAAAGAAGCTAAAGCGTTGGCTTGTTTAACGTCCATCTTATTTAAAGACAGTAGCTGCACAAACTAGAAAGAAATCATATTAATATTAATTACATCTTACATATCTTAGCTTATCTAAACCAGCCCACCTTGAACACTCCCATATAGCCAGTCAAGAAAGTTGTCATTTTTGGTCGCAAGAATTTAATATTCCTCTTCATTATTGGGTTTAGTAGATCCAATGCCAGTCCAATGCCCAGATAAGATCTCATTTCTTTTATACCCTGCCATATTTGCCTTAAGATAGGGCCATTCCTTATAGTCCTTAGGCAGAGAAGCTGGTCGGATGAACCAGAAACCTGAATATTTCTTTGTCTGCTGATGATGCATGACCACCACAGAGCATATCATGAATATGAAAGTTTGAGCCCATCGGGAATATACCAAACCGACATCGAAATATCGTAGAAAGCTTTCTAAGGCCTGTTAAGAAATCCGTTTTAAGCCGATTTTCAAAGAGTTACTTTACTTCTACTTACTGCCGGGGTTATTCCAGTCACAAAGAAGTGCAGAACCTTTTGAGGCATCAACCAGCTAAGCTGTGAGGCAATCCAGCATGGCAAATAAGGTACAAATATAAAGACAAATCGACCATTAAAACGCCTGAATATGCACATTAAATAAAAGGTGATGGCATTTATAAAGGCACCGAAACTTGCTGATTGAATATAGTTTTTCACTACAGATAGTATAAGGTTTCTTGAAAGATTCCGCCAATTCATAAGCAAGGGAAGCTGGAAGTAAAGGAATTTAATATATATCACTTTGATCCTTCTATCTTCATCAGATAATCAAAGGACAAACAATTTATTTTAGATCTCAGCTAAAAATTGATAACATGTTTCCAATAGTTGCCAATGAAACATTAATAACTCTCAAAAATTTGTTAAATAGAACATTAGAAAACGATTTACTACCAGACCAGCAACAAGGGTGAATAGTACTTCGCACTGGATACATGGTTACGATAAAGATTCCAAAACAAGGCTTTCGTACAACTCTGACCGGGTAAACTATGTAAAATAGAGCAATGCACCCGATTAAGTGGCGGTTCCAGAAGTTTGCTCGGTGCCACAGCCATTTCACAACAAAATTCCGGACGATACTGATCAGTCATACTCAGAAATCAAAGCAAAACCCATCGAAAATGCCAAACCGGCCGTTCGAAGCTTGCCAAAAGAGATCAAAAGGTTAAAATGCAAAACATTGGAAACGTATATTTAAATGCCAAACATAACAGCTTAATGAATTCATTGCAGTCGGGCTAACCGCTTGCTGATGTTTGTACCGCTGTCGGAAAATAGAAAATTCATTATTTAATGTACCCGGAAAATCGTTTGAACTCACTAGTTGGCCGTAGTGTTGTCTACTATAATGCCAGCAAGTCCACTAACCGGTTGGCTCTTTCATCACATAACTTTGGACTAGATATGCCATGGCAAAGGGAAATATTATATCGCTATATCCATATCGCTTCTTCTCTGATCCTTGACGTTTTGCCCACAAGGTGCGAGAGGCCTCCAAAAGTGCATAACTCAAGATTGTCAGTTTTGGATAGAACAGATAGCTAAAGCCTCCAAGAAAACCAGCCAACGGATGTCGAAGGGAATCTTTGATCGCTGGACTACGGCGTAGATAGCAATGGACAGCCTGCCAGAAAGAAAATATTAATATTGTTTTTGTTATGAAGTACACATATTACCCTATATATGCCAACATAGCAGCCCAACCAAGCTGTGGACTGAAGTTTAAAATGCTTGAGATCCCACTGTCCACTCTTGGTGCAGCTAACTAAAGCCTTGAATATATCCAAAGCGAGTCCGTACATCAGATAATTGCGTATACCCCGCACTATATATAAACCACAATCTGATTCCGAATGGGAGCAGGACTTCTTATCACAAGTATCTTTATCAGGTGCAGGATCTGGAATGAGGAACCAAAATCCATTGTACCACTTTCTTTGTTTTCCCTCCAAGATAACTGCACTGCAAACCATGAAGATCGCAGCTTGTAGACCCACTGAAGTAGACAAGAGTCTGCACAATGGATGGTTCAGGAGCATTAGGTTCTCAATGACCTGGTAAGTGGATAGAGATTAAATTATTTAGCAAGATGGAACTTGGAGCACTTACAGACTGAAAGATCGCTGTCTGCTGCACATGTTTGACTTTTTTGGGAAAGAATGCACAGAAAGCGCCTCCCAAAGCTGAGGGAACGAAGAGCAATGTGGACGGGTGGAATTTTCCCAAATAGTTTCTAGAGGATGGATCAATAAAATTAAGTCAGCTTATCATACGTTCATTATTTACAAAGTTGTTTGCTGATCATTCAGACTTTCAGCTTTGTTTTGATATTTACAATATAAGTACCTACCGCAAACTGCATATGGACCACGTTATAAGGCTGGCTTCGACCACGCCTCCAAACACCAGTTGGGCATAATACCACAGAGATTCCACGAGTAGATCCAAGTCCACAGCACCAGATCGAAATCCATGTTTGCCCAAATGAATCAGTAGCAAAGGAAGATAATATTTTGAATTGGAGGAGATGAATCGGAAGAAGTTCTGGAATGCAGCTTTCCGGCAGCTATGGGGATGGACCAACTCATTGCAGCTCCGCCAGCTGATCCAATCTTCGAACGATTTGCTTAGGACAGCCATAAAAACACTACTGAATATCGAAGTGACCCAATACTCGACAAGGTAGATTAATTTATTTCCAAAATTAGGTATTCAATAATACATTTGCAACTGCAGAATAATTTAGCGCAGTGGGGCAGCTAGTCCACCTCCTCCACAGTGGGATGAGTGCCATTGCCAGCCGATTGCTTGCCCTTGGGTCCGGCATGGAGTTTCGACATAATGGGACTACAGATACGCTGGCACTCCTTAAGATGGTGCTCAAACTCCTCCTTCTCGGCCAGCGAGTTTTTGTCCAGCCAGGTTGTTTCGGAAGCACACTTTATCACGCACCTTGGAACGTTCGGTTTCGGAAAGGACTCCAGATGGAGCCTCCTCGACTGCCTGGCGACAACCGTAGATATATCCTTCGAGGTTATTCTTTGACTGAACCCGTTCCCTTTGACGATCATCCTCAACCTTGTACTTCTCCGCCTCCGAGAGCATGCGATCGATCTCCGCTTTGGATAGTCTTCCCTTGTCATTGGTGATCGTGATCTTCTCAGTCTTCCCGGTACTATTATCCTTGGCATTCACATTCAAAATTCCATCGGCATTTAAATCGAAGGCCACCTCGATCTGTGGCACTCCACGCGGTGCAGGTGGAATGCCAGTGAGATTGAAGGTGCCCAGTAAATTGTTATCCTTGGTCATGGCCCTTTCACCCTCGTAAACCTGAATGGTCACCGCATTCTGGTTGTCACTGTAGGTGGTGAAGATCTGCTGCTGTTTGCAGGGAATGCGAGCATTGCGTTCCACCAACTTGGTCATCACACCGCCAGCTGTTTCGATGCCCAGCGAAAGCGGAGTCACATCAACCAGAAGCAGATCCTGGATCTGGGAGCTGCCCACACCGGTGAGTATGGCAGCTTGTACGGCGGCTCCATAGGCCACAGCCTCATCTGGATTGATCGAGAGATTAAGCTGCTTTCCACCGAACAAATCCTGCAGAAGTTTCTGGATTTTGGGAATGCGGGTGGAACCACCCACCAAAACCACATCATGGATGGCTTTCTTGTCCAACTTGGCATCACTCAAGGCTCGCTCCACCGGCTGCATTGTGGAGCGGAAAAGGTCCATGTTCAGCTCCTCGAAACGGGCCCTGGAAATCTTTGAATAAAAGTCAATGCCCTCGTGTAACGCATCAATCTCCAATGATGCCTCAGTGCTGGAGGACAAGGTCCTCTTGGCCCTTTCACAGGCTGTCCTCAAACGTCTTAAAGCTCTGGCATTACCCTTGATATCGGACTTGTGCTTTCGCTTGAACTCCTCAGCAAAGTGATTGACTAGTCGGTTGTCAAAATCTTCACCACCCAAGTGAGTGTCACCAGCCGTGGCCTTCACCTCGAAAAGGGAACCCTCGTCGATGGTCAATATGGAGACATCAAAGGTTCCGCCACCCAGATCGAAGATGAGGACATTGCGCTCCCCCTTCAGGTTTTTATCCAATCCGTAGGCCAAAGCAGCGGCAGTGGGTTCATTAATGATCCTCAACACATTCAAACCGGCAATGGATCCCGCATCCTTGGTAGCCTGCCGTTGGCTATCGTTGAAATACGCCGGCACTGTGATCACTGCGTCCTTTACCTTGCCACCCAAGTAAACCTCGGCAATCTCACGCATCTTGGTCAACACCATCGAACTGACCTCTTCGGGAGCGAAACGCTTCCGTTCACCCTTGAACTCCACCTCGATCTTCGGTTTGCCGCCATCGTTGATTACCTTAAAGGGCCAGAGTTTAAGGTCCTCCTGGATTTTTTTGTCATCGAATTTGCGGCCAATCAGTCGCTTTGCATCGAAAACCGTATTCTTGGCATTCATGGCGACCTACGAAAAATATTAATTAGTATTTGTACTATTGGTTATTGTACTTTTTGTATCGTTATTTTACTTATTTACTTATTCTGTTAAATAATCAATTTTCCATATAATATATTGTTTAAAAAATAAGTACACAAAGTATAATAAAAAAGTAACCTAAAAATGCAAGCTATGCAAGCTATTGTTCAAAAATCTTTCAACAATTTAAATGCAAGTGCTGAAAGGACCCCAAACACCCACATTTTCCGCTTCTCTCGTATTTATTTATATACAAAATTCCAATTAAATCGCTCACATCACATCATTAAAGGCTATTATAGACATCTGGCCATATCGGCACTGGACAGTCTACGTATTTGGGCAATCATTATGTGAACTTGTGACTCACCTGGTTCTTGGCCGCATCGCCAATCAGGCGCTCCGTGTCGTTAAACGCCACATACGAAGGCGTGGTTCGGTTTCCCTGATCATTGGCAATGATCTCCACTTTGCTGTTCTGCCAAACTCCCACGCAGGAGTAGGTGGTGCCTAAGTCAATTCCAATAGCCGGTACCTTAACCATTTTTTCTTAGTAATTTTATCTCGTAGATTGACTTATTTCAGATGCTGCCGCTGCCAATGATGATTCCAAACTGAAAAAAAATCGCAATTGTTGCCACTATTTATATGGTGCAGCCTTCGCGCATTCTACAAAATGTATTAAATTTTGCTTTTCTCTTTTTTCACACGCCGATTTCGAAAAATGTGTTCGGATTTTGGAGATCGTATCGTTTGTTCTGGAAATGTTTTCCACTGACGTTGAACTTTGAGCAGGCTGCGTTTTTTGGAAGTGTTTTGTTTTTTGATCGATGATGTCTTGTTTTGGTTTTATAAGAATAAATATGAGCATGGCTCTCACTTATGCTGGAAAAGGGGGAAGTACAAAAAATGTTTGCCAATGAAAATCAATAGTTATTTATTTTATAGGTAATAGTTTACTTATAGATTCTAGAAATAGATATTTTTTGTATTTGTGTATCGTGCTTAAACTTTTTCTTAACGTTTTCCCTTCTTTTTCTTTTTTTGCCCATCCGGCCAGGCAAATCCTCTGGACTTAAGAACATCCTAAAATGTTAATATTTAAATTAATTTATATTAAAACTGACAAACTGAAAAAACTGACCTGAACATTATGGCACACATAGTAGGCATTTTCCATAGCTGCATCATTGAAAATATCACAGCCAATGGACTTTCCCACGCCACCTTTCTTTTTGCCGCCCTCTTTCTTTTTCTTCTCTTCGCCTTCACCGCTTCCTGCATTACTAGATGTAGAATCCTTGGAATTACGCTTCTTTTTGCTTTTTCCAACCATTTCTAAACTTTCTTTAGAAGGAATCCAATCGATTGATTAAATAAATAATGCCAGTGCCTAGCAACCATTGTTTACCAACTACAAAAAAACCGCACAACTGATAACAAATCTATTGTGAAAACTTAAATGAAAAATTCTTATCGAATGTTTTTTCTGATTGCAAAATTTTATTACTGACTAAGTTGTTTTATTAGCAAACTCGCTATAATAATTGGGCCACACAATCGATGCTATCCAGTCGAGATAGGATGATACGCGTGTGTAGACACCTTTAAAATATTTAATAAATTTAACATTAAAGAAATAATTATACATTTTTCATAGTTTTAAAGAATTTTACCTGGTAATTCACTGCGACAATAGGCTCCGTAAGAAGTAATGCCCACGAGGTAGTAGCGGTAACGCCTTCGACTTCTATTTCGGCGTCGCTTACGCTCCAAATTTAACTGAAGAGGTCCTCCAGAGTCACCCTAAAAGTGATCAATAGGATGGATTATAATCCTAAGTTATATATTACAAAAATAGTATTTCTCACCTGACAAGTATCTCGATTCTTCTCATAGTCATGAGCGCATATTTGACTATTGAGTATACCCTGTGGAGACTCATCATCTATAGGCAGACTGGAGTTGCACTCCGCTGTTGGCACCACCGAAAGATCTAGTTCTGTAAGGATATTGGTTTGTGGCTGGGCAAATGCTGTAGATCCATATCCCATGGTATGAACCTTGCCATAAGGAATATCATTTTTGGGCCAAATACGCACTGGTTTTACAAACCAGGTGAATTCCACTGGGACGATTTAACTGAATAAGTCCAATGTCATGATAGTTAAGAGTCGAGTTATATAGAGGATGCAGATGGATCTGGGCAACACGTCGTTTTTGGGGAGCCACATCGTCCTCCCATTCTTTGAGTTTAATGTCTCCGATTTTTACCATTTCGGGAGCGGTACTGTAAATAAAAACTCAATCGTACTAAAAACTTCATAAACAAGATTTGGGTGATCTACAGTAAGCATCCAAAAATGCTTCACTTCGATCACTAATCGACGTATATGTTTGAGAATTTAAAAATTAACGAACCTTAATTGTTCTTGAATATAATAATATAACCAATATTTTCATCTTGGGCTTTATAATTTCAGCTTTATCATAAAAAGATTTTTAATCTTGGATGATTTCTTTTTTGATTTATTAGTCTTAAATAACCAAAACAAACTCACTAAATTCTGAGTAAAAGCTTACCCATGAGTGGCCAAACAATGAGCGGCGGTTAGCACAAAGCTCTCACTGATCAGGCTGCCTCCGCATTTGTAGTCGATCTCGTTGTTGGTATTCCGGTATCCCAGAGCGGCCTGAGAGATTGCAAGAGAGAGAGAGGGAGAGAGGATTTAGTTGCGCCCAAAATAACTGTTATTATATAGCAAAGGGCTTCGATTTGCAAGTCAGCGATTAGCTTTTAGTCGTGTTTGTTTGGTGAACGGCGGTACTTTGGCGTTTCCCCCATTCCGGTTTCGTGTGATTTTATTTGATTTTGGTTTTTGTGTTGTGTTGATCTTTGATTATTTTTGTTTGGTTTGCATCTAAGTATATACATAGCCATATACTAACCATGTGTGGGTACTGTCCAGGTGCCACAATCGATCGTCCATTGAAATCATCGTGCAAGTCCTCCGTCTCCGCGGTTTTGTTGTAGTTCTCCTCATCCACTTTGCGTTCCATGTTAAGAAAGATATTGTGGAAGTTCCGGTGATAGTCTGGCGGTGGTCGACGGGGTCTCCATTGTCTGGAGCCGTTTTCCCATTGACGAGGTGGTGGTGGAGGAGGAGGTCCTCCAGGGCAACCGGGTGGCGGACCAGGTGGACGTGGTCCCGGTGGCGGTGGTCCTGGTGGTGGGCTTCCGCAAGGCGGTGGAGGTGGTGGCGGTGGTGGTCTATAATAACCGTAGTTGTTAAAGTAACCCGGCGGCCACTGACCGTTGTAGCCGTAGCTATTGTAGTTGTTGAAGCCCCACCTGGTTGTATCCGGCTCAGGATTTGGATTTTCATTGGGGAATTCCCACTGGCCCTGCCCCTTCACATGAAATCTGGTCGACAGCAGGCAAAGTGTGATCCACAGAAAAAATCTCTTCCAATACGCCATCTGAATAGGTCTTACTCGATTGACCGACTTAATCCGACTGCGATCTTCCAATCCACAATACGCGAAAAGAAACACAGCGGCGCAGGCAAACAGTTTTATTGAAATTCAGCCGAATTTATAATTGAGCGCCCGCATTAATTAATAAAAATACATTAAACAAAAAAAATCAACACAGACAAGGGTTTGTTTTGGAAACAGTGGTGGCTATAATATTGAAGTCAATTAATGAATTCCTTAAATACATTTTATAATTGAAAAGAAATTGGTATTTCGATTGTTTTCGGAGAAAAAGTTTGGCTTAATATTTTCTGGTCTTTTAATGAAAGAAAAGTGGTTAACCTTTGATTAATAGGACACTCTTATTCAAGGACGCAGAAACATTTAAAAACTTTAAGTATTTCTTTCTTATTTTAGTTTAAAATGTGCCCTGAAAAGTAGATAATGAAATCACAAATTTCAATATTAGAATGATAATCCTGTGGTCCTTAATCACACATCTTCAACTGACATGCTTGCATTTGCTCCTGCAGACTCAACTCATTGAGGGTAAGATATAAATCATATTATCAATTTTCTTAAACCTCCACTTTTATCCACAGCTCTGGATGCCCTTGAAATAATCAACTATCAGACCACCAAGTACACAATCCCCGAAGTTTGGGAAGAGCTCCCGGGGGAGAATGAAGATCCCCAGGAGACTGAAGATGAGGAAAGTTTCTTTAAGTTCGGTGACGATGGTGAAGAAAGAACTCCAGTTTCAGAAGGGCTACACGAGGGCGCCTTCTGCCGACGCAGTTTTGATGGAAGGAGTGGTTACTGCATCCTGGCCTATCAGTGCCTTCACGTTATCCGGGAATATCGGGTGCATGGCACTCGCATAGACATCTGCACCCACCGGAACAATGTCCCTGTCATCTGCTGTCCTTTAAGAGACAAACATGTCCTGACCCAGCGAATCAGTGCCACTAGTCAGTTACATTTTAATTAATCAAGTCAACTACTTACTAGTTAACCTTTCTCAGAATGCCAGGAGTACCATGCTGCTACCAGAAGACTTCAGTTGGCTGATACTGGACGGACGTTCTCCGGGAAAGCAGTGTGTGCCCAGTGTTCCGCTAATAGTAGGCGGTACTCCCACCCGACATGGACTATTTCCACACATGGCAGCCTTGGGATGGTCGCAGAGCAGTGGCTCCAAGGATCTGGACATAAAGTGGGGCTGTGGCGGTGCCCTGGTTAGCGAACTGTATGTCCTGACTGCCGCCCATTGTGCCACCTCTGGTAGGTGAGTTACAGGTTCCTCGAAGTCACAACTAAACCAAGGTCCTTTGTTCCATCAGCAAGCCACCTGACATGGTGCGTTTGGGGGTACGCCAGTTGAATGAGACCAGCTCTGCCCAGCAGGACATCAAGATTCTTATTATTGTACTGCATCCCAAGTATAGATCATCGGCTTATTACCACGACATAGCCCTGCTCAAGTTGACCAAAAGGGCTAAATTGTCGGATCAAGTGCGTCCCGCTTGCCTGTGGCAACTGCCGGAGCTCCAAATACCCACTGTTGTGGCCGCCGGTTGGGGACGCACTGAGTTCTTGGGCGCCAAGTCGAATGTCCTGCGACAGGTGGACTTGGATGTGATTCCCCAAAGCAACTGCAAGCAAATCTATCGCAAGGAGCGGCGTCTGCCAAGAGGTATCATCGAAGGTCAGTTCTGTGCGGGATATTTACCCGGTGGCAAGGACACCTGCCAGGGTGACTCCGGCGGTCCCATCCATGCCGTCCTGCCGGAATACAACTGCGTGGCCTTCGTGGTGGGCATCACCTCGTTTGGCAAATTCTGTGCGGCTCCCAATGCCCCGGGAGTTTATACCAGGCTATATAGCTACTTGGATTGGATTGAGAAGATCGCCTTCAAGCAGCGTTAGTTTAATTTAATTTTTTAAATATAATTTTCACATCTTTAAAAATATATTATATTTAGCTTTCAAATGTTTTCAATGACTGATTAGACATAAAACGTGTAATAATTTTAACCGGCCAGAATAAAGGTAAATTCTACAATTAAATATTCAAAAATACTTTTTAAAAGTTTTAAAAATCCATCACAAAAGTTAATATTAATAGATTAATTTATTTAATTTAGTAAATTTAAGTTGTTATGAGTTTAAGGCCACACCTGTTGCTCTAACCACTCAATGTAGTGAACTATTCGGACATATACTCCGGGCTGGCCGGAGGCACAGGCTCCTCCAAAAGAAGTAATTCCCACTACGTAGGGAATACGATGATGCTGATGTCGCATCTGTTGATGAAGCAGCAAGGGACCTCCAGAATCGCCCTGAGGAAGAAAGAGTTATTGGTAGATATATACAAATTTTCGAGAAATGTAAGCAGTCACTTTGATAAATCGGTAGAAAAAGATTAAAAAACTTCTTTGTAGCCCTAAAGGCATTCTCTCACCTGACACGTATCCATGTTGCCGGAGTAATCTCCCGCGCATAGTTGTCCCGAACCCAAGCCATTCACTAACTTATCATCGTTTTGCAAATATTTCTGGCATTGTTGGAAATTCAAGTGGTGAAGCCTTATTTGCAGTAGATTGTTAGAATGCGGGCCAGCTGTTAAATATTTGATTTGATAGGTAAAATTATACACAGATATCAGATTAACTATTAGAATACCAACCAAACTTGGTTTGTCCATAACCCAAAGCAGTGAGTGGAACCTCCGGCAAGGATTCCTGGTTCCAGAGACAGGCCACTGCCTTGTGGGATCTCCTGGCCAATTTAACCACAGCCAAGTCGTTGACTAGGGTCTCCTCATTGAAGTGCGGGTGCTTGGTTATCTTCTTGATTTCAATTTGTTGCCCGCGGTCGCCATTCAACTCGACGCCGCCGATCAGCGCCACAGACGGGGGTTCCCTTTTCGATTTGAAGAAACCCATTAGCATTTCGAGTATTTGCTTGTTGTTTTTTTTCCAATTTATTGTTGCTTACCCACCGATGCTGGCACAGTGGGCCGCCGTTATAGCGAACCGTGGTGAAATCATAACGCAGCCACAGTTAAACATATATCTGCGCTTGCTAGAGCCGTGCTTATGAATCCATCTGTTCGTGCGGGAGGGCCAGCCGAGGGCACACTGTAGTCAAAGAAATAAAATTATATTACCAAGCTATCAAGTACAAATTAATTTTAATTATCGATGGCGAACGTTTTATTTGTAAAGGAAATCTTTGAGCAGTTAAATAAATATAAAAAACGAATCAATTTATTGACTTTTATTTAAAGTTAAAAATATATTTGAAGGCAGAATTTATTAAATATATATATCAGGTTTACTTTCTCTTTGATGGAATCCCTACTGAGAATTGTATTAAGGCTTTAAATTAATAATTTAAAATGTAACAATAGTTACATTAATAAAGCTGTGCTTAAAGCATTCATATTTAGTTCTAACTTTTTTTTTTCTTGTCTTACCATATAAGGATGCTCATTATCCAGGGTGAGTCTGCCACCCACAAGAAGATTTTCACTTTGATTGCGCTTTTGGTTAATTGGCTCAACTAGTTCCACTTGATCTTGATTGGAGGTAGTATTCCGACGACGACGACGCCGACGGCGCTTGTGATGAGCTCTTGGATAGGCACTGGAACATGCTGCCAAAACAGATGATATATTGATTTCATATTCCACAGTATTCCTTAAAGATATCCCATACCTTCTTCACTTTTAGAGACCCTAGGTCCCGGAATCAAGTATCCGCCATGGGGACAACATACCAGCTGATTGGGCCACGATGATGGGCAAAGTAAGGGCCGTCACTCGTGGCACAGATTGCAATGCACTAATGCAGTCCACGTACCTAACACATCTTCCAACCAAAGGACGATCATTGGCCTGGCAATTGCCATAGTTATCAATCGTGAGATACGAAGGAGCTACTCCATTCCAAGGCCCATTTGGTGTATAGCCATTGTAGTAATAGTTCTGTGGTGTCGCCAAGATAAACGACGTTGTCAAAATCAACACAAATTTAAGAAGAGAACTATTTTGCGATCTCATCTCTGATGTCTACACTCTACGGCTGGCGATTGCCGAATGAGATGCTCGCAGAGATCTAGACTCGAAAAACCTGAGTCTCAATCTGAAGCTTCTTCCATTTGAGCTTACATTTTCTGGTACGCGTACGTAAGCACATCCGAAATGAAAAGCCCTCAGTTGATTCATCAGGGTATATTCTTGGTCCGTTAATAAAATAGTACTCATGTTTATACCTTTAAATAAATAGTGACTAAGAATCTTGTCAATTGTCAAGTGAATTATGAGAGCACTAAAAAAGATGGAAACGATATTATGGAGATATAACTTAATAGGTTTTCCCATCCTTTCCCAATTCAAATGCCTAACTTTAATTTAAAAAACTAAAAGCTGTATTCAATTAACATTAATTTACTTGAAAACATTTATTCAACTTAACTATATACAAAACAAATTAAAAATTAAAAACATTTTTAAAATGATAAAAACCATAAAAACAATTTCTAAGGCACAATGTTCCATGGAGTAAAGGTTCCCGCCGCTGGTATATCCAGCTGTAAAGATAAAAATTATTAGATTATTAGATATTATATTAATTAATAATTCAACACGAAGAACACCTACCAAATTGGTAAATTTATCTTGGCAGGCGATTCGTATGCGAGCCGAGGTGGAAGGTGCCTCTAATGGGAAGTCTCCACTCAAGCCCTGATCCTCACGGGCAGCTGCAATGGCCTCCTTGATGGCAAAGAAAGCCGATGATCCAATGAAAAGCGGGGGTTCTCCTACGGCCTGTTGATATTAAGATTATAAATCATTTTGGATTTATTTATTTAAATTTTATAATAATTAGAATTTCTGAGATAAACTCACCTTGGAGGAGTAAACCGCTCGAGGATTAGGAGCACCAGTTAGAAGACTGACATTGAACTCGCCGGGAATATCGGCAAATCCTGGCAGCTTATACATTCCAGGACCCCTAGAGTAGAGCATACCCTGTGGTGAATACATAAGTTCCTCCAAAGTAAACAGTCCATAGCCCTGCATAAAAGCTCCCTCGATCTGTCCAATGTCGATAGCTGGATTCAGGCTAGAACCGATATCCATAACGATATCCGTGCTGAGCACCTGATGGTCGCCAGTCAAGCAGTCGATCTCCACCACACTAATTCCCACTCCATTGGTATAATAGCTATAGGTTCGAGCGTTGGGATTTGTTTCCGGATGATAGCCAATCCCTGGCATGGCATAGAAACCAGTGGCAGAGAGACTGACCCTATCAAAGTACGCCTTATTGATCCACTCTTTCCAGGTGCCACCAGGCAGAGCCTCCTTGATGGGCGCCAATCTTTTGTTTAACTTTTCACAAGCATCCAGCACTGCCATTCCATTCAGATCCGAGCCCACACTCGCCGCCGTAGGGGAAGTATTTGGTACTTTATCCGTAGCTGTCTCCGAGATGTGAATCAGTTCTGGAGGAATACCCAAAGCCCTGGCGGCGCACTGGATCATCTTGGTGTTCAGACCTTGTCCAATCTCAACTCCTCCGTGGGACAACAGCACAGATCCATCACCATAGATATTGATCAGAGATCCCGCTTGATTCAAATGCATGACACCAAAAGCAATTCCGTATTTCGTGGGCACCACTGCCATTCCACGTTTCCTCCATCGATTCTCCCTATTAAACTTAGCAATCTCCAAACGCTTCTCGTTGTACTTGGACTGTTTTATACAATCGTCCAGACACCTTTCGATGGGAAAGTGCTCCAACTGCTGGTGGTAATGGGTATAATCTCCTGTTTTATAAAAGTTCAATCGCATCACATCGACCACATCACGACCCACTATCCGTGCCACATCTCGGATAATGTGCTCTCCGGCGTACATGCCCTGAGGGCCTCCAAAACCACGGAATGCCGTATTCGAGGGCAAGTTCGTCTTGCAAACCCAGCCACCCACTCGTACGTTGGGAATCCGGTAGCAGTTCTCGAAGTGATACATTGCACGCTCCAAAACCTGAAACAAACATACTTTATTAGAAGGGTTGATAAGAGAAGGACCATTGAGAGCCTTAAATTCGAATAATCTTTTAACAGTCATATATAAGATTGCCGCTAAAGTGAATTTAACCCATTGGATAGTTTTCTGTGCTATTTTCTAAGAGGCCGAGTTATGGGTACTTAGAAATTCCCACACTTCGCAGATGTTTCCAATATGTTACGCATACACTTCTGTACGAATTCGAAAGATTCTCCTAAGAACCTTTAAAACACTCACCGAAAAGGAAAGATCCATCGACCATCCAGCATTATTGTAGCACTCGATGTCGCAGGCAGTGATTAGACCCTCCTTGGTGAAACCTACTTTGTATTTGAAGAGGAAGGGATGGCGTGTACCAGTGATGAGCATGTCCTCGTCACGATCCAACATGCAGCGAACAGGGCGACCCATCCGATAGGCGGCCAAGGCGACAGGAAGGGCCACGGATATACCCCTTGATTCCTTGCCTCCAAAGCCTCCACCCAAACGCTTTGCTCGACAGACGACCCGATGGGCAGGAAGAGCTGTGACATGAGCCACCAATTTCTGAACCTCCGAGGGGTGTTGAGTGGAACAGAAAAGCTCCAACTCATCACTATCGCGAGGAACAGCTAAAGCCGCATGGGTCTCCAGATAGAAATGCTCCTGTCCGCCCATTCTACAGGTACTCTCAAAAGTGTGATCTGCCTGAGCCATGGCCTCTTCCACATTTCCCTTGTTCACGAAACGAGGGTAATCCGGAAAGTAGGACTTGTGCTCGATGGCCTGTTCTATGGTGACAATAACCGGACTCAGCTCCTCGTATTCCACTTTCACCAACCGTGCGGCTCTTTGAGCCAACGCCTTGTTATCCGCTGCAATAGCACCCACAATCTGACCATAGCAATGAACCTCTCCGGCGGCAAAGACATGCTCATCATGGAAAACAGGGCCCACTTCGTTCTCATGCTCGGTTAAATCCTTGTAGGAAAAGAATTGGTGAACTCCCTCCATGGCTAATGCTTCACTGGCATCCAGTTTGGTGATCTTGGCACGCGGTTTGGTACTAAGTACAAAGGCCAAATATACTTCACCATCCATACGAGGTATATCATCGGTGTATATAGCTTCTCCGGTGGCCTGTTTCAAGGCAGCTGCATGGACTTTTGGTCTTCCAATGGGATCGCAGATGGGTTGATCACTGCACACGCGCTCGAAGAGCTGGGCACTTTTCAGGACTGGGGTATGGAAGGTCTCTGCACCACTTCGCTCCTCGGCAGGTAAGGCATCCGAGGATATTATCCCTGCCTTGCTCAACTTCAGAGTGATGGCCAGGTAGGCCTTGAAAAATAAGCTGACAACCAAAGCTCGACGATAGGCGATCATGCCACCAGGAGCGGAGGCAGCCAGTGGCAACTCCGTGCACAAACTCTCTGCCACTCGCTCAACCAACTGGTGATTCCATTCCTTTCCAGCCATCAATTGGGAGGTTTGCGGTGCCAACACTGTAGTAGGAGCCATTCCACCAAAGGCCATCGATATTTCCTCCACAATATTAGATTTCTCTTGAAAGCGAACGTTGATGGCGGCATTTACGATGGCTATATCATCATCCCTTCTCCTGGCCTGCTTAAAAGCAACGATATACTGATCCGGAGTGGTCTTCTGGAAGTTTATACCCAATAACACCTCATGGGCTTCAATGACATTCCTTCGATAGCCAGTGAAAAATCCAGTTCCCATGTGAACTGTCCTCTTTTGGATCTTTCCATCCACAAAACTTGCAACCTCGAGTTGAGCACCTGCTGCCGAGAGCACTGGATTCATATCGGATATGGGACTACCAGTCATAATGTTTCCACCCAAACAGGCTACATTCCGGATCTGCTTTCCGGCAAAGTAGTGCAGCATATCCACAGTGCATTGGAACAATCTGGTTTCCGATTCCGGCAGCTCTTCGATTCTCTGGCGGAGTAAGGCATCGATCTCCATCAAACTGACTGCGGCACCAAAGTAAATACCATCCTGAGACTCTCTGATCTCCAACAGATCCTTCACCTGGGTGGGATTAATGAGGTGCGGGTACAAAAAGTGCTTAAACTTGACCTCAACACCCACTTCCGTGTTGCCCACGACCAACTTGGCAGCAGGATGCTTAGACTTTAGCTGGAGGAGCTCTTCCAGATTAGTAGGACGATACCAGGTCACCCTGTCCGAGCTAAAGATCAAGCTCTGCGAATCGAAGGCATCACTTAACTGAAGTTCCGGTGGAAATATAGGTTCCTGACTGGGATCCAAGGGCTGGAACTCACTGCGCTCGAAGAGCTTGTCATCAGTCTCCGAATCGCTTCCACATCCTTTGCCATTAACCTTGCAGCATTTATCGCCCATGCCACAAGGCAAACTCCTTGGTAAACGTCTTGTATCCCTCGAGGATGGGGCGATAGCCAGTGCATCGGCACAGATTTCCCTGAAAAGCCACCTCTAAATCTCTCATAGAAGGTTGTTCTGCATTTCGGAGTAGCGCGTACATTGACATCACAATGCCAGGAGTGCAGAAGCCACACTGGGATCCATGCGCCTTGGCCAATCGCTCCTGCACTGGATGCAAACGGGTCTTGGTGCTACCGATGCCCTCCACAGTAGTCACAGCACATCCGTGCATGGCACAAACTGGTGTCAGACAAGCATTGACCGCCAGGTGACGGATTTTATTGGCACGACGGTCCAGACGGGATACCATCACGGTGCAGGCGCCGCATCCTCCTTCCGCACATCCCAACTTCGTGCCGCATAGTCGAAGCCTTTCGCGTAAATATGTGAGGAGCGTGCATTCTGGATCCGGACTCACTTCCGTTACCTGAAATTTAAAAGATAAAATTTTTCAAGTTAAATTATTTAAAAATCAAAAACAAAACCTGTGACTTGTTTTAAACTTTAAAGTTTAAACTGTGAAATACAATTAGCTTGCCAGCCCTATTCAAACAAAGACTGATATCTATCACTATCAAATGCCGACCCACGAGCATCAGGTAATTTATTAGCATTCCACTTGTGCGCAAAGTGTGAGAGTAATTTAGAAGAACTTTTATTGCACTTTTCTAATACCAGTTGCTAAATATGACTGACTGGCTTTATCTAGATAATCCGCCCAAAGTTTACTTAATTGTGCGCCACAATGTAAACATTGTAGAGCCAGTTGGTAAATGTGGATTAGAAGGCCTGGCTATCTGACAAACCCACATTCCCATGGCAATAGCGATTCCGTGTGAGACTGCTCCCATTCGATTGGCAACGATCTTGATAAGGTGATAAGAGGGCCACCAGCAAACAACGATCCTCTACATAGGGGTCAATTGTTATCAGCACTGTATGCTCAATAAAAACTATAGAATTTCCAATTGAGAAAGACGTTAAATTCCATAAAGTGCCAGTTAAATGCAATTAAGGCAATAAAACAATGGAGAAAATCGATACATAAATGGGTTCACTTCAAATGACTCTTAAGAAACACGCAACGTATCTAAGTATCTTGAAGTATGTACTACCTTTTTTCCATTCACAAAAAACACCAAAGTCGAGGTTGTTTGTTTGCCAGACATCGTATCTCTCAGTACCAATGCCTATATAAGTGATAGCAGCCTGCAATTACTGATCGTTTACATATATGGGAGGTACGTTCTTTGAATGTAAAACGAAAACAAGTTTTTAAAAATTAGAGAACCGAGAATCGAGAACCTCATGCGACCGCCTTATATAAAGAAACACAACAGCCTCGCGCCGTTAACGAAAACGTAATGAATGTGCCAACGACCGAGCAATCCATCCAAACGCAAACTTTTACGAGATAAGACTGACCGAATGCTCGACGAACTGCAGGATCGCCTACATGTGTGTATAAATAACCCCATGTCTCTGGGTTTCGGGGCGGGAGTTCTAACATCTATCATCTCGGATGTTAGCTAGCGCTGGTCTCATAGATCGAAGTAGTCAGGTAGAAGGCAAAAACTGACGGATAGCACTTATCATCTTTCAACCGTTTTTCAATCTATCATCTTTACTACCTTTTCATGTGAAAGATATATTTGCCACTTGGAACCGATAACATACCTTTGAAAACTATTAACTTCAACTTGAGACGGTGAGTTTTTCATAATTAAATCCTATCTAATCTTTCTTATTTAAGATAATTAAAATAAATATAAACAAAAATAGTTCTCTAAAATGTTTAAATCAAAGTTGGAAGAAAATCCGCTGTTTTACCTTTTTATTAGTTTTTAACACTCCCATTTAGCTACGCTTAAAGCTGTAAGCAGTAAATAATATTTAATAGGGCATTACTTAACCTTTTCAAGTACCAACTTGTTGTTATAATAAAATATCTTTTAAAAACATTTCCAGTATTTAAACATTCCATCTTATAGAAATAAATTAATCCTTTAAAAGAATCCATTGTCTAATTTGGTGACTTTTCTAAAAATGATATAAAAAGATAAGAGAAAAATAAACCAGTTTTCAATAGGTTCAATGTTCTACAAAATCTGTCAGGTTTAAATCAAATGAAAAATACAATAAAAATCAACAGGTTTTAGGAAATTTATAAGCACTCGACTAGCAATAAAAATGATGGACAGATTTCGGTTGAAGACGTTAACATAATTAATTCCCAATCTGGGTTAATAAAACACATCATCCATTAGGTTAAAGCATAAATTACTTCCAAGTAAGATTGCACTTACAATGTAATATATTGACTATTATAAAACTGTTTAGTAACAAAAGGTATTTAACAATACCCAAATAATTTGGTATCCGAGTACAAAAACAAGAATAGAAGAGGTATAGATGGACTGGCTTATGCTACGCCGACTTAAGATCTAAATTCCTCTCGACTTCGGTGCCCTCGTATAAGGCTTGTCGTCGCATAGCCTCCCGCAGTTGTTGCTGCTCGAATCTCCTCGAGGACCACTGATATCTGAGGGTTAAACATATGTTATCAATACAAGATCCCCTACGGATTAAGCTAAAACAAAGCACTTACCTGCACGACATCCAGTAGGCAATGGTTCCGCAGAAAAAGGATCCGAATCCCACGTGGGTGGAGAGATGGGTTCGCGAGGTTCCCAGAAAAGTTAGCAAGCCGATTCCAATTCCTCCACTGATTCCATAGAGAAAACTGTTACGAAAGCACGGGATTTGCGCCACATCACGGCCGAAGATAACGAAGCTCTAAGGGAGAAAAATGGTATATAGAGTCTATTTTAGGGAGTCCTTTGCTTAATAAGTTTATGTAATGCCCACCTTGGCGGGTTCCTCGGGTTCTTCAGCCATGCCGAAATTGCAATTTAAAAAATCGTGCTGGTAAGCAAAACAAAACAAAAGTGTTACCCTAATTTAAGTATTAAAAAATACCATCGGAATTACACTAGGGATATTCCAAAGGAAGAATTTTAAACAAATTTAATAATTTATAAAAATGTACATAAAAACAGTATCTGTGTATTAAAATATTCTTATTTACTATTCGTAAGATACATTTTATTCAGATCTTTTAATTTAATAATGAAATCAAATTGTAATTGTTATTTGAAGTTATAAGACTAACAGTATAAGACTAACTGTTGTACTGGACTTCAATTGTCAACAGAGCACTTTTGTTGTGTTCTTAACATTTCTTAACACTCTGTTAAACGCATAATGTTACCGCATTTTGAAATCTTGAAAATCCCAAACGCAAAAAGTACAACAATAAAATTCCTGCCCACAACAACCTCCAACGCTAGGAAGAAGAAGAAAACGACAAATTGCCACAGTCACAATTTAATTTCTTTAGTTTTTTGGGTTTTTATTAAATTTAAGAGCACGCATCATAAAAAGGCAATCAGCGACAGCCGAACTGAGAATCAGCATATAAACGTCAATTAAGGCTTTGGCTGATGCACTCCAAATATTCAGCAGTGCAATAACACTAAACCCACACGAAATACAAATTTTCAGGTAAGTAAATAGAAATCCTAGAATGTTCAGGTGAATTTATGAAAGGCGAGGCTATACAAAACAAATAGATGTATAGCCTGGACATTAAAGTCAGTCGGGGAAATCGAGACTGCTCTAAATCATCTGGAAATGTACGACACGTAGGCAGAAAAGTGATACAAATTTGCAGTTTGCAGAGAGTAAAGCAACGTATTATCTATATATAAGTCTCTGATAATCGCTCTTCAACTTTCGTACTCCACAGTTCTTCGCCAGATGTTCAAACGTCGCCTCGCCATCAACCGAAACCGAAACCGAAACCGAAACCGAATTTCAACGAGCAACCCAATCTTCGAAGCTTCCAACTAAACTCCACCATGGACGTATCCGCATCCACTTCATTTGAAACCTCGCCAGATAAACGGAACAGCACCTACGTGGGGGACAATACTTTATATGACAGTGCTCTGGATCACCAATTGTCCACAACGGCTTACAAGACCTGTAATGGTAAGCAGTCAACCCAAACCAAAGCCTTCAAAACAAATAGGATCCAGTCGACAGAGGAGCAGGTGGACCACATCTCTAATGAGAAAGATTCTCCTGCCTCTAAGAGCTATGAAACGGAATGGAATAAATACTCTGAGGGCTGTATGGGCGATGAGAATCCGGGGGAGACCCAGTCAGAGAATCAAATAGATAAGATTTTCCAACTCATTCGCTGTCTTCCTGAGGATACCAAAGACTATGACCTGTGCAGACGCTGGCTGGACGCATTCCAAAACTCCAACAATCTGGAGAAGCATTCGGTTCAGCGCCTGCTGCGAAAAATGGAATACCAGTTAATCACAAGTGGCCATCTAAGTGCTCCTTTCACAGATCTCACCAATTTGGAGAATCTTCTAAATGAAACCACCAATGATACCTCAGACTCAGAGGCTCTTTCTTTTCAAAAAACCCTTAAAGAGGAGCATGATCATCTGGAACGAAAGATTGAAGTTCTAAAGCTTAAGCTGGCTGCGCTGCAAATCAAAACGAATCATCAGCAACAAAAGCTAAGGAAACTTAATCTGCTAAATGACCAAAAGTCGAACTTCAGTAAGAATATAAAGAAAACCCTAATGATGTCAGCTCGCCAAACTCTGCAATCCCAAGTTCCAGAGACATTTCCAACTAATTTCATATCACAAATCTTTGTGGCATTTGCAGGGGATGAAAAACTTATTAATCACTTCAAGACCTTGGACTACGAGCTAAAGAAAATTGTGCAGAAGATAGCCATTCATGCCTACGAACGGCAGAAACCTTCGATAGAAGCTATTATCAGTGAAAAGTTTAGGAAACTGAAGTACAAACTAATTGATAAATATGAAAATCAGTTGGCAAAACAAGAAGAAGGCCAGCAAAGCAATGCCTTAGCCATGCAGCAAAAGTGTTTCAATCTTTTAAAGCAGTTCTTAATGACAGACTGTCCAGATGAAAGTTGTGGAGAAGACTATTTAAAGAATCTGGAAGTCCTATATGAAAAGGAAATCTCAAAAGAATAGTTTATATTTTCTACAGACTCACGATGACATATAACATATGCAAGAATGAAATTTATTACAAGAACTTAGCAACATCTCATTTAAGGACAAAATCCAATACACAATTTATATATATTTTTCTGTTATATATTAGTAAATTATCTTGATGAACTCATTTATTTTTATTTCATTTCAATCCCCAGAGAGCCTTATCAACGAACTGAGCCAAAATCCATCGGGTCCTTTGAATTCGACTAACAAAACAGCTAATGCAGATTTTGGCAATGAATCGGCTGTCTTCAAGGCCTTTGGATCCCCGGGGCCGGCAGCTTTCAATAGTCCCACGCCAGCTCTCAATGCCAGCATGTTGTTGATTCAATCCGAGAGCACTGACACAAATACCTCGCAGGAGGAGGTGGACCCCAAGTCGCAGCTGGCCAACAAGACAATATTTAAGACGGATAATCCCAACTTGTCAATTATAGAGATTAACGATAACTCGATTAAGGAGGAGGACCTCGAGAAGGTGGTTCTGGTTGAGGGCGATAGCGTGAAGAACCTTCTTAAAAAGTCGCCTAGTAAGGACATTTCGGCAAATGCAGACAAGAGACGCCGCAAGGAGTCACTCCTGCAGACGAGCAAGCAGAAATTGGACATTTCGATTGCCGAGGCCTCAGCTGCCGCTGATGGTGATGGCGAGAAGCGGGATCTGGTGCCGGCCATCGATCAACCGCAGACCAAGCGCGAAATCACAATATATGATACTATCGAGGAGTTCGAGCAGAATCTCCCATCGACGGTGACGCTACTGAACACGCCCTTTGGCAGTAAAGTTTATCTTGTGGGCACGGCCCATTTTAGTGAGGAGTCGCAGGATGACGTCTCATATGTAAGTCCTTTTAATATAATCTTAAAAGCGATGGATAACCTTTTTTGTGATCCTAAAGGTCATACGCAATGTCCGTCCAGATGTGGTCATGGTTGAGCTGTGTCCATCGCGTATACACATCCTGAAGCTTGATGAGAAGACGCTGTTGGAAGAGGCCAAGAGCATAAATATTCCCAAAGTAAGGATCCCAACTAAACTCTACTAAAACTGAAAGAAAAAAACTAAGCTGCAATCTAAAAACTCCTCCTTAGATTCGCGGAATCCTGCACACTCATGGCTACATCAACGGCATCTTCTTTATCCTGCTGCTGCAGATGAGCGCCCAGATCGCCAAGGATTTAGGAATGGCGCCGGGTGGAGAGTTTCGTCGTGCCTTCGAGGAGATACACAAGTTGCCCGGCTGCATCCTGCACCTAGGAGATCGACCCATCCGCATTACACTGTACCGTGCTCTGCGGGCTTTGTCCTTGTGGCAGACCATGAAGCTGGTCTGGCGTCTGACCTTTACGGACAGCATCAGCATCGAGGAAGTGGAGGAGTGCAAGCAGAGCGACCTACTAGAGAAGCTGATGCAGGAAATGGCCGGCGAGTTTCCAGCCTTCTCAGATGTTTTCGTGCGTGAGCGCGACCTTTTCCTTTGCCATTCGCTGCAGCTGGCTGCACTGCCTCAGGCGGCACCAGGTGCCCAGCAGATCCGTCCGGTGCGTGTGGTCGGAGTTGTTGGCATCGGTCATGCCAATGGCATAGCCAAGATGTGGGGCACTGTGGATCCCAAGAAGATTCCGGCCATTCTCGAAATTCCGCCGGCCAGCCTAGGCCAACGCATCTGCAAATATACGCTGAAATATGGCTTAATTGGTCTTGGATGCTATGGTGCGTTCCGCTTTTTCCGGCCGCGCCTGACCCGCTTCTTTTAGATGGATAATTGTGGACCAAGTAAGAGCCGACTGTATCCCCGTTCGTCTGCTACGTTGTTAATTTTGTTTTTAGTAATTAACGTATCCCTGCGCTGATTTACACACTTAAGCGAACGCAGATGGAGAGAATTAGTTGTATTGTATTTTATTGTAAAATGATGTTTTGATAGACTCGTTTATATACGAAATATATATCCATGGATGTATATATATACCTGCATACACATACATATACTACTAAATAACACAAACAGAAAAGACCATTTACACATAATCTTAGTTTTAGAAGTACCGAGTTCTTAGAAAACAATCGGGTTTGTTCGGATTATACACTTACAAATTGTCAAAATGTCCCCTCATAATTGTATTTAATTAAAATTTGTTGTTTTACCAAACAAGATTTAATGTAACAGTTCGAATAAGTTTTAATTCAAATTTGAAATGCATGTAAGAATCGTAAAAAAAAAACCTATAAATGGGTTTATCACATTGTTATTGTCCACCTGATTGTTAAAAAGAAAGAAAAGAACCACATGTATATGAAACTAAGTTTTGGATAGTTAAGGCATCGTATTCCATGTTGTATGTACAAGGTTTCCTAGCAGGCCTGGCTTGTGTGTTAGGCTCGAGAATGAAATGTAAATTCCACGAAAGAACTACTACATATAGAACCCGCCTCTGCATTTGCATTACTTTATCTTCCACACCTAATCATTAGATGTTGTTCATTCCGTAGAGAAAATCTAAAACAAAAAAAGAACTTAGCTAGTAGTGTTGAAAAATAAGGGAATACGTGATGGACCTTCCAATGGCCGTGTGTTACAAATACATAACTAAATGCTAAACAAAGAGGAATTTTAAAAAACGAAAACCGAAACATACCAACCCTACATGTACTTTATTACATATACTATATACTATATCTGAACGTTGTAAACGTACAAAGAAATGTTTAACAAATACAAATACCAAGCGAACTACAAGCAGTCTGTATTTGCAACTTGGACGCATGATTATTAGCTGCGTAGATTTGCTGATCCGTAAAATGGTGTTATATGTAGCATTTAGAATAGAACTTACCACCCGAAGCAAACGAGCCTTTGTTTGTAACCGACTCAAATAAATGTACTATATGTATTCCATTCGATAAAATGTGTTTTACTCCCCCTAAACTCTATTGAAATACAGGTGTTTTCGCTTTTCTTTTGTTTTGTTTTGTTTTTTTATTATGTACTTTAAACGTATCTTAGCACTAAACGTCTCTCTTGTGTTGCTTTTGTTTTGTTTCTAGTGTTTTCTTTTTGTTTTTTGTTTGTATGCCATAATTGTGTTTGTTTTCTCGTAATTAAAATTTTCCAACATTTGCATTTGTTTTTGCGCTTATATGTAGTAACATATTTTCACTTACAATTTGCTGCAATACAAATAAAAATCTTAAAGTGTAACTGTAAAATTCTAAATAGTTACAAATTAAATATCTAAATATGTAGTAAATTTTGAGGCGTGTTGTGTGTGTGTGTGTGTGTGGGATCATCATATTATCATACTGCTCCTCCTCATCGTTTTCCTGCGTTGTTGTTTATTATTATTTTATTTTGTTGGTTTTTGGGGGATTGGTAATGCAAATATGTATTGTATTTAAATTAAAACATAGAAACTTGGAAAAATTCAAATCAAGCGCTGGCACAGGCGCGCAAGGAGTCCGTTTTAACAACCGGAACAAAAGAACAACGGCACGGATATAGGGGACTTCACTCCACACACTTGACAGATGACTACTGATTGGGTTGTTTTTTCTCTTGAATTTTAATCCTTAGGGATCCTTGGGGGTTTCCTTCTTATAATTTTTTTTTTGTAATCCTTAGGGTCTCCGGCTCCTTCGCCGCCTCCTTCCGTTGGCCAGTTGTTGTGTGCTGGAATCCATTGCGCCGCTGCCCGTTGTCATCATCAACTCCAGCTCTCCTCCTCCAGCTCCGGCCACTTTTTGGACAGCAGATGCCTACGGCGCCTCCGATGACTCGGCCTTCACCTCCGTTTTTATGCTCGATGACAGATGATTATTAGGGTCGGGCGCACTCAGGGGCTAAAAAGCAAGAGGTGGTCAAGGATTAGCAACTCGTTTTATGGGAGCACATACAGTGAGCAAATGTCCTAGCCTAGCCAACACACTCAACTACAACTAACTAGCAACAACAAACACGGACTAGAGCTGGCAGAACCACGTACACGATTACCAAAACAACAGAGGTGTATCTGATGAATCTCGCAACTTGGCTAGCTAATAATGGCAATAACAACTTTTTGGCAAAACAACACACACAAACACAAGACAACAGAACAGGATTTTTGTTTTGGATTTGACATTTTTTTGTTTGGTTTACCTACCGATTGGCTACTCACAATTCCAAGTGGCAATCCACCGACCTGGGGCGACAAGTGCGGCGGAACCGGTGACGGCAGGAGGGCGGCGGCGGCTGCCGCAGCGGCAACGGCTGCAGCGGCAGCTTGAGCGACTGTCGTCGGACCGGCTCCTACGGTGCTGCCCAGGTTGGTTGTACTGTGGGGGCCATCGTGCGGCGTGGTGCTGTGTGCCCGGTGATGCAGTGCGCCTGTATAATAGCCGCCATTTAATCCTGGATTGTATTTCGATTTGGTTGGTATTTGTATTTTGGTATTGGTATTGGTTGAAAGTTAGGTAAAGATTATGAAATGTTGCTGTTTGGTTGGTTGGTATTATGTGTTTTTTATCGGGTTCTGAAGGTTCTGAGTTGCCGAGTCAGTGTAAAATCAGGGGGACTATTATATATATATATGTATATATATATATATATATCTGAGAGAGAAGACTTGGGTTTGGTTTTTGGTGATGCAATGATTAAAGAGGAACAGATATACGCATACCGATTGATCTCAATCTCGATCAAAATCAATATCGTGGCCTTGCGATCCTTAGAGCTACATACAAATTGGCTAAGGCTAAGGCTACGAGGATAACACGGCTAACCAGCGATTCCATTCATTACTGACTTTCGCCGTAACGTATAAATTTTTTATCTTAATGTGCTCTGTGCTCTCTGCTCTGCTGCTGCTTGTGATCAATGATGCCATCATCCCAAATCGATTGATTATAATAATAAAACAATTTGGCGGGAAAAATAACATTGCAAACAGTCTTGCAAACAAACACTGCCACACATAAAGAAATTTAACAGCTTCCAATTTAGCAAGTTAAAACAATAATGGGTTCATTAAAGATTTTGTTTTATTTGTTTTTATCCTTTTTTGTTTTGTTTTCTTTTTTTGTTTTGTGTTCATTTTTTCTGGAAAGGTTTTCTTGGTTTTTCATCAAATCAACTTCTCCGTCTCTCAACTTTTTGTTTTTGTTTCGTTTTTGTTGCTTCATATATCGTCAATTGTTTACGCTTTTAATTTTATTTAGCTTTCACAGTTATTAAAAATATCCTTTTTATACATTACAAAATAACAGTATTTTATTCTTTTGTCTCGTTACTCATTACTTTTACGTTTACTTTTTACTCGTTACTCTTTACTTTTACGCTTATGCTTATTTATGTTTTACTTTGCTCATTTGTTGTTGCAGCTTGTTATATAGGATCGCGTGTGTGTGTGCGCGCGTGGGTGTGTGTTTGATGTATGTGAGTATACTGCTCTGTATCTGTGTCTATGTTGTGTTTGTATGCGTGTATGCTTTGTGCTTGTAAATGTTTGAAATATTACAAAAATGTTTATCCTTAAAAAACAAAATATTACACAAAAAAAAAACATAAAAACAGGTAAAAAAGGATCGGATCGGGTATATTCTTTTGAGCGTTATCGGTTAGACTTTTAAGATAAATAAAATATAGGAGTAGGAGGAAGAAGTAGAAAAGGAAGTATCCATCCAAACTGCTTGAAGCTTTTCGTTTTTAAACTTAAATTGCAAAATTGTACAAAATGATAGTCTTACAATTGTTGCGCACTTCCGTATTACATGTAAATATATATTCTCGTTAAATAAAATTACAATTTACACGCTAACAATGTTTAATGTGCCGCTCGCTGACGAGTATATCCTCTCGCTATCATGGTCGTTCAGCTGCCCTTGTTTTTGTTTATCTTTAAGGTAAATCTAGGTTCATTAATATTACATGTATTATATCTTTTTTTGTTTTCTTTCTTTTTGTTTTTAGCATTTTTGTGGATTTTTTCTGCTTTTTGCTTTAATATAATTTCTGTTATATTTTAAATGTACATAGACTATGCGTTAATTTAATTGTAGTTTTCATCTTCTTTCTATTTATAGATGTGGTTGAATTTAACGCGCCGAGTTGTCATCTATTTAATATATATAGTTTTAGTTATTTACTTCTTTGCTGTTTGTTTTTTGTAGCCAATTTGAAAATACAAATACAAGAATGTACGTAAGGCGAAAATAAACTTGAATGATGAGATCATTTTGCAAAATAGAGCAGAGCTTGAGCAACAGAATAGTTTAATTTCAGTTAAAAAACACCTTTGTCCTCTGGGATTGCGTGTGTTTTTATTCATATTATTCGAACCATTTTAACAATTGAAAGTCAGCAATGAATGGAGCAAAATAAGGTAACCAATTTTTATTCTTAAGCTTACAAAAATGTGGAGGGGAGTTACTCGTTATTGGAATCATTTGCTTGGTTTTCTTTTTGTTTTGTTGCGTAATAATATTAATTTGTAAATACATTGAATACATAGCTAAATACACTGAACATAATTATTACTTTACATACTTTTTCCGCTGATTGTTTCTAGTTTCTGTTTAAAGTTTAAAGCCGGATTCTTGTGAGGGGGGTTTTCTTTATCTTTTTTGGGAGGGATGAAGGGAGGTCGCGAAACATCAACAACAATAATCCATCATATTGTTTACTTTCACCTTGTTTTCATGTGTAAATTATCTTGAAACTTATTCATTTATATGTATATTCACTATGTAACTATATATGCACGTAGTTGTTGTAGACTAAGTGAAGATAACTGGCCACATCTGTGTCCAAACGCTGAAATTTTAAACATCCTTAACTGAATCGAACTTCAGTCAATGGATTTATCAAAAGGTTTAGTAGGAAAAGAGTTTAGAAACTCGCGAAAGATCTTTAAAGAGAGCGTTTTCTTTTCTTTTAGTAGGGCTAAAACAATGCATATACATACACAGGATACATATTGAATAAACGTAACTTTTGGCCAACATCGGCTGCGTTCTAATCCTCCTCATCGACGTCAAACATTCTGATCTTGGTGCAGAGAGAGCGTTTTCTTTTCTTTTAGTAGGGCTAAAACAATGCATATACATACACAGGATACATATTGAATAAACGTAACTTTTGGCCAACATCGGCTGCGTTCTAATCCTCCTCATCGACGTCAAACATTCTGATCTTGGTGCAGCGCTTAGCCACTAAATATATATAAATACATATATATTTATATAGCTTAAACTGTGTAACTTATATATCAACTCTTATAGCGTGTGTTCTTGAATCTTGCTTCAAATGTTATATACTCTCTCTGGCGCGCTCCACTCCCGTCGTCTATATATATATACTTTCGAATGAGTCAGAGAAAGAATAGAAGTATGTTTTGGATGCTTGCTACATCTGTGTGCGTGTGCTTGTGTGGGTGTGGTATGGTATGGTGTGTGTGTGCGTGTGTGTAAAAATATGTGTGTTTAAACGATTTCTGGTATTTTGTATTTTTGCTTGGATTTTGTTGGTTGATTTCTTATGTTTTTTTTTTCGATTTTGTTTTGTTTTTTTTTTACTTGTAATAACGCTCCCTCTCGCTCGCCTGTCTCTGTCTCTCTACTTTTCTTGATTTGATATCATTTGTAGTTTACCTTCGGGATAAACAGCCGCCGCCACGCCCCCGGCGGCAGCGGCAGGCGGCGTGCGCATGAAGTACTCCTTGTTGACGCAGTTCCTCAGCACGTCTGGAATATTGCCGACGATCGCCCGCCGGATCTCGGTGGCTGCCATTTCGCGCAGCTCCGTGGCGGACGCGTCACTGAAGAAGGCGGCGTGCGGTGTGCAAATCAGATTTGGGGCATCCTTCAGTGCTCCCTATAAGTTAAAAATATAAAAGTTAGTCCAGATCAAAGTTCATCGTGGGTGCGGCGCCAACTCAGATTGCGTAAAATGTCTCGTTTTACAACAATCTCTTACTTGAAATACATTGTAAGGTTCGTTTTCGTGAACGTCCAGGGCGGCAGCTCTTATCCTTCCCTGCTTCAGCGCCAACGCCAGGGTCTCGTCATCGACCAGACCGCCGCGGGCGGTGTTCACCAGAAATGCACCAGGTCGCATCTAAAAATCATAGGGTTTTATTAGTATTGTTTATACAGAGAGCTACAGAAATACTAGAGGAATTCAGAGGTATTCATTAAATTAAAGATATCTAATACACTATCTCACTCACCTGTTTAATTGTGAATTCATTGATTAAATGATGGTTGTGCTCATTGAGCGTGCAATGCAGTGAGACGCAGTCGGACTGGAAAAGCAGGTCCTGCAGCGTGTAGACGCGTGTGAGGCCCAGCGACTTGTCGATGCCGTCGGGCAGGTAGGGATCGTAGAAGATGACGTTGAAGCCAAACGCCTTTGCCCGCAATGCCACCGCGCTTCCAATGCGGCCCAGTCCCACCAGGCCCAAGGTGTCGCCGCGGATGCGTGCACAGCCCTGTGGAGCGAAAATGAACAGATGGTGTTTCAGTTAGATGCATTCAAAGGTGTCCTAGATATCGATTAAATGTTAATGTTCTACCTCTCGTATGGTGTGTTTGTGTTTACTAGTAGTCGAAGAGCTTGCTAATATGCAAATCCTATTTTCGAACACAATTTGCATTTGAATCGGATGAGGCAATTTGAATAACCATATTATAGCTACTGAATTTAATCTTCTAATGATTTGGAAATATAAAGAGATGCTCCACATACCACAAATAATCACAAGTTTTCTCTATAATTACCCCTACAGCTTTATCAGAAATTAATAGCAATTAATTGAAGTTCTAAATTTGTCATGGTGACATGATTTTTTTATCAAATCAATACACAATCGTATGTTCTATTAAATTCCAAATTACGAATAGACAAATGATTTCCTTATTTTGTTTATCAACCTCAGCGAAGAATGTACTATCTAAAATAGTAATCTAAAAACATACGCGATAAGTGAGACTAACATAAATAATATCAATTGATTTTAGGCCTGAAAATGGCTGCTACTAGCGGCTTTAATAGTCAAGTTTGCTGGGGGCTTTTAAAGTAGATAAGAATGCCTATGGGGAATTTTCCAAATTTTTACACAACTAAATGCTAGAGATATACTTACATGCGCTGCCTCCCGCACTTGCTCGGGTCCGGTGAACTTTTTGCCCTCGCGCACCATATTCGCTAGCCAATACGTCCGCCGGTAAAGGTTGAGGATCAGGCACATCGTCGTGTCCGCCACCTCCTCGACTCCATAGCCGGGTACATTGCACACAGCGATGCCCAGTTCGCCCGCCGCCTTTACATCAATGTTGTCTGTGCCGCTGCCGATGCGCACGATAATGCGTAAAGCTTTGAACTTCTCAAGATCCTCCTTTGTCAAGATGATGGTGTGCCACATAAGAGCTCCCACTGCCTCGTTGAGAACCTATAACACGTAAATAACTTATTAGAAATGTAAATAATGATTAGGAAACAATATAAACATTACCTTCTCGTGTATTTCGGAGGTGCTCTGTGCATCGCAGAAGGCTACCGTGGCCACATCCTTCAGGATGGGCATCTCGATGGAGCAGTCGCGTCCATCGAGCAGGGCCACCAGTGGGCGTGCTTGCAGCGGTCCGTTGGCAAAGCTGCCCTTCACATCGATCCGCGAACGCTTCGGCATCATCAGATTTTTGTCCATTTTGCTGTTTATATATGTGTCTACTGTCCTCTGCTCGTCGTCTTCGTCGTCGTCGTCGTCGTCTCAACAAATTTTCCTTTTGGCCTTTTCCGGTTGTGATTCCTTTTGATTCTCTGTCAGTGATTACCTTGTTAAATGGGCGCTGGGCGCAAGCTGGCGAGGAATCCCTTTTTTAATTTGCCTGGTTACTCGCTTTTTTTTCTTGGCTGGCCAACCGCTTTCAGTGGCTCTAATTAAATCAATGAAAAAAACCTTTTCAAGACTACGATGCAAACGCTGCAATCATTTTTGGCGCTTCATATTGAAATCGAGAATCCTGCAATGAAACCAACAATAACACATAACACATAAATTAAATGGAAAACATGAAATGTGATGTAGAAATATATATATATATATATAAAAACAATCCATGTCAGCAAAATTCGGCTGATGACAAGTTTTCGTTTGGATTTCGCCAACATCAGCGATAAAGCTACGTTATTGCCGCACTCACATCGTTGCCCTCTTTTCCCCTTTTTCCCGCCTTATTGAGTGGCTTAAGCGTAAAAGGGCAGGGGGATTGGGTTGGGTGTGGGATTTGGGGGGAGGTGTCATTGCAGAAACATAGAAATTTAACGCTGTTCACATGCGACGACCGTCGTCTGGAGCGGAATGGCCTGTGCCCAATGGTTCCCCTTTCCCACCACTCACTTCTTCGATTGTCTGAGAGTATGAAAGGGCGTTTCTTGTTGGCCAGCTGGCTCAAATACACCTCGTCATCGGGTTCCAAAAGCCGTTTTGTGCTTCCAAATCAGACTGAACTTATCGGACGGTTGATTAGACACAAGAATGGTTCTTGGGGAACACAGAAGAGCAAGGCACTGTACCCACACACACATCTGGTTTGTCACCGAGTGGATACGGATTACGTGTAGTAGCCTCCGACGTCTTATCTTATCACCACGACACTTCTCGGTTATCTGACGTGAAATGGCGTGGGGGCGATGGATGGTGGGTTTCTAGCTCCGGCATGATGGCAATGTGACCGATATATATGATGGTCTATAGGTAGGTATGAACATCCAAGGTGGTTGAGTGTAGAGAGCTTTTGAAAATGATTATTTGGAGAGGTTTAATGGATGAACTTGTAAAGAGATTACTATAATTTTGATCGATTTGTTAGAAATTTCTATTCTGTTCAACGATGACTGAACCTTAATATAATAACAAATAGAAATTGCCTATACTATATATAGAACTTAATTGAAATATTTGGTATTCAGAGAAAACTAATCATAGGCTAACCACTAATGGCATTACTCCTAGATAAGCTGAGGCATTAACAAAAATTTCCCCAACTTGTTTTCACTTATCGCCACTACTAATTTGAATGACTATCGTATTTATAGGAAGCCAAACAGCTGTGTGGCTATCAATAAAATGATAATTATAACGATCACATGAAATTACTTAAGGCGACTGTTATAGATTTCCAACTCAAATAGCAAAATATATATCCCATGAATTGCTGGACTTTTATAGTTTTTATTGTGCTAATATGTATATATGGAGGAGATTCACTTCGCAGCGCTGATAAGAGCCACAAATCGGAACAATAACAAAAACTTTGACACAGCACAGATATATTTCTACATATATATACATATATATTGGTGTATATATGTTGTGCGTGTATCTGCTGCGATGATAAGCCGTCAATGACTGCCTCTATAGGCAGCCTATAGCCTATGTTTAGACACACATCTGCCCTGCTCCCCACTTCCCGTCCGTCCATCAGTCACTTCCCATCAGCCATGTGTCACGTATTGTGCAAAAGTATGAAATACGTTTAAATGCGGCAACCGACGACGAGACTACAATAATAATAATAGGAAAAAAAAAAAAAACAAAAACGAAAACAACAAAAATCTTGCACAGATACTGCGGGGGGAATAACGCTCGAGCGAATGCTCGCAAAATCGCAAGCCAAAATACAGAAATACAAAAATAAGCAACGCAATTATGACATCGGGCAATGGAAAAAAATATCCCAGCACAATCACATCACCCCAGACCCTCTCCAATCCCCCGCTATACTATATATAAATATATATTTATCAAGTGAATAGCCAAAGTCAAGTGGGCGCAACGCTTTGTTAATTTTCAAGCAATTTCTCTATGCCCAGAATTTGTGGCTCATGTGGCTGTGGATTTTTGATTCGCATTTGTTTACTCGGAAATACTCGTGTGTATATACATTTTAACAGAGATTCTAGCTATGTCTCTCCATGGATAATAACCGGCTCAAGATCAATGATTCACTGCACTTATTGGAAATTCACTTGAATATGTTAATCCACTTTATTGGAGCCACGAGCTTTCTTCCTACTACGCGCTATACGATTATAATGTCGAAGTGTGTTCTAGAACCTTATAAATTTATAAATACAAACTGGCTTTATCTGAACTTAACTGATATGTGTGGTTTGACTGAAACACAGCTAAGGCGTGTGAAATATTTTGAAAATAATATAGTGGAATATTTCAGATAAGAGCCTTAGCAGTAGATGACGTGGTGGTTCAAAGACCATGTGATTATTTCATTGCAATTTTTCAAGTAATTTTAAATTATATTTCACTCTAAGAAAACAATCATCGCTAAAGATTATATATCACTTTTTGATCTAATAAAGCTAACTTTAGTTTATTTAACACTTCTGCTAACACTTTGGCACAACTTTGCCGCAGAAATACAAACTCTTTCGAAACGCAGTCGAAATGGAAAATGTCAGTCGAGGTATATTAAAGCGCGCCAAAAACCAGTTTCACTTTAGCTTGCTAGCTTTTTTGGTTTGCTTTTTTTTTTTGTTAATGCCTGAAGTTGCCACAGGATGTGGCATTCGCAGTGTGTGCGAGCGCCCACGCCTGTGGGAGAGGCAGGCACTTTTCACCCGACTCGCCGCCTTTTGCGAGAAACCACCGAATCGACCGAGAAAACCTGTTGATGCCCGCGGGCAATGAATAGGAATAAATATCTGAAATCAAAGCATTCAATGCAGCGAGCACAAAATCCACATCCAACGAGCCATTATAAATCACAACTAGCGCCGGAGTGTACAGTAAGTCGTCGCCCGGCACGGCCGCGTATCTAACAGATACATTCCAAGTGTGACGCGCTGCTACCTGAGTCCGGTGAGCCCGATGATTCCATTCCCATTCCCATTCGGATTCCGATTCTGATTCCGTACAAGCCGAATGAATAGCCGCCGGCTGTCTAACAAACAAGCCGGCCACATTTGGCAGTAGAGCAGCCAGTTTGGCTGGTTTATTGATGGACAATACCAATATATCAGGGGATTAAATAAATAGGTAGCCTAGTTAATTGAAAGTTTAAACGCCTCTTTATGATATTATCAAGTAGCTTTGACCGTTGCAACAATGAATAACACATTTAAGTATTTATGTTAGCTGAATTCATGAAATCATGCCCTTAAAATTTCTTCAAGATTATCCCTTTATATAAACATATAGAAGTCTAAAAAGTTCATCTTTCTTATGATTCTCATAAGTATTACACTATTTAAAGCAGCTTTCTTATTCATTATTTTCAAATAAAACATAGAAGTTTTTATACTTTCTGACAAAAGTTAAAAACCGATTGATATAAAATTTGGTATGAGGATGGATTTGAGATAAACCAAAGACTTGTTTATGATACCAAATCCCTATATCACCAACTCTAGATGTTTTTAAAATTAACTATCCCAAAATTCAACCGAAAACCGAAAATTGTTACTGAAAATCGTACATCAGTGGCTGAATTGGCTTTAAAATTCCAGACAGCACTGTCGCCCGACTGAACGAGCAGTAACTCCAGAGCAACGATGACGATGGCCGAGTACATATCTTTTTATGGACAGGGACAGCAGCAGGCGGCACAGCACAGCAACAAACCAAACCAAACCAAGCCAAAGCGAAAAAGCAAACCGGTTTATCAACATGAAACGAGGCAGACGATAACAGAGTGGCGGCAAAAGAGGAAAGTCAGTGCTAAAGAGCCACTGGCAAACTCAATGGCTGGCCTTTTTTTCACTCGATTTTATTTTCATTTCTTTGCTGCCTTATTTTGTTCCCTCTTTCATTTTTTTTTTTTTGCCACAATTTCAGGCAGGAAAAGCCATGTTCGCTTAAATTGTTTGTTGGCTTACTGTGTATATATGTAAAAATGTATGTGTGTCTACTTAAAACACGTTTAAATAAGTCATGCGCATTTGTGGGCAACAACTTTTAAAGCAGCGATGCTGGATGGGTTTGGGGTAAAATTGAGGAAATGATGGAAATTCGAGGGGTAGGAAGAATCGGCAACTGCAACTGGAAAATTCAAAGTGCAACTGCTCATGCGTCGTTATTGCGACGACTGCTTGCGATTTTTCAACTTTAAGTCCTCGTCGTCATCGGTGCTCGTCGTAACTTGTTTTTTTTTTTTTGGTTGGTTTGTTGCCTGAATTAACGGCTGCCGTTTTGTCGTGACGTTGCGTTCCCGCGCTTTTCCTCCACGCCCCCGCCTCACCTTACTGGTTTTCCATTTCTGCTTTCTGTTTCATGCATATGCACTTTTAAAGCCGGCTTTTAAGATGACGCCAAAAGTCTCGCCTCGTGGTTAGCAGAAAATAAAAATATTGCTGTCCATTCAGAGAGAGATGACTGTCGTGGATCAGTGATATTAATGCCACAATATTTCTGCTCTCGCAATTGCCATTTTTAATGCCGGCGAAAGTTGTGAGAATTTGATTCACGGCCTTACATCATAAATTATTTGCAAATAATGCAGTCAGTCGAGAGGATTACTGCGCATAAACATATTGAAAATACATATTTACTTTTTAAGTTCATTTCCATTTACAAAAAATGGAAACAAATTAAAGATTAAAGCTTCAAAATCACATTTTGGTATTAACGAGAAACATAGAATTCCAAAAATATCTGCAATGCGAAAACATTTCCCTAATAAATCATTCTTCGAGAATCTATAAACAGAAATTCCATTTTCTATGAATAGTCAAAATATTTGGTTTTTCAGATTGCTCCTATAAATTCTTCAGCATTATTAATGATAACAGTCATTATTCAAAAATGAACAACATGGGCTTTAAGGTATGTCAAAATCTATACCTGAGCTATTAAAAACCTTCTAGAAAGTCAATATAAAACTTCTCTCAAATCAATTTAATAGTTAGATTGTTTAAACCAGATTATTCCATCGATAAGTGGTTATTAATACTTATTGGTTAACAGCAATAAATGGATATAGATCCAGACCTCTGTTAACCAAACACTTGACCAAAGAAAGTAAAATTCCAAAACGATAATTGTCGCTGATATTTACTGCAATGTCTATAAAAAGTGCAGATAAAGCGATTACATTTGGACCTTCAGCAATAATTTAACCGACGCTTCGATATTTACTGTACTACCAAAAGAAAACCACTTAAACTGTTTGCCTGACATTGGCCAATGTTTTTATTTGTCTGTATTTGTCATTCTGCGTTGCTTTCTCATTGTTTTCCCTCGCGTTTTTCTCGTTTTTCCCACTTGTATTTTGTGTGTGTTTTTTTTTATAATATTGATTGGTGGTGCGCGGCGGTCTGCGAATGACGCAAATTGAAAAACTGCAAGCCAGCATAGTGAGTGGCAAGTGACCAGAAGTGGGAAAAAATCAAATGAAATACAACTTATGTATGTGTATATATATAGTATATAGTACATATATGTATATATATTGCCCTCGCACGCTTACGAATTGCTGATGTTGCGTTTGTGGCTGCTCTTGCTATTATTATTGCTATATCTATATATCTGTTGTTTTAGACGGATTTTGGCTGAGCCATCTGAAAGTGTGTTGTCTGTTTTTATTTGAAATGCCCTAGGATAGGGTATCTTAACTACAATAAGACGTTTATGGCTATATAGAGCTAATAGATGAAACAAAACACTAAAACTTTTATATTTATCTTCCATTAGATTGATATTTTTAATAAGAGTCTAATTACTTGATTTGAACTACATTTTCTAATAAATCTGTGCAAATTTATAGGGTATTAAACCCCTGCTAATCCAAATTAGCTTCCCCTTGTCATTGTATTTATTTTTCAGATCGATAGAGATAGCGCAAATATAAGGCACACATGGCTGCCATTGTGTTTTTGCTCGAATTTTAGTTTCACAGACTTATATTTAAATTTAAACGTTTCGCTGCTATTTCTGTGGCTGCTTTCGCTTTGTTTTACCCCCTTTCCCATTTGCCCCCTTGCATCAACAAAGTGTGAAATTCTTTGGGCAGGTGTGCATTTTTTCACGCGCGCAGTCGGCAACAAACACAAAACAACAAACATTGCGCAAAAAATAAAAATACAGAGCATCAAAGTGATAAGGGGGTAGAGAGAGGGGCGTGGCCGGGGCGTTGGGGGTGGCGTATTGCCTGGCATTGACAATAAATAACCGTTAGAATGGGAAAGTGGAGGCGGCAGCCATACACAATCAAATTTATTATTGCCCAAAAAAGGGCAGTGACAAGAAACGGAAAATGTTGTTGCGCCAAAAAATAAAAAAAAACAAGTAACAACAATGTACAGTTATCGATGAACTACATATATAAAATTCCATGGCAATGCAAATATTCAAGTGAATAGCAGAAAAAAGGGGTCTCTGCAATATATTTCCATATTTCTATCCAATCTATTTCCTTCGTTTGGCTGATGTAGCAGAAAATATAACAAAACTGTGATGGAGAAGAAAGAATTCTTGAAAATATTCCACTAGAAACTTTTTGAAACCGAATAGAAATATATATAAAAAACATATTTAACTAAAGTTTTTAAATTTGTTGTGTAAAATAATTTCATAGTTTTATAACGTCTTAAATAGATACTTTATCTTTATATAAATACAAATAGTAAATAATTAAATCAATCAATTAGAATAGCCAACAGACCTTATCTAAGCTGAGAATTGGATAGAAATTAGTAAATACCTTTTTATTTTATACATTTAAATGCAAAAGATTTCTTTTAACTAACCAAACTAAAACTCTTTAAAGAACATCAAATTATTTTGATAGCCAAAAAGTGCGCACAAAAGTTCGACAGCGAAAAACTAAATAAATAACAGTAACAGTCACTATAATTTGAACTCTTTATGTTGCAAAAAGTTAGCCTGTATTTCCGTTTTGGGCAAAAACAAAAACACCATTTGTAATCCTCTCCGGAGTTTTGAGCACTGCAAAGCAACACCAACAACATTCCCGTTGCAAGTGCAAGTGGGTGGGGGAGGAGAAGTTTAAAGAGAGGGGGGATAGGGGAGCCCAGAGTTGCTTGTCTGTCTGCCTCTTCTGTGTGCGTGTGTGTGAGTCTGTATGACGTGTATGTTTGCTTGTATGTGTGTGATGGGTACAGGCACGTCGAACAGTGAAAGGGCGAACGAAAAAAGAGAAAGAGAGATAGGAAGAAAAAGAGAGAAAGAGGAAGCAGCGACAAAAACACGACAAGCGAAAAAATTGTCATAAAAACTAGAAACAAGCGTCAATTTGAATGGACACATTCGCAACTTGATCAAAACTTTTCAACTTGACATTTTGTGTATTTTAATCGGAATAAACACACCAACACAATTACAAAGGTACTTGTAAATGTATTTGTTCACTAGTAATTGCCAATCAATATGCCGCAAAATGCTATTTATACTTTAAATCTTTGATTTGTGGTTAAGAGAAGCAACTCTGTACTCTGATAAGCGGCACTTTCACCCTTTAAAGGCGTTTTAATCCGAACGAAAAGAACGAAAGAACTCCCGGTTGAAATGTGTCAACATGAGGCTTTAGTTGGTTTTCAAACTCGTTGCTTTTCGCTCTCCCTCTCTCTCTCTTTCGCACTAAATGTGGCGGCGGCAAAACAACAACGATGAGACAGCATGTTGCAGTGGCGTGGGCTTAAAGGGGGGTGGGTGGTGATGGTGATGTCGAAAATAAGGAGAGCGGGGGTCGTTGCGCAGTGAACCTTGCGTGTGTATTGTCACTAGGCGGGCGCAAAAAAAAGAAAACATACACAAACGCATATTTTACAGGGAGAATGTATGTATCTGTAACTTTGTGTAAAGTTTTTCGGTGTGTGTGGGAAAATTATTGCACAATTTTATTTATGTTTTGCATAGAATATGGCAGGCTTTGCTCTCACTCGCTCACTCACTCACTCACTGACTCACACACACGCACGCACTCAACTTTGCATTAAACCGCAACAATACTTGGCCAAGTGTGCGTTCACCCACACACATTTATCTGTATCACCTATACATGTAAAAGTAGTTCCGCTTTAAAATTCATCAGAATTCTGCACGTTTAAATTTTTCTTGTACACGTTTATCGCACACTCGCACACACACACCCACAGGCGCACACTCGTTGCAAACAGAAAGGCAAATGGGAAATATATATATATACAAATATATATGTAAAGTGTAGTAATCCGTAGAAAAATAGCCGCTGTCGTGGATTTTCGATTTCAGTATTATTAAATTGCTGAAACGCAATCAGCGGCGCACAATTTGATTTTCTTTTCTCTCGGTTTTTGCCTTTTTCTCTCGCTTATTTCGCCTATTCCTTTGTGGCGGCGGCGACGGCGGCGTCGGTTTTTTTCTTTTCTTTTCTTTTACTTTTTTTTGCGAGTTCACAATTGGACAAGAAATTCACGTGCCAAAAACGCGGCCACATACAATTTTCGGGGGCAAACACTTGGCTGCGGGGTTCACACACCGTCGCCAACCACTTTTCACAAATTTTGTGCACTTTTCGGACAGTTTTCCCACAATTAATTTACCAGCAACGCGTCCAAATTCCACTCGCAGCTTTCAAAATGGCGGAATACGAACACGGCGGATTTTTAGGTTTTAGTACAGCAATGACGCTATGCGAACAGTTTGACCGCAGCTAGGTCATTTGAAAATACCATTCTGCGCACAGGGGCACACTTAAAAAATACCTTGGCTGTTCAGAAGGAATGGTGCAGAAACACGGTTGGAGTTCTAGAGTATTTTATGTACTTTTATATGGATCGACATTTTTTTGGAATTTGAAAATTAAAAGAAAATATCTATAATAACTGATCAGTCTTATTTAATTTAAGAGCATATTCAGATGAAAGTCAAGCAAATGACCAAAATGACCCCCAGTCTTAGTAAAAACAATAAAAATGCATTGTCATAAAGTTAATTTTTATATGACCTTTTTTTTTAAATATGACAATAGATAACGCCCGCATTTACATAGTAATCCCATAAGAATTTCGAACACAAATGACACGGTCACACTGCTGGCACCAATAACAAAGACGGGTTTTTTCTACAAGTAACTGCCAGTTAATACCACCAACTAACTAATCAGACCGACTAGGTATTTCGCACTAACATGTCGGCCAGAAGAGCAACTCACGCAGGCAGCTGGTACACGGATTCGGGTGAGTGATTTACTCATCTTAAATAAATAGATAACACAATCAATTGCAATTGCACCGTATGCGTGTGGAGGTTACACATATACGAAAGTATTGCAGCTGTGTGTGTGTATGCGGGTAATGAACTTTTGGGATAAACCATAAAATAAATAAATATATTGTCTATAACAAAGTAAATTAGAAATTCTTTTCCGGATCGGAGCCCACCGAACTGCGAATCTCCTCCATACGATCGTAGGCAATCTCAGTGGCCCAGCACAGGCGCTTTTCCAGCTCGCTGTTGCGCCGTCGCTGCTGACGTAGTGCATCCAATCCGTGTTCCAGCTGAGTGCATGCCTGGAAGAAAGTACTTAATTCGGGGATGTCCCCGAATTCACCAGGATGCCGACGAAATCCCTGGGTGGCGTCCGTGGTCAGCTTATCTAGACGGTTTTGTAGATATCGCTGATCGAACATCTTATGCAGCTCTTGGGTTGTTGCTTTACCCATCTCGTTGTTTGAGTCGCTTAAATGCAGGTCTCGAATGCGGTTCTTTAATCCCGAGAAATTCACCGACTCGAACTTTTCTCCAATTCCCTGAAATAGCTCGTAACTTTGCTTCAGCTCCAACTGCATTTTCTGGACATCGTCGTCGAGGCTCTTAGCCGCTTGCGAATCCATGAACTCGGCGCGAGATGTAGGATCCTTAGGCAAACCCTCATACTGACTAGAAGGTCTTGGCTGCTCAAGCGAAAAACTAGAGGAAGTAGTAGTTGGATCTGTGTTCTTTTTTTGGGCATCTCCTCCCGCCAAGCGATCAACAGATGATCCGCTAATCGCAGGGGAACTTTTCCCACTGGCGGCTGATGACTGTTTTCCCTTACTTTTGGACTTTCCAGATTTTGCGAACCGACTCTTTTTTATGGTACCGAAAATGGGCAGTGGGTTGGGACTCAAAAGTAGTTCATTCGAAATCTGCCTTTCAGAATCGTCTGTGGCCCTTTTAGTTGTGGAAAAATCATATTAAGTTTGGTTCTTGGTCTTTTATGTGAATACTTTGAAATTTACCCCTGCGATATTATGGCGGTCAACTCATTCCGAATTCGATTCATGAGCTCATCGCTGTGCTTGTCCTTATCATTTTCCATGGCAGAAAGTTAAACTAAAATTTTAATCTGTATTTAATAACTTATATCACAGCTGAATGATGTCGATTCAGCAAAAACCAAATAAACCTGGTGATATTTTTTGTTTGTTTGCTGCTAGGCAACGCCAGGCCAACTAAATTAGTTTATTTGTAATGAAGCCTCATTCGAAAAGAATTCATTGTAAATGATTTGTTTAATACTTTTCAGGTACTGAGCTCTCTAGACAGTTGGATCACTGGTTGGGTGCCGCGGATCTCTTGCATGGACCGGCACGCGCCATCATTGCTCCGTGAGTTTATAACAATGGAATTTATGGAAATCTTATTAATACCTCAAAATTCTTTAGACATGCCGGTTATACGTACTGTGGAGCCTGTGGTGCGTTCGCCTATCGCCAAGTTAGCCCTGTTGTCGTGTAAGGACTTCAACTTAAACATTCAATCAAGACAAACCTGTTTAATTGCACATTTAATTGCAGCAAGCGAATCTTTATACTGGGTCCCTCGCATCATGTGCGTCTACGTGGTTGTGCCCTATCCGTGGCAAAGAAATATAGGACACCCCTCTATGATCTCAAAATTGATACTCAGAGTATGGTGGTTGATGATATTAAGTAGCTGATATTTAATGTAATTACTTTCTAATCTTAGTCAACGCTGAGCTGGAGAAGACTGGTCAGTTTTCTTGGATGGACATGAAAACTGACGAGGATGAGCACTCCATTGAAATGCATTTGCCTTACATAGCTAAAGTGATGGAGGAGTAAGTTGAATTGGTTATTGTTACACTAATTATAAAATAATTTTCCTACAGCTACAAGGACCAATTTACCATTGTGCCTATACTGGTGGGTTCGCTCAATCCCGAGCAGGAGGCGCAGTACGGCAGCCTTCTATCATCATACTTGATGGACCCCACCAACCTGTTTGTGATATCTTCTGATTTCTGTCACTGGGGCGAGCGCTTCAGCTACACGTACTATGACCGCTCCTGCGGAGCCATCCATAAGTCTATCGAAAAGCTGGATAAGCAAGGCATGGACATCATTGAGACGCTCAGTCCGCAATCCTTCACTGAGTACTTGCGCAAATACAATAATACGATATGTGGTCGGCATCCCATCGGAGTGATGCTGGGCGCCGTCAAGGCTCTGCAGGACCAGGGCTATGATAAGATGAGTTTTAAGTTCCTTAAGTACGCCCAAAGCAGCCAGTGCGAGGATATGGATGACTCTAGCGTCAGCTACGCCTCTGGATCCCTTGTCTTTGAGATTTGAATGCATTCAAGTATTTTAGCCGCCGCTCAACAGCATCTAATACGTGGAATTTAAGAATAACGTTTTTTATAATTACTAGCTTAAAATTGAAAATTAAAAAAAATCCAATTATCTCAAGGAGTTGTAATCTAGTTGGGCTCGTTTCTTTAAAAATAAAAATCATTATTAATTAATTTAAATATTAACGAGGAAGAGAAAGCCCCAAAATAGCTTTCACAAAACTTTATATTCGTTGCTTTTTTGGTCGGTAATGTATTTAAATTGTAAAAAAATATCCACCTAATAAATAATAAACAACAACAATTTCACACTTTAACTTCCATTTAAGTTTATTTTTTCTTTATTTTTCTGTTTTTTGTTGAAACATTGAAATTGACTCCTAAGCCATTTTGAATGATTTCTTGGATGCGTTTTCTGTTTTTTGTTTTTTATGTTTCGTTTTTGTTTTTCAATTATCGTATTTCAGCCCTATCGATGAAATGTCTGCGTATGTGAGAGTGGGATGAATGTAAGGAGTGCAAATCAATCCTGCTGGCCGTACAGCACCTCTTGTCATGTGGCTCACCACCAGGCAGCGGCCGCATTGGCTGCCCCTCCACCGGCAGTGGCATCCGCCGATGGAAGATCGCTAGGTCCCCCACCAGAAACCGCCCCATTAAGCCGCGAGCACTGCTCGGCATCGCTCGCGATCTGCAGCGCACTCATGTTCTGGACGAACGTTTCCAGGGCGGCGGCACTTTCGTCCTGGCCATAGGGCGAGGTTCGCTGACTTAGCGGACTGCGGCGCAGGAATTCGTTCAGGTCGCTGGCCACACTGGCCGCCTTAGATCCACCTCCCGGCCCCACCGATGGATCAAAATCATAGCCAAAAGGATCTGGAGGCGCCGGCGGTTGTGGCATTCGTGTCAGCAGATTGTTCTGCACAAAGAGGTGGGAATCTGGAAGAAAAATTGGTCAATTGGAATCCTATGATTGGAATTTTTTAACTTCTATTACCAGTGCCATAGTCGGCGGCTACGCTGTCGCAGTAGTTGGCACCTGGACCGACACCCGCCGGCTGCGGTTGCTGCTGCTGCGGATCGTAGGCGTTCGAGGAGCGCAGTCGGTTGCTAAACACGCTGGTTATCTCAACGTGGTGCGGCGACGGCGACGCGTTGTTGCGCGTGAAGTTAGACTCCGATATATTATGTATGGAGACCTGCGAAAAAAGTTGCAATAAATTAGCCAAGAAGCTAGAGGTGCTGGGCACTTGTAATTAAGTAAAATATTCGATTATTAAAAACCATAAGATCTACAATATAATAATAAGGTATGAGGTAGGAAAACTAACTGTAACGAGCTGGAAAATTTTATTTCTATATTTTCCCTCAAAAAATTCAAATTTTCTACCCCGTATAGTTCACACTACAAAACGCATATACAATGATAGGATCAGGATGAGAAATATGAAACGAATGGATAGTTCTGGTAGTTCTGAACATCGGATGGCGTATAACTTTGGTAGTTTGAAAAGATTTCTTGGTCCATTAACCAGTTATCAGACCAGTCACGCACCTCGTTGTTGAGATGCTGTCCCGGTATCAAATTCTTAAGGAAGGCGGCGTCGTCGTAGCGAATGACTCCAGTGTTTGGAATGCCCTCCAGGTAGGAATTGAAACCGGTGATGGTCGGCGGCGGAGAGTCGTCGCCAGAATTGTGATGCATGTGGCATTCGCTCGATCCACCGCCGCTTCCAGGCGCCTGTGAAGCGGCAGCTGCAGCTGCTGAAAACACTTCAAAGCCATTATAGTAGCTCGACTGTTGGTACTGCTCCTGTAGAGGAACACCCCCTCCAGTTCCACTCGAATTGTAATCTGCCGTCGGTTGCTGTTGCTGCTGACCAAAGCTTGGCCACTTGCTGTCCTTGGCTTTTTGTTTCAGCTCACTGCCAATGGCCGATAGACATTTCTGCGATTGCTTGGGACGGGCAATCACTGCTGCCTCGCCAATTAATCTGCCGGGACTGTTGCCTCCGCTTTCGGTGTTGCCCGGGGGAACGTTGGTACAGCTAATACTGATATTGTTGTGCGTTCCGTTGCCACCGTTACTGCTGCCGCCGCTGTTACCACTTGCGGATCCACTGGAGAAGTAAGAGAAATTGGAGGTATTGCTGCTGCTAGCACTATTTTGCTGTTGCGTCTGCTTTTGCTGAGTGGCTCGCGCCGCTTCCGCCACTGCCTCCTGGGGCGTATAGTAGTTGACATTGCTGCCGAACTGCCGGTAACCGCCCATGGCCAAGCCATTGGTTACAGCTTGATGAAGCGCCGGGTTGCGTATGGTGAACATGCCATTCTCATTCTTGATGATTGCGGCAGGTTGATCCATGGCCATAGGTGGAGCAACAGGGAGACCAGCACCAAAGTTTCGCACTGCAATATAAGGACATCAAATGGATATTATGATATCCAAGATTAAAATTTTTTTTCTACCCACCTGGAGGCATTGGGTTTGGATTGGGTGGCATCATGCCTCCGCTAGCTACTGGCCCATTGCCCTGGTGGAACATGGGATTCCGCAGTGTGATAATATTACCACTGGCATTAGTTTCGATAGTTGCTACACTGATTGGCGAGACGGTGGATTTCTGGCTATCCCCGACTCCTGTTCCCGATCCGTTGCCTCCTCGCGATTGTTGCTTGTTGACCGCTCCAGAACTGCCAATGTTTCCGCTGCTTCCACTACCAGATTTACCACGGTTGCGACGGCGACGCCTGGAGGATTTTCCACTAGCACTTGCCGCTGCTGCTGCTGTCGCCACATTTGGCGGGACCGTCGGAGCTTGGCTATTGCGAATTGGACGCGGATTAGCCTCTACCATGATAACACCGTTAGGATCCATGCCAGCGGCACCAGCTGCTCCATAGTAGCCAGCTAGGAGATGGGAGGACGGCTGGAAGTGATGCTGCTGCGCTTCCTGCTGTTGTTGCTCTGCCAAAGGCTGGGATAGCAGCCGGATCGATTCGCTCTTTTGGCGCAACTGCTCGCTCTTAGCCGGATCTACCTTTGTAAGCGTGATGCCAGGCGGCAAGGAAAGGTGTTCCACCTGAACACCCCGATTCAGTTGGTCCATGATGCTGCAGTTAGGAGACTGCTGTGGCTGCTTTGAGCTGGAATTGCTACCTGACTGGCCAATGCGTAGGTTCTGCATCTGCTGGGCCAGGGTGCTCGCATAGCTTCCCGTCTGCGGCGGAGGGTATGGCAACTTCGTTGGGATTGAAATAGCCCATATTGTGTGGAATGCCGGAGAGATCCTCTGCAAGCGGAAAAATATAAGAACATATCTTAGATTTTTGAAAGATATTTTTTAACTTACCCTGCTTTTGCCGATGACCCCGCTTGCCACGTTGTGATCTCTTTGGAGGAGCGCTGGCCTCAGCTGGATGGGGGTTGGAGTGCTGCGGGACTGGCTGCTGTTGGCTGCTAGTTGAGGCCTTCGCTCGACCATTGCCCCGACCACCTCGCGATTGCTGCTGCGTTTGGGAAGTTGCCTGGTTCTGAACGCAGCGATTAGATTCGAGATTTCCAGGAGCCTGCTTTTGCTTCCTCGCGGATTCCGTTGGACGCTGCGCCTGGGTCTTTGTAGTCGACACCTTCTCCTGTTGATACTGTTGTTGTTTTTGTGGCGGATTCGACTTGCCACCGGAAGCAGACGTCGGTTTGCTCCTTGACTGGGGCTGCACCTTAGCGGGTTGGGACGTCTGTTGCTTCTGCGGAGCCTCCTGTTGCTTCACCTTCTTGACAGTTGTTGCAGTTGGTGCAGCTGCTGGCTTGGGTTTTGTGACCACTGGTGGAGCAACTAGTTTGGGCGATGGAGCAGCTGGCAGTTTAGGCTGATGCCTGATTGGCGCCGGCGCTGGTGCTGGGGTTTCCTCGACGTCTTCTGACTCACTGCCAGTTTCCCATTCGCCCTCCGACGAATCTTGCATGTGCAGGGACTTGAAGGGATTATTATCCAACTGCCCAGGATCCAGCCTCGACTTCAGACGCTTCTGCCTCTTCGGTGGTTCCGGTATCGGTTCTGGAACAGGCGTTGGCGCTACTTCCACTAACTTCGGTGGCTTAGCAGTCGGTTTCTTGGGTGCAGTCTTTGGCTTCACACTGCACACCGAACTCTCTCGCGTGCTCTGTGGCGTCTGGGACTTGGATGAGCTACTGCTCGCGATGGAACTGGATGCGGTGGTCACAGAAACAGCAGCTTTCTTCGTCTGCTTTTTGTTCTTCATCTTGGCTTCTTGTTGAGCCGTTGCCGCTGCCGCTGCAGCAGCTGCTGCTGCTGCCTCCGCCGCTGCTGCAGCTGCCGCTCGCTTAGCCTCTTTCTTCTTGGCCTTGGCACTCTTTTCAGGAACACTGGGCGCTGGACCTGGAATTTGGACAGGCGGAAGAGCCGTTTCTTCCGGCTGAACCGGACCGGAAGCCACCATGTGTCCATTAACAAATGTGTACAGCAACTTGTCCTCGTGCGGTGCACTTCCTTTGGCCACCACGGTGACCTGCTGCTCAGCCCCCGGATGAGGCAGCTGGACTCGACGTATGGTGACAATTCTCTTGGAGGGATCGGCAGTGATGGAGTTGGCCGCCATGGCGGCAATCACATCCCGTGAGAGCTGAGGCGGATGTTGCGACTGCTGGGGAGGAGCAAAACATACTGGCGTATTCGGCTGTCCGAGTACTGGCGGTGAATAAAACGAGGTGCTACTGTTTAACTCGGGATACTGTGGCGCAGGTTGTGGCGGTGATTGTTTAACAGTTTCGTTAGTGGTATCGGATGATCCTCCATCCTCAACTTGTGCCAACTTGGCTAGCTGTTGTTGCTTGGTTGGCAGGTAGGAAAACTTGAACTCATTGTTCGTCTGCTTGACGGTGGCAATAAGCTCGAGGATCACTGTCTCCACTTTGCCCTTGGCCCGCTGTAGGTTCTTAATATTCGCCTCCAGCTCTCCAATACGTTTCTTGTCCCTTTTCCGGCTGCCTGCAGCCGTCAGACCCTTCATCTCGTTCTTTCCAATGAACTCCTTAAAGTATATGTCTAAAAACTGGCTACGCAGATCCTCCAATTCTTTGATTCGCTTTTCCTCCTCCTTGCGCATCTTCTGTTTGGCCTTCTTAGCCGCTTTCTTGGGATTCGCGGTTTGCGGCTGCTGGGACTTTGCCCTCAATAAAGTTGAGAGTATCGTTTATCCAGCGCTGTTGGTCTTGTTCACGGGTATAGGTATAAGTTCCCAGGAACTCGGCAAAGTCCTGCATCATATCCTCCTTACTATAGTCCGCAGGAAAGCCGCCTCCACGTTTAAAAGCGGCCACAGCAGCTGCAGCCTCGGCAGCAGTTGCCGCAGCCGAGGCATCCGTGGCATCTGTGTGCATCTGGAGCCTCTTGCAGAGACTATCCAAGCGCAGCAGACTGTTGTCGCCATCTTGCTCCTCCTGGTCGCCAATTTCATTAAGAGCTGCCGCTGCAGCCGCCGCTGCGGCTGGAGGCACCTTCTTCGGATTGCTGGGCGACTGTAACTGTGCCGTGGCGAACACTTTTAAACTGGGTGGCTGATTCGGCGGAAGGGTTTCGGCCTTTGGTGGCCGCTTCGGTGGGATTGCTGCTGGCGCGGGAACAGCAGGCTCTGGCATGCTGGTTTTCACCGTTGCCTCCTCCGTGGTCTTTGTCTTCCGGTCATTGACAATCTGAGAGAGCTTCTTACGCAATCGATCACGGGTCTCGTTAAAGCGCGCATGGTTGCACTCCTTTTTAACACGTTTTTTTGAGTGATTCTCCTTACAGGGCTCACCAATATCCGCGTAGTCAGCACAGCCTACAGGTTAGGAAATACGAAATATATTCATTTCCATATCGACAGTAAAATCTTAGTCGTTAGTACTCACATTTGCGCATCTTCTCCTTGCTCTTCTTGTTCACACCTGCATCACCATTTCGTCCTCCTGATTGCGACAAGTTCGATTCACCTGTCTTAGCTTTGGCACCTGTTAGGCCTGTAGTGCTATCTGGTTTAGTGCGTTTTCTGAAAGGAATCATTTTATAAGTTAGGATATCACCTTTGGATATTATCTTCAGATCATGAACATTTTTGACAGTAGGCTTTAGTCTTCCATTCTTTTAAAAAACTTACATTATTTGAGAATCGTGCAGCATCATAAGCTGATCAACTCCAAACTGCATCTTCTCTATATTGGCATCACCTAACGTGAAACTGGAGAAAGAATTAAAAACGTTGTTAAACTCGGAACAATACAACTCAAGTTTTTTAATTTCATTTCCCAAAAGTCAGTTTTGGGCATGCAAAAAAAAAGGAGCCTACTGCCTTCGATACAAATTTTTAAAGTCAGAGACATTGTGGCGTGAATGGTTAATTAATAATCGATAGCTGATAATAATAATTTTATAGATTGCTTTAAGAGGAGATTTCAAAAAATAAGAAAAAAAAGTGATTATGTAATTAAAAGTAAAATTATGTATCATTTTTTCATTTGAACCTGTCTATAAAATATGTTTAGTAAAATAAATTCAATAAAACCCTAACAAGACAAATTGACATTATAATTATTCATCTCTAGTATATAAAGATGGCAACTCTATAACTTTTTAAGAAGTGTTGAATATCCCTATGACAAGCATCTGTACGTCCGCACGTGTCAAATAAAAAACTTTAAAAACTGTGCAAAACTTGAAAAAATTTAGGAAGAGCTAAGAAAAATATATAGCTTTTAACATGAGAAAAATATTTATATCTCTATACTTACTCATCAGTGATTTTAAAAGGTGAGTATCTGCGGAAATAGGAAACATAAGTTTATGGCCAAGATTATAAAATATGGCCAAAATCAGAAATGTGACAAGTACTTACCCAATAACTTGGGCCAGAAACTGTTCAAACCGACCATCGTCCTTGTCGCCTACCACGCTATTCATCCGCAGACGTAAATCCCCTTTTAGCAGCTCCAGGTGACCGAAGTCCGTACTGCTCGAGTTGAATTTGACAAAGAAGTTGGCGTAGATGGAAAGAACAAAGGTCCAGTATGTTTTGTACACATAGTGCTGGTTTCTCAGTTCCTGCAGTTCAGCAGGACTAGGAGCTAGCTTCCGGTTGAAAAACATAAGCGAGGGTAGCGTAGAGCGCAGCTCTTCCCTAGTGAACGACAGCGGTTGGAAGCAGCGCAGCAGATACTTCGTTAGAGGCGGCGACAACTGGTTGGCGAGAATTTTCCTGGCCAGCTGGCAGGCTGATACCCGGCAGTTCTCGCCGCAGAAGAACTGCGCCTCGATCGATTCGTGACGGTAGCGCTTTCTGGTGGTCAGGTGCTGAAATACCGCCCATGCAATGTGATATGTGGTACGAAGAGTATCGGACGACTCCGCCTGTCTCCGGAAAACTGATCCGCTGCTGCTGCTTCCAGTTGGTGATTCATCCTCCGGTAGATCGCAGGTCCGACGCTGCTGCTGAGCGGATGAGGAGCTCGTGGTGGCTGCCATAGCGGCATTGTGCTTAGCCTCGTCACTGGTGCATGTGCTTAGAATCTTCGACTTCATCAGCTTCGGATCCTTCTCGACAATGCCGAGCGTTGTGCACTTGGCACAATGGCCCGCTTGTCGCGGTCGCAAAGGAGTGCCGGCGATGGAGCAAGTGATGCATTTGCAGTTCCTGATAGAAGATAAAAATGTTACTTAACAATTTTTATGGCATCTGGTTTCAAGAACTCTTGAATCACACGTTTAGGCTAGGATTCGGACCGAATGGTTCCTTGAACTTACTCGTTATGGTGCTCGAGAAGTGAATTGCACTTCTTGCAGAGATCCTCATGCACTAGCTTATTGGGCGGGTCGTAGAAACCATCGGGCCACTTTAGCTTCGTAAAGGCCATAATGTTTTTCCAGGCTAGCTGCCGATCCACGATGCGCTGGAAGTCAATAAACTCATCGTCGCTAATATCCGGCAGCGAGAACGAGGTGGCGTCCAGGACGACCTTGTCGAATATGTTGTACACATCCAGCAGGCCCATCCGGCGCTCGTGCTCCGTGGGCGACAAGTTGAACTTGTTCAGCTCGATCCAGATATCCGTCCAACGCCTCTCAATGGAGTGCATATGTTCGTCGAACAGCATGACCCGCTTAATCAGCGCTGTCGTGTGGGCCGATGGAGCTGCATCCTTCAACGATAGGATACAGGCTAGCATGGTATCCCCCAGAGGTGTGAACACATGTTGCTGGAAAAGACGCTGGCACAGGAGAACCCACGAGAGCTTAAATTTGCGCAGGAAATCGTTCTCAAACGCAAAAAGGCTGAGGGATATTTTCTGCGAGATGCAATTCAGATCGGAATAGCCGTCAAGAATGTCTAAATGGGATTAAATGAAAAAGATAGTTATCAATTTATTCGAAGAGTAAGATTAATTATGTGAGCATTCTAGGGCATTACATGTCAGCATCCTTTCTGCGGAAATTTTCTCGTTCTCCTGAATATTCTGAGCAATTTCGATCATGCCCTCGGAGAATGCCTTCACAATGCATTCCACATTATAGGCGAGTATTTGTAGCAACAGCATCGGATTGTTTGCCATTAGACTGGATGGTAGAAATTGTTTAATTAAAGGCTGATAATCATAGAGTAAACAAATGATGCCCTGCGGTGGCATTAACTTACATGGCGCTGAAAAGCACTAATATCATATTATCGGAGATCGCTGTGTCATCAATAAAATCAAGATATTCGGCATTTTTGTCGTAGAGGTAGCCGCTTGTTATCCAATAGATTTCCTTGTTGCACTCAAGCAGCTTCTCAAACTTATTGTAGGCAGCATCGTTTCTGTAAAAAAGAGAAATAAGTAATTAGTCGGCAACTTTTTTTTAGGACTATATAGTTGGCTTACTTCAACATGGGGCTGTAGGCCTTGATCAGTACGTCTAGCAACATGACCACCATGTGTGCAGCCTTAAATTGATCCATCATGATAGCCATGATGGTTTCGCGGTATTCGAGACATTCCTTGCAGGAACAAAACGTGAAGAACTCCTCCTTCCGGTGCTTCACAAATATGAAGGCAAGATTCTGGAAATAAAGCTACAATGGATTAGGAGTACGTTTCAATATAAATATCACATATTCCAAACACACGCACCGTAATTGCACGCAGCTGTCCGTCGGCATCACGCAGTGGATTCTTTGGATCCTCGGAGAACAGACGCATGTTCTCAATGGCCATCTGGGAAAAGAGGTATTATGGGAATTTAATTTTATTTAAAAGATCCAATATGGCTTTTCATAGCATACTATATTAATTATTATTCCTATTTTGCCCTTTTTAAAAAGCCACGGAATAGTAAGTATCAAGGTTTTCATTTATAATCAGTACATCTTACTGATCCAAAAAGTTGATTTCAATATCTTTAAAGTTTAAACGCATCTTATCGTTTCTAGTAATTCCAGAAATGCGATTCGCACTTGACTTATGATTAGGTAGGACTTATATACTCTGGCTTTCTAGCCGATGTAAATAACCAAGGACCTACCAAATACGACCGCGTCTCATCGTTAGGATCGCCGCTCTTGTGCTTGCACTCGTGAAGCAGCTTATCACTAAGCTCCAGCTCGATGGCATTATCCTCACGTTGGCTCCACTGCATCAGCGATACTACCTCTTTGTAGACCGTTTCCGCTTTGGGAGCGGGGGCATAAGGATCAAACGGTGGCAGAGCGAGGATCGTGTGCAGCGTATTTATAATGTTGCCCTCGGGAAAGTTGAGACGCTCCAAAAGATGGCATGGCGGTGTGCTGCTCCGTGCCGGCTTCGCCTGTTGGACACCAACAGGCGGTGGCGACGGATTTAGCTGGGAAGTGGCGACGCAGGAGGATGTGGATGTGGTATCCACATCCACATCCGCATCCACGTCCATGGAGGACAAGGACATCACATGGCAGCAGGAAGGCGCCTCCTCCGATGGCAGTACTACGCCATTGACCAGCGGCTCATCCGCGTCCGTTTCTTTGGTGTGCGCCACCTGATCGGCCATTTCACGTGGAAAGCGGGGGTAGTGGGCAATTAGCCCAACCAACTCAATCCCCGGATCTCCGAATCACTTGTTAGTCTTTGGTGCTCCTACTGCTGGCCAAATCCGCGTATGCGCGACGCATTATTATATACGAAATCACAGATGTAGATGCACTTTCACTCGTTCACTGTATGCGCGCGCGTGTCTGTGTGTTTGTGTTGGTATATGTATATGTGTGTGGGGATTGGATTGGTTTGGTTTTGGAATCGGAATCGGAATTGGAAAAGAACGCAACGCGATTTCCCCCTTCGAAACGCGCCAAGTGCGCCTCTGCTTTACGGGGTTTCACTGCCGGTCCATCCGATTATATACCGTGACTTCCCTCTCCTCGCAGTTTCGTTTCCGTTTCGTTTGCACCCACGATTGTTGTGATTTTCCGCTTTTTGTGATTTTTCGCCTGCTCGTTGCAATTCGCTCGTTTCTTTTCTCGTTGATTGCAATTGTGCAGTGTGACCGTCGTGACTTTCACTCTGTATTCCATAGCGCAGTGTTGAGGTTGATCGAAATATGCTGTCTTAATAGGCAAGCTTTATCGAATCTATGTACATAGGTGTATAGAATAAGCGCGCGAATAGCTGAAAGTACAATTTAAAAAATTATAGCGTACGTTACAGTTTCAAACATATTTATACAACAACACAATGATATACTCTATACAAAAAAGAAAGTTTCCAATTTATAATTGATTAAAAAAGCAGAAAATGGAAGAAAATGCTTTGAATTTCTTCGATTCAAATCAAATCATATCATTATATTTAACTTAACAAAGTTTAGCTACGAAATTCTTTAAATACAAAACTTTGTTATGTCCAACATAATGGTAATCAAGGCAAACAGCACAACCTAATTTTTATATTTACATTTAGTAGTATTTACATATTGATTTGTATTTTAGGTTTGGCCTCTTCTGCTGAAAATATTTTCTTTTTTGCAAAATAAGAAATTTATTTATAATGAAATTGAAATCTTATTATATTTAAAAAGCCCTGTGGGAAATATAATTTGTACTGAAATTCTTTTTGCAATATATATATTAACTAATACATATATCTGATCAATTTGTTGGAAAACAATGCCGCGCGAGGTTATAAAAATCGATTCGATTGTAGCAACAAATATCGGAATTCTCATGCGAGTTGTTGACAACCCTGCCCGAATTTCGTAATTCGAAACGAACGATTTCAGCCGGCGAAGAACAGTGGAAAATGTCCGCATCGACGGATCAGGATCCTGTGGAACTTATGCTAAAAAAGACGGGCTGCATAGAGCTCCACTACAAGGTGCAAGAGTGCATCGCCGAGACGGGAGACTGGAGAGCTTGCCAGGACAAAGTAAAGGAGTTCAAAGCGTGCATGCAAAAGTACGTGGAACAACAGAGCCAGAAGTATGCCCACGTCAAGTAACATCCTGCAGAAGTTCCTCAGCAACAGTTTGTCTTTTGGCAAGTCCACCAAATTGGCGTTGGTGGTTCGTTCCGATCTGAAGATGTCTAAGGGCAAAACGGCAGCTCAGTGTGCACATGCGGCGGTCATGTGCTATCAGAGTTCCGTCCAGGGGACCAAAATCCAGAACGCCATTCTGCAGCGATGGTGTCGTCTGGGGCAGCCAAAGATTGTGTTACGAGTTGACAACTTTGAACAGCTCAATTCCCTGGAACAGCAGGCCCAGGAGGCGAACGTGGTGGCCGCCATGGTTCGGGATGCCGGTCGCACTCAGCTGGAATCCGGAACAGCCACGGTCCTAGGCTTGGGACCCGCACCTGCCGAAGATCTAGACAAACTGGTTGCGCATTTGAAGCTTTTGTGAACTCTTAGGTTTATTGAACGTTACAAATAAAATACAAGTAGTTAACAACAGGTTAGGAGGCGGTTTTCTTGATGCCCTTTGAAACCGTGGATATGGTAAGGGACACTGCTTGGCCAAACATCTCCACCAAATCTGACGTAACCCTCTCCGTAATTTGCCTTAGTTTTCCATTCCCTTCGCCGCAAATCAGGCGCTCTATCCGCGTGGTGGGGCATTGAACCTGCACGGAAGTGTAGATCACATCTGCAAAAAATTAGTATTAGAATTTATCTTTGATAGAGATTAGTAAACTGCGTACTCTTCTCTACACTGTAGTACTCTAGCTCGCACTTCAGGTTGTAGGGAATCTCCTGGGGCAAGTAATCCAGTAGGCGGGCTCGCACGCTCTCTACAATCTGAGCCTCTGGGCTGCAGTCGGTTCGGACATCGGCTGGGTACTTCCAAACCCTAGGCTTTGCCTGACCAACTAGGTAGTTTTGTAGCTCATGCAGGCCACTACCCGTCACGGCGGAGACGAGGAACACGTCGCTGAAGTGGCTCCAGCTTGACTCCCGCTTATTTATCCTTACTTCCTTGGTCAACGACACTGCTCCTTGAGCCCCGCGCTTATCAGCTTTCAATGTATCATTGGTGAGAGTCTTTATCAGATCCAGCAGCAAACGCTTCGACTTGAGTGCGTCGATCTTGTTAAGAACTAAGAAGCTGGGAAGGTTGCTATATGCCTTTAGTGTGTCCAAAACAGTGGGGTGCAGCTCTTTCCTCGTCCAGCCATTTGAGGCATCATGCACCACGGCGATGATATCTGCATGTTGGATGGCATGACGGTATGCACTTTTGAAGTTCTGGTCCAAGTGGTGCCGACGTATCTCGTGTTGGGTCACTAGACCAGGAGTATCGTAAAAGACCAACTGCGTTTGACCGGTGGTCAAGATTGCTGTGCTCGACTGACGCGTAGTGTGCACCTTAGCCGATGTTGGACACACTCGATGGTTAACAGTGTTGTTGATGAAGGTGCTTTTGCCTACATTGGGCACCCCGATTACGGCGATGTGCAGCGACCGTTGTTCCTCTTCGTGATTTCCAGATTCCGTTGGAGGTGGACGTGTTGTTGGAGCAACTGCATCATTTGTTTGGGCAGCACCGGTTAGGCTGCGCACATTTACCACGAATAAATTGTGGTTTTTGGTGCTATTGAGCAGTTTCAAGGCACTGGCAAACAGATTATACCGCATTTTTCAAAGCTTCGTTTACACTACGTTAAATGCCATTCACAAAACCGTATGTACGATAACGATATAGATTATCGATTTCGACAGGAAATTAATTGTTTTCATTCGCTACATTTGAATTGGCGCAAAATTTTTGAAAGATTAAACGTTAACAATTTAAATAATCTTCATTTAAGATTAAAATCCGTTACCCATGGAAAATATATAACCAAAATGTTCTCTTTAAAAATATATGAATATTATTATTATTTCCGCTCATTAAAATGTTATATGGGTTTGGAATAAAAACTAAGTTTGTTTTATTATTTGTTTTTAAATTCATAACAGAATGCTTTGCACTATACATATAAATTAAAATGCATTACATTGCGAATCAAAAAATGGTGTCAATAACCTCGATATTCATATTTCCGCACTTGTCGTAAACATATTCAAAATATTTTAATCAATAATATTTGAGTCGTGAGATTAATATGTATGCAAATAATTAGATTTTTATAGTCGATTAGTATTGACAATACTATTAGGTTAACAAGTCATAGAACCGGTTTGAGAACTCGTGAGAGTATCACTTCTCTTATCAATATTAATATTTAACTTTCGAAGCACAGAGCGTATAGGTTTGCAGTTGGGAACATATTAGCTTTCAGTTCCTATTGAATTCTCAGCCTGGAAAGACGAACATCATTCAATTCCCCCTAAGCAAACAAACATTAAATGTTATCGCCACATTTACTGATTCTCTACCTAATCGCAGGGTTAGGCCTGTTTTCCTTGGCAGATGGTGATCCAATGATAGAGGTCTTCAGATGGAAGCAGATGGACTTCTACAATCGTGGGGACGGGCACTTGGGCTTGAGCGGCAGGCCAGATAGGCCAAGCGTTTCAGGTGAGTTAAAGTAACAATAAAATATTTAAGTACATACAATAAATAATTGTTAACCACCTAGTAAATATAATGTAGCAAACACAAGTCCAACACAAATTTAATCTACCTAATCTATTGTAATTTTCTTATTTAATTAGACATGATTTTATTTTATAACCACATATAAAATATTCTTCTACTTTAAACTAGGTCCGGTTGTCTTCCCTGGGAAATATTCGCGTCGAAAACGTCAAGTTATGACCTCCCGTGATACCCCAGTTGTTATAAATAACCGAGTCAACACTGATGACCCCAATGCCCCTTACATTCCGTACAACAATGTGCCCATGGGAGTCACTCACTTCCGGGGACGCCTCTTTGTCACGATGCCCCGTCGACGGGTGGGCATCCCATCCACCTTGAATTACATCGATCTGGCCAAGGACGGCTCAAATCCCAGTCCCAAGTTGAGCGCTTATCCAAACTTTGCTCTAAATCAGTTCAATGCGAGTGCGAAAAACCTGGTATCAGTCTATAGAACCTCAGTGGACGCATGCCAACGCCTCTGGTTCATCGACACTGGTATGCTGGAGTATCCAAGTGATTTAAAAATAATTAATTAATGTATATTTTCATTTAAAATTTCTAACAATTTATCGTTTTAGATAATCGTCAACAAATCCGCCGTCCCAGCATTTGGATAGTTGACTTGGCCACGGACGAAGTGCTGAAACGTTTCGACATCCCGGAGAGTATTGCAGAGACGGGTCGCGGCCTGGCCAGCATTACCATCGATGTCAAGGCGGATCAGTGCGGCGATGCCTACGCCTATATCCCGGATCTGGTGTACCGTCGATTGTATGTGTATCATCTGAGAAATGATCGAATGTGGTCCTTCGAGCACAACTACTTCAACTTTGATCCGCTTTCCGGGGATCTAAGCATTGGAGGGCAGACCTTCCGCTGGGATGATGGTATCTTCTCGGTTACTTTGGGTGCCCATAAGCCAGATGGTAGCCGTGATGTCTACTTTCCATCCCATGGCCAGTACAAATGAATTTGTGGTTTCCAACCGAGTTCTGCAGCAGGAGTCCAATGCAGCACGAGACGATCAGGGTAACGATTTTCGCGTACTGGGAAACCGAGGACCATCCACGCAGTGTACGATGCATTCTTACGATCCCGGGACCGGAGTGATCTTCTTCGCTGAGATCCAGAAAAATGGAGTGGGATGTTGGAGGACAACAAGGCCAGTCTCAGCGGAGAACTATGGCAGTGTTTATTCCAATGCTATGGACATGATTTACCCCAGCGACTTGTCGGTAAGAAAATATAAAAAAATAATGTTGCCTCAGTATTTTAAACTATTATTTTATTTTTATTTTTTCAGATTGATGAGGAGGGAACCATTTGGATGATGTCCAACTCCATGCCCATCTTTATTTACTCCAACATTGGACACGAATATATACAATTTTAGGATTTGGAAGCAAAAGGCTTCGAGGGCCAAGAGAGGAACTGTTTGTGAGTGATTCGTGTGGGAGTCTTTTATAAAAATAATAATAAGTTAATGTATGGAAATTATTCATTAAACGTTTAAATAAATAAAATAAGAAATTATCTGAATATTTTTAAATTTTCGTTACAATTATTACTAAAAACTTTGTCAGATAGAGCTCTTTTTATTCACTAGAAATAAAGAGATATTCGTAAATATCTATTAAAAGCTGAGTAAGAGCAAGATTCGCACTTCTCTTATAATTCTTTTGTATTATATTTTCGACTCGCATCGCACGTATAGCTCGGTTAATCTCGAAAATGTCATCACTCTGCAGTGAAATCTCAGCCTAAAAAGTCCAACAATCGGAGCTTAACTCAAATTTACAAGCTAAGACATATAAATGTTATCTCCACGCTTTGTGCTCCTCTTCACAATCGCTGGGTTAGAGTTGCTAACCTTTGCAAATGGGGATCCCATGATAGAGGTCTTCAAATGGAAACAGATGGACTTCTATAATCGGGGGAATGGATATAAGGACTTGTGGAGCAGGTTATGCATTCCTGGTGAGTTTAACAATGAGTGACTTACTACATAATAATAAATTTTATTTTTTGATGACGCACATTTTGTGAATCATTCAGATTTTTCAAATATAATAATTTTTTGGGGATCTAAAATATTTCCTAAAATAAGTCTGAAAGAAATAATTAATAAGTAACATTAAAAAATTAATATTTCTTTCAATGAAGTTAATACATTTTTCTAATTTATATATTATTAAAAATAAAATAATAAATATTTTGTGCTTATTACCAAGATCTGCATGTCTACGGTTCCACTGCCTGCTTGGGCGAATCCCAACCCGATAACAATCGTAACGGAACCTTCATTCAATACAACAATGTGCCTCAGGGTGTAACTCACTTCCGAGGACGCCTCTTTGTGACAACACCCCGACGACAACCGGGCATCCCGTCCACCTTGAACTACATTGATCTTGACAAGGACGGTTGGAACCCTAGTCCCTATCTTCGGGCCTATCCCAACTTTGCCCTAAATCAGTTCAATGCAAGTGCTGAGGGTCTAGTATCCGTCTATAGAACCTCAGTGGATGTCTGCCAACGTCTGTGGTTTGTCGACACTGGAATGCTGGAGTACCCAAGTGAGTGTTTATATAATCGTAGGACTACTTAACTAAATAAAAATTCTTTTCTTTAGATAATCGCCAGCAAATCAAGCGTCCCAGTATTTGGGTTATCGATTTGACCACCGATCAGGTTCTAAAGCGCTTTGAGATTCCACAGAGTATAGTCGAGATTGGGCGGGGATTAGCTAGCATAACAGTCGATGTAAGAGCACGTAACTGCGGAGATGCCTATGCCTATATTCCGGATTTGGTCAATCGCCGATTGCACGTTTACCATTTGCAAAGCGATAGGATCTGGTCCTTCGTGCACAACTCTTTTAACTTTGATCCACTTTCTGATGATCTAAACATTGGTGGGCAAAAATTCCGCTGGGATGATGGCATCTTCTCGACTACTCTGGGACCATATCTAAACGATGGCAGCCGAGATGTCTACTTCCATGCCATGGCCAGTACAAATGAGTTTGTGGTGTCCAACCGTGTTCTGCAGCAGGAGTCCAATGCAGCACGCTCCGATCATGGTAATGATTTTCGGCTCCTTGGAAGCCGTGGTCCATCCTCTCAGTCAACGATGCATAAGTTCGATCCTAAAACGGGAGTGATCTTCTTCGCCGAGGTCCAGAAAAGTGGTGTTGGCTGCTGGCAGATCAGGAAGCCGTTTTCGTCAGAAAACATTGGATCTGTCTATTCCAATGCTACGGAGATGATCTATCCAAGCGACTTGACGGTGGGTGTAAAAATAAAACAATTTGTATATACTAAGAAACCTTTTATATTCATTTTTAAGATTGACGAGGAGGGAACCATTTGGGTGATGTCCAACTCCATGCCTATCTTTGTGTACTCAACGTTGGATAGGGAGAAGTTTAATTTCCGGATCTGGAAACAAAAGGGAGCGCTTGCGAAGAGGGGAACAGTTTGTGAGTGATTGTGTGGAATTGCTTTAATGAATGTTTCTCAAGTTCGTTACATAAGTAATAATATTGTTTTATCAATAATTACCCACTGAAACTTATATATAAAATAAATCAAAAAGCATTTACAAATGTACTTGGTTAAAAATTGCCTAAATTTGAGTACTCATTTTTATCACATCTTAAAAGTTACGACAGATGCTTTTGTCTTTTCGCACGAAACAAATGGAAACATGAAAGAAAACAACATCAATGAACAAAATCAGAGGCACTCCAATATTGCATAAGGATACTAAGTTGCACAGGTGTGTGTTTGATACGTGTGTATATATGTTAACCTAAAATACTTGAATTTCATGTTGTAAATTTTTCATAACTTTTCCGCATCTAAACAAATTCGAGGTGTAAATTTGGTAACCCTTTAAAGTGTCAGCTTTACATATAGTGTATATATATCTATATATATATATGTTCAATTTTGTATATATATGTATGAGTTTATATAAAATGTTGCAAAAATATATAGGTTTTTTTTTTGTTTTGTATATGATCCTTCAACGCTACACCTAAGTCCTTTAAGTAGTTTCGTTCATAGTAAGTGTAATGTGTAGTACGTAATATAGCAAAATGATTCTACCAGTTCTAGTTGACTATATAGTGGCTCCGTTCATTGACGTAAACACGAAAATGGAATGATTACTGGCCCAGAGCTATGCGAAATTGATTCGCTTATAGCTGCTTATTACAGTTACGAGTTATGTGTGGTTATATGGAATCGATCGGTATTGCTTGTGACTACTGTACTAAGTAATCCTTGTAGCTTCGCAGGGACTTTAGCTGCTTTTTCAGCTTGGTTATCAAATCCGACGGTTGCACCAAAATGGATATGTCCCGGCCAACAGAGTTCAGGCGATCGCGTATCTCAAGATCCTTGAAGAACAGATTCAGTGAACGACCATTGATCTCGGTTAGCATCCAGAAGGTGAGTGAACTGCCATCGCACGATTGCGTCTGAAATAGTTTCGTTTATAAGTATTCATTTTAATTCATTCTCTATTAATTTGGTTTTACCTTAGGTGGAAGACCATGCCGTGCAGCCAAACTGTTTGGCACCACATCCACTATTGTCGAAGTGTTTCCATCTCGAATCAGTCCCAAGCACTGACCCTCTCGATCTCGGCGAATGGCATATGCCCGGCCAAAAGGAATACGACGCAACAAGACCTCAACCTAGAAGTTCAGATATAAGTTTATTAGAGTTTAGTTAATAAATTGTTGGCAATCGTTTGAAGCTCTTACAAATAGCGTATTGGTGTTCCTTATTATTTTATTGGCCTCCGCAGCACTGCTAATGCTCACGCCTGCTATGGAGAGTAGCTGATCGCCAATGTGAAGGGCATTGTACAGCACCGGGTGCTCCTTTTGCTTCCAACCAGCAATCCTGTAAGGAAAACCATTACAGAAATTTGCAACACATTAAAAAAAATAAGCTTAGGATTAGACAACATACAATCTCCACAGAGATGATTCACGGAGAACTCCCAAACTTACCAAACGCCACCGAAGGCATCGACCCATGCGATTGAACCAACGCAATCTTTGCGCCTTAGATTCAGACGTACTCCACCCGGATGCATTATCTCCCTTCGCAGTTGCATCACCTGTTGCTCCCGCAGTGTCAATCGCTTATTGGGCGACTGCTGAGTGTGATTTGTGCTGGACGGCGGTGCTCCCTGTGGCGGTGGTTGCATGCGAAAGGCTCCATTTCGTGATGGCGTAAACTCGTTGTTGTTAGCGTTTCTTTGCGTTCCGGGCTGTGGGACTCTTTGAAGCGGCGCTTGAGCATCGGAGGTGGAAGAGCTGCGCCGGCGCTGCTCCTGACTGTCACCTGTTATATTCGAGGTGTTATTTCGTTGCGCTGGCGTTACTTGAGTACTGGTAGAGCTGGAAGGCGTGGACTGATGAGGCTGCTGTTCGATGTTGTTATTCGCTGCGCTCGTTGATTTATTTGATGTCTTAGTTTTTAGTGGAGTGTTCAGTAGCTTTAGGTAGTGAAAATCTCTTCTGCTGGGTCGCGAACTGATCACCAATTCGGTTAGTCCTCGAGTTAATTGAGGTGCCGCCCGTGGTGGTGCACTGGGGGTAACTGGTTGCGTTGTTGCCGGCGAAGCCAATCGACGGCGTGGTAGAGCTGGACTTCCATTGACCACCGATTGGGTGGTATTAGTGGTAGCTGCTCTTGTTGGACTGTTTCTGTTGGTAATTGGAATGCTGGAGGAGAGGAAAACCTTCTCGTAGTGCACATTACCACTGATAATGGAGTCACTGCTCTGTTCATTATTTACGCTAATATTCGTAATGCCCGAGGTGTTGGCACTGAGTATTATCTTCTTACTTAATCTCGGCGTCTGCGGCTTGGTAGGATTAACAGAGGAAGAGGCTGCAGAGGAGGTTGTGGCATTGCCACCGAGAGGTGGATAGCAAGTGCCATAGACAGCCACTGTGGTGGTTGCCTCGCCATCACCCAGCACCTTTACTTTGGTAGTGCCAGCAACCTGTGGACTGGGGCTACTGGAAGAGCTTTGCTTGACGGGCGTTGTATATGGATTACTGCTGCTGGACTGTTTTCCCAGGACTTGAATGGTACTAGTACTGCTACTGGCATTGGACGGAATGATTTGTACGTTGCTTTTATATTCATGATGGGACAGCTGCTTGGCATTTATGTGGGACTTGTTCTTCACCTCTGGAAAACGAAACACCTCGGCTGTGATGGCGTTCTTGGGCGGAAGTTCTGGCGGTTGTTCCTGGCCGTTGTTACTGATGTTAGAGACTTGAATGATTGTGATGTTGTCCTGAGAATCCTCGCTGTTAGCGGCAGCCGCAGCGGTGCTGGACGATTGGGAGTGGAGGGGTTTCCGTGGCGGTCTCTTGGATTTGTCGGCAGCGCCCGCGGACATTGATCGTGATGTTTGTGGTCTAAAGGAAAAGTAAAGATTAGTAAGCTTGAAATTAAATAAAACCATAGTAGACTGCTGTCTAAAACGCAATCAGTTTTATATATTTATATACGAATCCCAGAGGCATGGCTAAAAAGTTCTCTTTAACCGAAGAGAAGCTAGACGATCTTTTTGTGGAGGAGGTGGCCAGTGTGGTGAAACTGGTTGATCGGCTGCCCGATAAAGACCTCATAGTGCCCACCTGTACCCGGTGGCTCAAAATCTTTCACCTCGCAACGCCGAAGGAACGATTTTCCCGAAACTATATGCTCCTGCTCCTCCATAAACAACTGAATGATCACCGCTCATTAGGGTATCCATTTACGAATCCCGACAGTTCTGATATGGATTTGCGCGTTCTTCACGAAATGAGCCTAAAAACAGGTAATACAGAGCATCCCATAGGCAAGTATGACGTGCAATGCAAATCTGATGGGGAAGAGTTTTCCTCTTTCAGTTCTTGTGAAAATCTAGAGGAGGCTAACTGTAGGTTGGTTTGCGAAAATGCTGAATTGTCAAAAGAGTTGCAGGAGCTTCAGGGTCTAATTGAAAAATTGCAGATGAAGCGGGATAAGGCCGAGAAAGCCATCCAAATACAAAATGAGGATATTTACATGCTGGACAGGGAGAACCGCTACCTAAAGCGAATCTTTGCCGGCTCTTCGATCACCGCTCTAAAGGAACTGTGCACCGAACAAAATACCGCCTTATTTTTTGACACTCTATACAAGGTTCTTTGCGAAGACGAATCAGACGTTCAGCAGGTTAAGCACTTTAATGAACACTTTAAGGCCCTATTGCAAGCCCATATGGATCATTACCAGCGAGTGCAGCGTGCTCCTTTGCTGGATGAGGCTAGCCAAATGTACGACAAGCTACGATCCAAAGTGAGCAAGAAATACAAAAATGTGATGGCCATGAAACTAGATGCTCAGGGACAGGAGCTGATCCTAAGCGCCATGCGCTATTTGACAGTGCTGCGTAAAATTTTCCTCGCCACTTTTAAGGGCAAGCCAAGCACAAAGAAGGCAGTGGTTCAGTTTCTTCAACAGAGCTACGAGCAAATGGCCGATATGTTATAGGGAAAAAGTAACTCACCTGGGAATCAGACGTTCGCATTGCAGCATGTGTTCCAAATTCAGGATTTGATCTGTAATTGTAGATATATTTTTTATAATGATTTAAAATATAATTCGTTTAAATGTAACTATATTGCATTTATTATTTAAAAAGCAAATCTCATTTACCGGCAGAAGCGCGCTGTGCAGTAGCGGCTACGACATCGACGCGGACTCCATTCTCAGTGAGCACACAAGCCCTGCGCAACAGTGGCGAAAGGTATTCGTCGTCTGAGAGGTTAATTTCAGCATCGCTATTGGACGGTGGCTCCTCCGGTACTCCTGTACCTTCTGCTGCAGCCTCATGAGCAGCAGACGGCTCTGCTGACTCACTAATTTGCTCGCTGTAAGTGCTAATGGGGTCGGAGAGCATGTTGAGGAGGTGCTGCGACAATGTGTTGGACATGGCAGCTGGCGCAGGGGCAGGAGCAGCTGTCGTGGTAGAGACAGGTTGAGCCTGATGACTGGGGGCCACCACGCGCTCTACGCCAGGAACTAGAGCTGCTGGAACAGGAGGAGGTGGTGGTAGTGGCGATGTGGGATCCCTTGTGGGCAGCAACGGTGCGCGCACTTCAGGTAGCTTCGTGTAGAGGTTTTCGCGCGGCGACAGAATCTTCATTTCGCGCAGCTTGGAGCGCAGTGTTTCCACCCATTCTTGCATAATCTCCCTGTGAAAAAGCGAAAGTAAGTTGTTGGTGTTGAAATCTTAATTGACGTTGCGTGTGGAGAGCTTTTATTTCTTACCAAGAGACGGCATGGAACCGCAACACCTCATGGCTGAGCGTAACCACAAACTCGAACTCATGGGAATTGGGGATGAGGGAGTGGGATATGTGGAGGGTATCTCGCAGAGAAACGGCCCACTCGGGCAGATGTCCAGCTGCTTGACGAGGTTCCGCATATCCCTCCAGCAGAGCTTCCGTGTCGTCGTGCACGCAGAAAACTACCCAGCTGCATTCGGATTTCTAAAAGATAAGAGATGTAATAAACACGGACTGGAAGGTATCAAAATGTCCACCCACCTTGGGACCCACTGTGAAACGTTTGCCATCCGCTGTCAGTCGCTTTAGCCACGCATTCTTGTGTAATTTCCCGGAACTGGGCACCTGCTACTCCACCACCTGCCGCGCCCCCTCCTCCACTAGGGGCAGTCGCAGGCGATGGAGCAGGTGCACCAGTCGCATTCCCGCTGGATGTTGCAAGTGCTGCCGTTGCCGCAGCTGCCATGTCCGGTTCCCAAGACTTCGGTGTAAATTCCTTCCTGGGTTAGGCTTTTTTGCATGCCTTGGGCTCTTCGCTCTTCCGCTAATTATTCTCACATTTCACTCGTTTCTATTCGGGGGCACAATATGCTTCATTTTTTTCTGAACAACTGGGAAATCACGACGCCATTTTTGGTATCGGTATTTTGGATATATTTATCGTTTGCGTTACATCCGATATTTATCGAAACTGCAGCGCATTAGAGGTATTCTTCCTATTAAAAAACTGTTTTATTTTCAAAATTTAATAATAAACTTATTTTTCTTGATTAAATAAATTTAATGATCTTTATGAGGATATCTTTACATTAACGAAACATATATCAAATCAAGAACAAATATAAATAAAAAAATCTGTTATTTATCCCATTTAAATAAAATGAAAACTCCACATTTTAATGCTATAATAATACTTCTTTTTATTGAGATTTTTAAAATCATTTTTGATATTTTTTTGCTTGGGTTTTTTTTTGTATCTTTATATCACACGTAACGTAAGTAATGTAGTAGATCTTTTAATGCTGTCTTAAGTCACTAAGTCTAAGCTGATTGAAAAAATATAAATTTATCTTTGTCTACATGCCGAAACTAAAATAACAAAAATGAATTAGTTATTTGTGCATATGCATCAAAAGAAGTTTTCACTTAAAATTACAGAACTATTTGTTATTGCAGCGTTGGTTTCGTCTGTTATCATTTAACACTAGATATACATATATTTATGAAGTTTGTTTTTTGTATAAAGAGGCGTTAAACATTAGTATCTCAATTGGTTTTTAGTACACTAAATTACAATTGTAAATTACAAGTATTGCGAGAGTCAGAGGGAAAGTTAACAAGCGCTTCTTGTAACTTTTGCGTAAAACGTACAACGAGTTAACAATGGTGCAAAATTATTTTTAAAAAAACTAGTAAACACGTATCATTCACAATATGTCCAACTTAAAAACGAGTGTAGATAGTGGGCGGGGACGTTAAATTAAATACAAATTTAAACTACTATTAAAGTCTTTGAATATAATTTCAATTTAACGACATGAGGGTTACAAGTTCTGTTTGTTTAATATTGGTTTTTTTCTAACACAATCGAGTCTTGTTTGTTGCTTAACATTTGCTTTAGCTGGAAATTGGCATAGTTCAGTTGTAGTTTCAGTTATAGTTTGTTGACTCCTAGGTCGTTAGAAGTCACGACTCTCAGTTTTGTCGGGTGTAAAAAGTCATTTGTTTTCGTTTTGTACGTTAATACCAAAATTTTCACTAGCTTCAGCAAGCGCCTGCGTCTGCGTAACATTTTGGGTTCGGATTCTGGGGGCTCCGAATTTCTCGGCAAACAATATATTCGTGTTTAACTCTAATTACAGTGTACTTTTTGATGTACGTGGCATAGTTTGTTAATTGTTATTTGTCTGTTCTTAGTTTTTAGTTGTGTTTTTGTCGCTTTGTTGGTTTTTTTTAAACATATTTTTTTATATTTTTCTGCAGTGATTTTGTGTTTTTATAATGGTTTTTAAAAATATGATTCGTTTGCATTTCGGTCGCCAGCATTTTGGAGTTAGTAGAATCTATAGTTTCTTTTGGTATCTAGAAATTAGATATTCATGGGCTATACTTCCTCCGAATGCTCTAGCTGCTCAACTTGGGCATATTATCAATCTCAATCTCATTAGCGGAAATTTGTTTAGTCGAGTCTTAGCAAAAAAAAAAGAAGGATCTTCGGTTTATCTAAGGATATTCGCGTATGAGGTCCACGTGTTATGGGTTCGGGGTGGTTTGTGATTCTGTGGTGGCGGGCGGGTTATGAGCTGGCTTTATGAGGCAGGGATATCCATAACATGACTAAGCGGAATAAACTCATCGGCCATTGGATTTAGAACAGACTTTTCCACATTACACTGACTCTTGGGCAGTGCGGAAAGCGCCGTGTTCTGTTCTTCCGTTCTGTGGAGATCATTAGTTGATTAGATTAAGTTAACATTAAATATAGATGGTAGTCACTACTTACTTTGCCTTTTCCCACTCATTGATCTGCTCTTCCAGCTCGTCCTCAATCATGGCCTCGAAACACTCCTGCATAATCTCCTCCTCCTCCAGACGTTGCAGTTCCTATACGTTGATTAACCAGATAACAAGATTATTTTTTTTATATTATTTTTATAGGGTATGCAAGCTTACGTTCTTGTCAAACTCCTCCTCGTTTTCCATCCACATGTATTCGGAGAAATCTGGCTCATCGTCGATATCTGACAGCGACTCGTCGTCGTCCACGACGTAAATTATTTGATCCGTCCAGTCCACAGATGGCACTTTTAACAACATGATATTTACTGCAAGGAGATTTGGACTCGGATTACTATAAGCAATCTTATGAGATGGTCTTATATTTTTTTTTGCATATACTTATATGTATGCGAATGTAATGTATGTAAAATGGTAAAAACAAGCTTTATCTGCGATCCCGTGGAAATCGTTTATGATTAAAAATTCAATTGATTTATGAGCTTTAAAAATTAACATTCCAATTACCATTTAATCTCAGCAGTTTCAGAGTTTCTGAATTCATTGTCTAAAGTTTTAAGAATATTTTTACAATGACTACTGGTTTTTCAAACCCTTGAAAGTTGAAAAATTAAAAATCATGACCCTATATGTGTATATAAAAAGATATTAAATTATAAATATTTTAAAATGGAAATATTATTATCTAGCATTAAAAAATATAAAATAATAATAAGCTAGGATTAACATACGCAAGCTCTTCTGTATTTGAATACATTATCGTATTTGACCGGCAAAAAAGCAAAAAGCCGACCAGTTGTATTTGTGTTCTAAAAAACCGGTTTTTCTCACAATCTTATGGGATAAACAAAACAAAAATCGCACCTATACAGGTGAACAAAATTACACTAATACGTATTTGTTTATATAAATAAGCAAACATTTTCTCTTTTCTTTTTGCGCAACGTTTTTTTGTTTATGCGCGAGCGATGTCTATTTTTTGCGTTGTGGCCGCGGCATACAAAAATTTGAAAACAAAATGACTCAGCTTTTAGTTGAAGAGCGAAAAGAGCCCCAAATAAGTGGCCATATATGTAGGTACATATGTATATATTATGTACTATACTATATTATATAGTATCAGTTTATTACTCGTATCACTTGTAGACCCGTTAAACATTTTATGGGGTATAGAAATGCCGTTATCAGTTGGAAAACACAATAAGAAAGAAACAAGCAAACGTGTGAAATAACCCGAATGTCAAAAGTGGGAATTAATGCAAAAACGCAATAAGCCAAAGGCGACGATCGTCAGCGGTCAAAAACTAGGAGTTCATGGGCGTAACTAATTAAGTGTACGTGTGTACTTGTGACTGTAGTTTTGTTTGGTTTAAATTAATATAACAAAATTAGATATTAAACACAGCACAAAATCTCCTAACATTTATTTTTATTAATATATTATCACTTGGCTGTTTAAATTTAAACAAATTTGAGATACTTTTACATACCTAATAATCTTCCCACGCCTGTGCTAACATTTGTTTACAGTTTTTTTTGAATATGTGTAGGTGTTTGCTGGACATAAGATTTTATTACACTCAAATCTAGCTAGGTTCATATTCCCCTTAAGCAAGTCTTATCGTGTTATCAATAAGTGGAATTTTTTTCCTTTTCTCAACTTGTTTACTTAAATATTTATAGAAATCAGCTGGTTATTATCACCAAAACAAAACACTTGCAAAAAGGCACAGTAAATTGAGCTGGCAACTCTGGTGCTTTCTTGGTGTACGTGCCGCAACACACACACACGTACGCACAAATGAAGCTCATCGAATTGCAAGTAGAAGTTAAGTTAAGCAGCTACATTTTAAATGAAATTGCGAAAATTAAAATGTACTTGCACGGCGGACTCGACGAATTTCATGCATGTATTAAATATGTAAAGTAAATATGCATAAAATACAAAGGAGGTAAATAAACAATTACACAAACACACAGCTGGCTTTTCAAGTGCACTAGTGTTGGTGTGCCCGATTGAATGAACCTCCCTCAACCCAAAAAAAGCAGCAACAACAAATACAGCAGCGGCAATGATAATACAACACAATGTATTATTCAAGGTAACAAGTGTTTAAAGTTTAAACATTAATATTCTTTGGGTTTATGTACTTGGAGTCTAGCCCACGCACATGTACACGGAAAAAAATTAGAAAATGGGACTGAGGTAAGCTTTGGGATGATAAAACATCGTTTGTTTGTTCAAAAGTTTTATAACGAGAATATATATATTGTGGTATGATATAATATAACAAATATAAATCCTAAGAGAGGTTAAAATTTACTGGTAATAAAATCTGGGAAAATTTATATTTTTAGAGCAATTCAAAAGTTTAAAATAAATATTATATATGTTATTAGTCTTGCCTTTAATCATATTACTTAATATATTCCCAAAACGATGCATTTTTTTATTTAATATATTTAACGAAAATAGTTTCTTTGAAATTTGTTAGATATTGTATTTTTATAGTCATAAAAGGATATACAAAATTATAAAAGTGATCAATATTATATGCATTTTTCTCAAGTGTAAGTAGGGGGACGCTAAGTTAATGGCCGATCCGACACTTGGCCTTTATTGATTTGTCAAGAAGCGGTTTTACGTGAGCGTTTAAATGTTTTGGCGGAAGCGCCAAAAGGCAAATGAAAAACCAGGAAGCCAAGTTCTCTGACTTCCGCCTTTCCCCGTGCGCCTCTCAGATTTAGATAATTAAATTGTTAATAATTCGTTTGCTATATTTCGAAACCCTTCGATCTGATCGTCCCGTACTCACTTCCAATCCCGTCCAGATGCTTTTCCGATTTCCACTTGATATTTTGGAGTCAGTTCCTCCGGACGACTTGTTGTGTTTGTTATAATTCGATGATGGTGAATTGGTTTGTGTTGTTATAAGGCGTTTGTTTTTGTCTTGCACTGAGAATTTTGCGACGTTAGAAAATCGGGAAAACACCTGCAATTTAGTGTTGCATACAATCCAGATAGAATCCACACAGAGAATTTTGATATATCTATTGCGAAACGTATTCGAGTATGTGCTGTGTGCGGATACACGTCCGTGAACGTCAAGCAAACGAATTGAAAAAATTGAAATGATTAATAAAGCAAGTAGGGTAGAGGTGGAGAAGCATCGATGGCACTATCGATGCGTCGATTAATTTCAATCGATTTTTTTTTTTTTGAAAACTAAAGTCCCCCACTAATATATAGGATATAAATCTTCAAATTTTCCATTAATATTTTTATTATAAAAAATTGTTGTACTTTAATTGTATAATCAAAGTTCGATAATCAAACGCGGTTTATGTCTTTGCTTTGCAGTCGTGACTCAAGTCCAAAACGAGGGCTGCCAAATCTATATGTTAAAGCACACATTTATTGAAATGTCTTCGAGTGATCACCATTCGATTCACCGTTAATAAGTGTCTGGTTTAACGCATATTTTTATGTAATAAAATTAATTTTGAAAATATTCAACAAAAAAAAACAAACTATCCATTTAAAAATTAAAGGTAGGCTTGGTTTTTAAATTGTGAAACTATCGATAAAACTTGGTCTAATCAAAAAAATGAAATTATGCTTTTATTTTATTAAAGTAATTTAAAAGTTTTTAACAAAAAATGTACATGTATTCCGCGAATTTAAAATGCAAAAAAGTAAAAGCAAATAAAACATAAATACATAAAAGTACAGCTAACTATTGATTCCGTTTTCTGGAGGGGATCTTGTTTTCTCCTTTTCGCTGCGAGGATCCCAAGGTTGCAGGTTTGTACTGCTGCAGAATCCAAAAACCAACATAGCCATCATATTAAAGGCAATCAGTGAAATCAGTACCACATTCCACTCTTCTTTGCTACCCTGAAAGGTACGTTAAAATTGAAATATATACACAGTATTTAAATTTTTCCCATCTTACAGTATGCACCAGAGCGGCGACTAGATAAGGTGCTAGGAATCCGGAAAGATGGGCCATTCCATTCGCCAATCCCGAAAGTAATCCCGCGAAGGAAGGAGCAAAGTAGAGCAGCGTTGGCCAGTAGCCACTAAATCCCATATCCGTAGAAGCCATCACTAAAGCAAACATCACTAGGACCAATATTTTGTTACCGCAGTCAGCCAGGATGATGACTCCAATCAAAGACGTTGTCAAAATGCTGCCTGTTGTAAGGAAGTGACATTATATAAAAATGATTTCCAATCTTTGACATTAAGAAATCTTACATATTCCATACAGCATTCTCCGCATACAGCTTTGATCGCTACCCACTTTTCTTTCGACGTAGCTGCCACCCACAATGCATAACACCTTCGAACAGATACCTCCCAGATATGGAGCTGCCGAAAGAAAGCCCACTTCTCGCATTTCAAATTCCATAGCCTCGCGCATAAATCGCGGCATCAGCTGAGTGATGACCAGGAAGGTGTAGGTGTGGAACATGTGGGTCAGGACGAAAGCATATGCTGGTGGAGCCATTAGCAGGTGCTTCCAGGGAACTTTTAGTACCTACAAAGGATAGACAAGTTAGCTTTAAATTTCTGATCTTGTTCTTACCACTCACTTGCTGTTCCTGGAGTCCCTCATGACTCTTTTCTTGCTTCAGGTAATCCACCTCCTCATCTGAGATCCGTGGATGCTTATCCAAAGTATCGTATATGAGAAAGCAGCAGGCGATGCCAAAAAAAAGTGCAACCCCACCGACTACATAGAAAGACAGCTCCCAGCCAAAGTTGCTCAAATAATTGGCCACTGGGTAGACCAACATGGATCCCATTAGCAGTCCACTATAGGCGAACGACAAGAGCGCCGTTCGCTCTGTAGGATGAGCCCATGTGACAAATAGTTTGTACATCGCAGGATTTCCGGAGCCCTTTTAAAAAGTTTGTATTGCCTTAAGGAAGTTTTAAATTTCTGTTATTTTTCTCCTTACCGCCGATAGTCCACATATGACCAGGACAACAACTGCCGTCTCGAAACTGAAGTGAGCCATCATTGGAAGCAAGATATAGCCCACTGCCTCGCAGATCAGAGAAACTATAAATAATATCTTGCTGCTGCATCGGTCTGCCAGATAACCGGACAACGAGATAGAGACCACGTAGCCATAGTAGTAGACTCCCGGAAAAGCCAGCTCCTGTTTTCGAGTCCATGGTAAGTCGCCAGACTGCCAGAAATGAAATGAAACTTAAAATTTAGAGTAGAAATGACAACAAATATTTCTTTTTCTACATATTTTAATATTTTTTATTGGCTATGTATGTTTTTTATATTTATATTACTATCGTAAAACCCACTCATAAATATAAGAATCCATGTCTTTAAGCCATTAATCACATTCATTATTACGAACAATTTTTTTTTTTATTATTGCTTTTCATATTTTCAACTACTTATGCTAACTTTTATTTATTTTGTAGATTTGTCTTGCCTGAGTTTCTTCAATCAGTGGATTTAAAACAACCCTAGAGGATCCACATTTTCCCGTAGAGGTGATATTGCTCTCCGCCAATCGAAACAGTGCATTAATAAGGGCATCCTCCGGTCGTGGCATAACCATTTTGAGGATAATCATGCCGAGCATGTTCCTCATGGCAGCATGGAGGCATGTCGACAAGAAGGCGCATATGGCATAGGTCAAACGCACAGATCCCAGGAGATCATGGGTGGGCACACTCGATTGGGTGAGGCGTGGCAGTGTCCACGATCTGCTTTTCATGGTAATCAATTTTTAAACATATACGAGTACACAAAACACTAATTAAACGTTTGGTATTAAACCAAGCGTAGACCGAGCTATGGAGCGACTGATTGGCATTTCGTCGGCAATGCAAATGCGAACGCCTGTCGATCGGTTGGAGATGTTACAACGCCAACTTATTTGCTTTTTGTCACGATTTCACGGCTAGTTTATCGTCGCCCCTCTCACCAAAATATGGAGAATATGGAGAATTTATCTGCGAACTGTAAACTGTAAACGAGAAAGAAACACATGTAAATCTTATGGACAGTGGCGATAAGAATTCAAAATAAAATCAAAGCTCCGAAAGCTTTGTCAGTTTCAGTAAGTTTCTTGTTCGTTTTAATACATAAATTTTGACAAGTCGCTTAGAAAGAACTCTAAAGAGTTTAAATAATTATTGATTTTGATCAGTCATATCTGTATATAGTCGATGGATCTGTACTATATATGTTAATATTCAATTACTGAAATATTTCTTATATATTATTTAATTAAAAGCTTAAAAATACTTTCAAAAGAACAATTTTTGTTGAAAAGTGATTAAAATGAAATGATTTGTATATTGCATTCTCGCACAATTTTATGTCTTTCGTCACCTTAATTCTTTGCTCTTTGCATTTTATTTATAAAGTCAACAAAAGCTCAAATTTCATTAAAAGTTACTAGGCGGTAAATTTAAAGTCTCTTTTCTTATCAAACTTATTTCATAGATGTTTATTAGTAACCGTTAACCATATAATATGAGTGAATATTTAAAACGGGTACAAAAAAGCCAAAAATAAATCTTCTGATTTATAGAACAAAAAATTATATAGAAGAAACAATTATAAGCCCTTATTGTTATAAACAATATAAGATGTCATGTTTAATATATGTCAAGCTTATTAATAACCCAACTATTGACCTTTACCAATACCTAATTATTTCCCATTTAATTTTAGGCTGTCTGAAGGATTGTCCAGTAGACTGCTTAACTTGGTCAAAACACTCGTAAGAAAGGAAAATAAAAAAGAAAAGTAAAAAAATGACTTAAAGAAATGTCAGAAAAAAATTGTAAACAAAATGTGAATGTATTGTGCATGGCACGTCGGAAAACGTTTTTCACGTTCCGGTTTGTGCAATCAACCTTAGCTGCACTTTAATGGTTGACGAGAGAGAGGGAGTGGGTCGGAAGGTGCAGTCGGGTCAAAGTGCACGCTTTGGCCAGTTCAGTCCTGACAGTCAATTGGCTTTCGGATGGCCCGTGTCAGCCATGTCTTTCCCCATAAACTTGGATTCACACACGTGGCGCACACAAATAGATACACTGAAAATAATTAGCAAGTTGGTATGATGTCATATGAAATTACTTGTGCGTATATTTTACTTGGTTAAATTATAGATATCTTATCAGCTGACTGTATTATAAATTAACCTTTTATAAATTCAAATTTAATAATTGCCTAAGAAGTTCTCTCAGAAAAAAAAGATATACATATGGTCAATATACAGTTTGGGAAAAATAGCTATTTTTTAAAGTTCTCATAAGTATATTGTACACAGGTGAGTAAATAAAATAAATATTTTTATATATTGCTATTCAGTTTAGTAAATAAAATTCTAAAACTTATCTTTCCTTAAACTAATCGTTATCAATTGATACTTATTTATGGTATACCTTACCCAACTAAAGATGAAAGTAATATTTGTTAGTCGGAGCTTAATAGGCTTGAAAAACCAAGATGGGCTCTAGACTAAATAAATAAATTTACAATAATAATAAGTACTTAAATAAGAAAAATAATTAAAAATACATGTACACTTGTATATGATATATAGTCATGAAATACGTTCCCCGATTTGTGATGTATTTGGCACTATTTATCACCCTTATCCACGAACCGAACCCATAAATGAATTTGGAGACAACGGCATGCACTTTGCTTATCTATTTGGACGCATCGCGAGGTCTCAATGCGGCGTGTTCTATTTTCCGCTCCGCCTGCACTATGTTTCGATTAAAATTTTGAATTTTTTATGAGCCGCACATGTTAGTTGTCGTTGTTTCTGTTTCCGTTTCCGTATCTGCTTTTTACTTTTTTGTTATTGTTTTTCTGATGTTCTGTTGTTAGCTCATTTGGCATGCATATGGGAAATCGAGGGGGAGGATGTAGGTGGTTAGTCAGTCCTAGGACATTTTACATATTTACCGACTTTTTGATTGATTTTTTATTTATACGCCGCATATGTCGCGCCCACCATTCGAGTGACTAAACTTTCACATTTTCCCTACTTTATGGGATTCCTTATTCAGGTATTCCTCTACCGAATTCCAATTTCTACCATATTTGCTGTGAGCGCATATGTCGACATCGAATCTCGAGGGCAATGCATTGTTTGCATTTGCATAGCCAACATGTTACCATATATATATATTCGCCTTTTGGCGCAAAGTTACCTTGTGCCCTGGTCGCGTGTCCTGGCCAGGAAAACACTTTGTTTTCTCGGTCTAAAAATAGCCATTTTGGCCGCCAGGGACTCTAGTTTTTTTTTAGTTGGCCTAGCCAACTACGAGCGGGAAAATCCAACCAATTTCCACATTTACATCTACTTTTGGTCGTAAAAACAAATGTCCTGTGTACGCTGTTTTGGACATGCATGCTTTTCCTAAAACCGAAAATGACAAAACTTAACACCATTCATGAAGGTAACGGTATGTATAATCACCGCAGTGAAGCTTCGATAAAATAAGTCATTAAACATTTATGGTACAGTTTTGTTTAACAGTTTATAATTAATATTAAAAAAATATTTACTTTAATAAATATCTTAATATAACGTTTTGACCATCTGTTAAAGACCGTTTTGGTAACAAAAATGTAACTCATTGAGAAATCGGAATTTTATGTCCAGTACTTATAGTCATATGCTGTCATCTTCCACGTAAGTGTTGACGTTGTTGGTCAGTCATAGGTCAAAAGTGCGGCAGATGGTTAAATGAGGTCGTCAAAGGACTCATGATGACCTAAACAATGTACTCGAAAGAATTGAGAATGAATCTAAACCACAGAATGGCATATGGGCTACTAATTGCTATTTTGGGACTTTATTGTAATATTTTTATATTTTATTATATTTCTTTGTTTTTAATATTTATTTATTTGTATAATAAAAATTTAACTTATTTGTGAGTATTTGAAATTAAAAAAAAAATAAATGGTAAATTTATAATTAATAATATTACTTTAAAAAAGTTTTTAACTTATTAAATTCATTCTAAGACGACAATAACTTGTAAGCTAGATTAAAAAATAATAATCACGATGAGTTTCGGATGAGCTCCTAATACATCCTACACAAAGTCCAAAGGATTCCTCTTGATTTCCTTTATTTTTTCTAAAGAGAAACTTATCCTGTAGAGAGGATTGCCTTTCAATGGTATTGGGTTAACCCCAAGCCAAAGTTTTAATACATTTTAATTTTCTTTTCTCTCTCTGTAGTTCTTTTAGTTAGTGTTTTTTTCTATGTGGCTTAACATTTCCGACGAATCCTTTTATTCCCACCTGGCCAGAGAGAGAGAGAGAGAAAGAGCAAACAAGTGTTGTCCGAAATTGGTAGAGGGTTCAATTCCAATGCGGCCACTTGACCTAAATTTGTTACTTCTTCACTTTCTGGCAGGGATTTATTGCGGCTTATGTAAATTTTCTGTAGCCTTTGGGCCTCTCGTAGGAAATCATTTTGTAATAAAAACAAATAACAAGAAAAAACTTGCCTAAGTGCTTAAAAGTAATTTTCTATAATTTATTTTTGCTGTTCCATTTCGCTATCTTTGCTGAGTGAGTGGGTTTTTTTTTCGCTGCGAGAACTTTATGAACCCTCTAATAGTGCATAGTTTTCCTGACAGTTGAAGGGCGGAAAATTGTTGCTCTGCCAGCGGGTCAAAATACAGTCACCGTTGCCTTAACAATTAGGGCCCGAAGACGTGACTAAACCACGAGTCGCGTTCTTGGTGTCTCTCTTTAATGCACTGGAAAAAAATATAAGTTTACTCTTTGATAGGGAAAATACATTTTTTTAATAATCAATTACATTTTCTATATTTATTTCTATATTTTTGTAATAAAATACTGCATACTTTGTAACTTTTTAAAAAATTAAAAAAAATTTCTTTCCTTTCCGTTTAAAATTAGGGAAAGGATTTTATAAAACTGCTCTTATTAGAAACAAAAATAAAAGTTTTAGCACATTTTTGTGGGTGTATTTACTGCCTTCGTCCTGCTTTGACATTCTCACCTGCTCACCTGCTCTCACTCCTCTCGAATCGCGCTCAGTTTTTATTCATCGTCGCTGAGAGTCGTAAACCTACGAAGTCAAAGCAAAAGCCATTAGTAGCGGCTTGAAGTTCGCTACGAAAGGATCAAGTTACATTCGTCCTTTGAAACGTCGCTTCAAACAGAAGTCCTGTATTAACGGAGTGCGCGTAAAAGAATGCAGTGATATTTTAACGAGTGCCTAATGAAAATTAATCTTTGGCCAATAAATATCAATTTTTTTAAGCAATTAAACTAAAATATAATATAAACCAAAATTAAACAGCAATTAACAGCTGACAATAAAAAAAAAATTAAAAATTCCCATTACATAATTGTACCAAAGACTGTGTTGTAATTTATTTCAAAAATTTTTAATGAGCATCGATTCGGAGTGAAAAGTAAAATCATGTTTTTTCTCCGTTGACGGGTCATGGAGGTCATCACATTCGGCGCGCCAACGCTTAACGTATTTCAATCCATTATATGCATAACCACACGAAAATCACCAACACAGACACACTTATATACAGACACTAACCAACTAACTAACCAATACAATGTCATTAATAGGGCGTCATTTATTACATATCGAATGTGGAACTCATTCCCATTTCGATTCCCATAACCATCCCCATAACCATTCCCAGCTAACTAACGAGGCCCAATAGCATGTGTTCTTGAAATCCACTAATTTAGTTTATTATTAGTATTATTTGTTGACTTCATTGTTGCATGCATTAGTTGATTAAAGATGGCCAATAGATCTTAACCCAAAACTGGAAACATTTCTCTATTAATTAATGATAATTTCAAATTATTCAGTGGTCCTCTGAAGGCATAAAACATAAAATAAAAACCAATTAAAAAGTGTCCTGAGTTTAATATAGTGTTTGTGCTAACGAAAACCTGATTTAATTACTGGATTAAAACTAAAAAAAAAGCATCAACGGCAAAAGGAGAATCCCTTTAAGCCAAATGTAAGTGGACCAAAATAAAATCCCAGACTGAACTTAAATGGGGCAATACAAGTCGATAATTCCAAAGTGCGTCCTTGCACTTGTACCGAATAACTTTCGGGCCATATACAAATCCATATCTAAGTGTATATAAAAAAGTTATATATATAATATATATACATTTATATGTGTGTAGTTCGATAGGGTGGAGGAGAGGTGGGTATATAATTTCTCTTGCACCTGTCGCTGCTCTTTTCACTTCATCGCGTGCGTGGCAAAGCATTTTTATAGCCACAAAATGTCCTTTTACGTTATGTCTCCCTGAAAAGAAACAACAATAACAAAAAAAAAAAAAAGAAAGGGGAAAACAGAAAGAAAAACCACAAACAATAACAATACCAGCTAGCGGGAAAATTGAAACGCGGTCAGGAGAAGGCAACAAACAAATAGCGCCCCACGCATTATCACAGCCCTTTCATTAGTTTTTCTTTTCTGCTTAAATCTGAAGGAGTTACGGACTTAGTATTAATATTAAATTGCATTTGGCACTGATTGAGGGGATTACTTGGTTGAAAGGGCAACATTTAATTGTTTTGGCCACAGAAATTAACCCTGTTTTACATCGATTGGTCTTTATTTATGGACAATTCAATAAACACTTTCAAGGTCGTCTCTTGCGACACTCGTCGCCGACGTTATTTTACGCTATTTTTAACACATAACTCATATTCAATAATAAATACAATACAATTAGTAATTTTCAAAGCCGTCATTCGGGGTAACCTAACGACCATGAAGACTATGAAGCGCAGGCTCAAAAGACGATGAAATAATTGGTAACACGTAGAGTGCCCTTCCATGTGGTTACGCCTATTGAAGAGTCCCAAAATTTGGTATTTAAGAAAAGTACCTCAAAGTTTCTATATGTTCTATATGTTTTTCTATATATTAATAGTTTGCTGAGGGCTGAACAATAAATATAAAAGTTATAGTTCTTTGAAATAAGTTATAGGCATTTTTATAAAGTTCATTACATAATTGAAGAATAGTCGCCTTATATCTCAGAAACATTGACCTATCAAATCAGGATATTTAAATAGTTGGTCATAATACTTAATAGTTTTATTGTAAGTTTTTAAATGATAACAAGAAAAACAGTGATTCAACTTTAAGATTTTCAAATGCCTTTCCATTCAGGCAGATACTTCTATAAATCATATTTGGAATCTCAAAAGTTGAAAGACTTATTTCCGTTTTAAGCTGTTAATCGATTATTTGTTGATAATAATTCTTTGTATATATATCCCCTTGACTTTAACACTTTAATTTTTGTCATTATCATAAATGAACATTTTTCAAACAATATCCCATTCAATTATTAACAGTTTAAGAAGAAATCCCAGCTGGGCTAATTTTTATAGCAACAACCAATTATCAAAAACATTACAAGTTTTAATGGCAATTAACGTTGAGAAAACTAAATAAGCTTTCTGAATGAGTGATTCATAGATTAATTATTTTAGTTAGTTGTTGGTTGAGCTAATAAAAAGTAGCCAAACCATCGATACAAAATTGCCGTCTCAGCGTTATCAGCTTAACACTTTGATAATGGGAGAACAGAAGGGGTTAACATTTTACTACAACCATTAGACCCGATGAACAGGTGTGCACAGCCAGGTGTTGGGCGCTGATAAGTGGCCTCTTACTGATACCGATACCATTTTAAATGGCCAAAAAAACTGCTGGCAAACAAAGTGGGTAATCACTGTAGCCCTGGCAACCAATTCCGGTGACATTTGGCCAAAAACAAATTGCTGAAACTCCAATTTGGCGATAATTCCAAAAAGGGATTATCTGGAAAAACCATTGATTGCCACCGGTTAATCATTGTTGTATGAGTATTTCTTTATGGCCGCCATGGAGATAAGATTAACCGGAATCGAACACTCGATGTAGTCCAATCCCTACTCAAAATGGTCAGTTGCCTTTTAGCCATATTAGAAGGCAGTTCGGTGAAAACTCTCTCTATCCCTCTGTTTGCCAAAACGGAAAAATGTCAAACTTCCAATGGTTTCTAACGCTCGGCGTCCTTTTTTGTGCGGTTCTCAATCCTCAAGGTAAAAACACCAAAAAAAAAAAGAAACAAAAGAAAACGAAATGAAAACAAAAGTCGGAGAGAAAATCATATGGCCAAATGTTGTGGGCAATTTCCGGTAATTGAATTAAAGCCAACAATTAATCAAAAGTGTGAGAGGATATCAAAAGGTCAGCTGACCACCAAAATTGTTGGACAAATATTGTAGGCTCAGCCGGCGACAGTCATAACATTAAAGAACGACAAGTAATTAATGCAAACGCAATCAAGGTCAAGTACTTTGCCCTATTGACCCACCATCAACCCACCACCCCATTTATCGCATAAAAAAAGGACTCTCACGAATGTCCCAGGTTCCAAGGTCTTTTTTGCGGTTTGAGAAATTGTTTTGCCGGCCACGGAAAATGGAAATTAAAGTGGCAAAGCGTCGGGCGAAATTTCCAGCTTTCCTTTTTGTGTGTGTTCTATTGTTATTGTTATTACCATTTTTCGCGTTCTCATAGTTGTTCTTGTTATTATTATTGTTGTTATTGTTAGTTCAACTGCGTTTGATACTGTTTTATATGGAAATTTTTTCGTTTGCCGCAACCTCATCCGGAAGTCGTTGGCGTATACGTAATAAATTGTGGCCCCGACACGTTGCGTGCCAGAAGAAGCTTTGCCGTCGCGACGCAGGGAATTTGGCTTGCAGAAGCATGGGGCTGGCTTTTATAAGCTTAATAATCAGCTGGACAGGTAGATAAAAGGATAAGAGGGCGTGGCACCGCACAGGATTGACGAGGATGTTCAATCAATTAGCAATTTATCGCGTCAAGGAAAAGGGGTATTCTATGGGAAAAAGGGATTTAGAGTAAAAAGTTTACTGTTTTAAAGCAATTTTAAAGTTTGCAAAATTTAAGATGATGTTCATAGACGATTTTATAAGCTAAGGCTAGTTCTTTAATTAAAAAGCAAAGCATAAAACCTCTTTACGCTTGAGAAATTTCTTGCCACAAATCTCATATCTTTAAAAGATATTAATTTTATTTACTATAAGAATATGTGGTAAAATCTAGTGAGTCTAAGAGTTAATTATTTTGATATTTATAACAATAATTCCACCAACAATTTTGTATTCTTTTACATAAGTTAGTTGGGTTTCGATTAGTTTCTTAATTCATTTAAGGCATTCTTTTTAAAGGCATTCTTTGACTTTTACAAATACGAGTATGTTTGATTTCATAAACTCACTTTATTTCGGTTTGTCAGGCCATATTTTAATTTAACTTAAGGGTTCATATTTGATTTAATAGAATAGCTTCTTTAATATATGCCCAACTCTTCCTAAAAATTAATGAAAATGAAAATGAAGCAAGTGTGGGAACTGGAGCCCGACTTGAATAATTAAGCGGCTTGAAGGTGGACCCGAAAGTGAGGCACTAGGAACTAGGTCGCCTCGACACATCCGAGTGTGGTCACAGGCACCGTCGAGACGTTAATTTTTAACCAACCAACCAGGCTGGCTGGTTCGCCTGTGTCCCAAGCCCGTTCCCTAAAACACATTTGTTTTTTTTTTTTTTTGTAAACCATTGTAGGTGGAGGCGGCGCGCTGGCCGTATTTTGGCCATGTGAAAGCTCGGAGGACTGCACAGCTGACGGTTCAAGCTGCGATTTGGCCAGCGGTCAGTGCGAGTGCTCCACATTCGATACGGTCTTAGCGGCTAACTTCACCCAATGCCTGGCGACGTCGCTCATTGGTGACAAGTGCGACGAAAGCGTCCAGTGCAATCTTATGCCAACGGGGGCCAGTTGTAAAGCCGGGGTCTGCGATTGCGCCGATGGCCAGAACTATCTGCGTGGCAAGTGTCGCCCACTAAACGGACTCGGCGAGTCCTGCGAAACTGTAAGATTTTTTTCCTATATATATCTACTATATATCTTCTTTATTAAAAATAAACTATTAATAGGACTTGGACTGCTATTTTGGTTACGATCGTGCGTCTGTGAGTTGTCAGCAAAACGTGTGCGGCTGTGCAAATGGCTATTATAATAGATATGGAAACATCTGCCGTCGCAAATCAATGGGTAAGTGAAGTACAAAATCATATAAATTATATCATAAAGTAAATGATTTTTAAGGCATTTATAAATAAGACCTGACATTAAATTACTGAACTGGAATAATAATATAAATAAATATTTCCAGAAGAAAACGATGCCTGCGTCGTTAACGAGGACTGTGATGCACTGGGCGCCGATGCCGAGTGCGTGGGCCTAGTATGTACCTATGTTGACGAGATCACAACGACTCCGGGCCCCGGGGTCGAGGATACGGAGACCACCAATCCGGGATCGCAGGAGGATGACTCGACCACAGCGGAGGCGATCACCGAAACCGCCGAGGTTGAACAAGAGACATCCTTCCGAAGCCGACGACAGCTAACCAAGGCCTTTGTCCATGCTGCCCCGCCCACTCACAGCGATGCCTCCGCCCAGGTGTCCTTTGCTCCCCTTACCAATGGTGACACCGAACCGCTTATCTCACCGAGATCCCATGAGATCGCCGTCCAGACGAGCATCGAGCAATATGAGCTAAGGGAGGTGGGTAGAAGTGTAAGGAATGCGGCCACCACTACCACCGCTACAGCATCGACGAGCACTAGCAGTCGGCGGAACTCTAGCCGTAACCAAAGCCACGCCTATAGCCATCGCCGCCGCTTGCCCGCCCTCTTCCGCTTCGATGACGAGGACATCAAGACCTATTCCACGCTGGGATCCAGCCGCGATGACGATGACGTCGATGAGAAGAAGTGTGAGTGATCTTGGCCCCTTCTACTTTAAATTTAATTTGAATAGTTTTCACATATTAATATATTTATTATTCGGATAGTAAAACATAATTTAATATCATATTCCGATTTAGATGGTAGCAGCTGTACGGATAATGGAAAAACATGCTCGGGTCTGCCGCACTCGATTTGCACCAAAAATATTTGCCTTTGTCGTCAGGGTTACTATGGACGTAATGGAAAATGTTTTGCAGGTGAGTTAAAGGTAGTCTTACTTGTTATTGATCATAAAAATATTTTAAAATATATATCACAGAACTGGGTGAAATTGCGGAGAGCACAGACGAGTGCGAGTATGAGTTCGATGAGCTGACCAAAACTTGCGTTTGCCAAAAGAACTATTTCTACGAGAGGGATCTGCGGAACTGCAGAAAACGTAGGTTAATCCTCCTGACGTTTTTGAATCTATATAACACATTCTATTCATTCCCATCACTAGCCATCCAATATCACTTGTCCTGCACCTCGAATAGCCAATGCAGTCCATTTGGTGCCTCATATTGCCATCCGGAGATTCCGAGGAGGTGCACTTGCGAGGAGTACGCCCTGTACGATGCTATAAAACAGCTCTGCGAATATAAACATGGCCTGGGAGCTGAGTGCGAGTCGAATGATGCCTGTCCAGTGGATAACTCCGTGTGCTCCAATCGCCTGTGCGTTTGTGCGGAAAACTACTTTGAAAAGGACGAGACCTGTTTGCGGGGTATTGGTGCTGACTGCTCGGTGGAGGATGACTGCATAGCTGAGAACACCACCTGCCAGGAGAAAGACGAGGAGGATCCGTCGCGAACCTGCCAGTGCCGGAAGGGATACGTCCACTTCAAGGATCAGTGTCTCAAGGAAGGTTCGTATACTCTGAAAAATAAGTTTTGGGAATGAAATCAAGATATTTTATTTAGTTTTTAATTACATACTTGCTTTATAAATAAATAATTAAATATATTTCATTCTAGCTGAGGAGCTGGAGGATGAGTGCGTCGAGGATGAGCAGTGCAAGCCTCTCCTGGCCAGCTGTAATACGGAGGGCAAATGTGGATGCACAGATGAGCAGCACGAGAAGAACGGAGTTTGTGAGACAAAGCGAGGTAAGATATTACTTTATAAGTTTTAATATTTTTTTTTCTTAAATATTATAATCTTATTCTACAGAACTTGGAGAATCGTGCACCAAGGCCACCGAGTGCTATATAGAAAAGGATCCCGAGAACGTGGAGTGTCGCAACTCCGTCTGTCAGTGCAAATTTGGATACTCTACGAACACCGATCAGAAGCAGTGCATTCGAGTGATGCCCAGTAAAAGTGAGTATTAAGAAAGAGAGAGAAAATATATCATAAACACCTCTAATTTAATTTATCTTTTTACTTCCCTTTATCCACAGATTCTTCCGGTAGACCCAGTGCCCTTAAAATCATCACCTTCATGCTGATTGGCTCCGCTTTTCTGATCACCAGTGCGGCCATAAAGCAGGCCTACTACTAAAAAGCAAACCTAATCCCTTTTAAATGCGTTGTGAGGAATGTGGCAAGGATAATCGAAGGACCTTTTGGGGGGTAAAAATGGGGATCAGGGGTTAAACACCGGCCAGTATTAGCCAAGTTAGTGGCATGGAAACAGAACCATGCGCAACGTGAATATAAATCAAGTAGTCCATAAGCTGATATATAAGTGTCGAAGCAATATTTGAAGAAGAGTCCTCGAAAAGGGACTCTCGCTTAACTAATACGGCTAACAATAATGACAAATTATCTCTAAGTTTGAAGTTAAACTGCTTGTTGATAGGCTAAGCAAACAGTTTTTAACCAAATTGTAATATATACATCCTAAATAAACCAAGGCCAACGAGAAGTTGTATCAAATTCAGATATTTTTGTGTGCAAAATTATTTGTAAAAAAACTTTTCTTTTAAAAATTTTTAAATCAAACACCCTTGAAAATATTATCTAAATATAAATTTTTAAAATTAATTCAAATCTGCCTTATACCGTACTTCAAAATTCAAAATGAACTCTAAGGGTGAAGTCAAGAAGGAACCCTATGTAAATGGGTTTTTTAGTTATTTGATGGAAAATCATTTGCAATCCTCGGAAATGTCCTTGGAAGATGCACTGCATCAAGGAGCACAGAACTGGAATGCATTGAGCTTCAAGAAAAAGGACAATTATCGGTCAAGAGTGAGTATAAAATTGTAATTAAAGATATATTTAAATAGGAAAGGAAAACCTCAACCCCTTAGATTAAGAGGGGAAAACTGAATCAATGTAACAATCGCCGTCGCAAGCGTCAACCGGAAAAATGCCAAAGCGGGTTAAGGAAGACGCTCACTTATCGCCGACTTACCAGGTGTTAAGAGTGGTTGTAAGTCCAAGATGCGGCGTTCTTGCAGGCCAAGAAAATGCAAATCCCGGCACTTAAGACATTCGTGTATGCTTAAGAAATCACCTAATGTAAGTAAAGTTATATAATTTTTTGTTTTTTTAGACTTGAATTTTTAGTAAATAATATCTTACAAAATCATTAAATGGCATTTAAAATGCTTTATAACTATATGCTAAAATAATATAATTTGTCTATGGTATTTTCATGGCTTTTCCAAAAAATATATCAACTGGTATCTACCTTATAAAATATTACAACTTATATTTATTTTTATATACTTGAAAGGGTTTAAGCCTCCGATTGCCAAATGTATTATTAAATAATTCTTAACACATGACATTTTTGTCACACAACAGGATTTTTGATTACTCTTGTTTTAAGGTTTATTTGATGATTTATTTTTATACCCGTTACTATTAGAGTAAAAGATTCGTTTAAAAGTAAATAATATGTATCAGGTAGAAGGAAGCGTTTCCGATAAAGTATATATATTCTTGATCAGTATCAATTGTCGTCCGTATGACGCTGAGATCTAAAAATAAAATACAAAGTTCATTTTAGCGTATTGCCACGCCCACTCTAACGCCAACAAACCGCGGAAAACTGTGGCGTCCAAAATATTATAATGAATATCTTCGTTTGACCTTGTATATATACATATTTTTGATAATATCTATCGAATTACCAAAGATTTTTCAAATCGGAACATGATTTCGCTATTCATGAAGAAATTTTAATAAATCTAGTAGACTGTGGAAAAATTGACAGAGAGTTCTTGTATGTTTCACATGTCCAGAAAATCATTTCTCTCAAGATCCAAGACGACAAGACAACAGTGTCAGTTAGTTCCGGGTGAAATTTCAAAGTTGAAATACGTCAAGTCTATTTTGTCGTGAGACAATTGCTGAATTGAATTGCCTGTAAATTTCAAGTCTCAAAATGTCCCACCCTTGCCCGGTCCATAATAAGGATTCCTCCAGTGCTTTAATCATGTAAGTTTTAAATGGATACATTCGGATACCAAAAATAAATGGTTTTGGTTACCAATCTAGCACAAAATCCGCAAATTCGGACGACGCTAAGATAGCCATGTGTGCTTCCTTGGAATTGGCCAACTGTCGCGCTGAGAACTGCCAATTAAAGAAGAAGCTCATTGAATACGAGGCCACCATCAGGAGTCTCGAGCAGCTGGTGTCCACCATTGCCGACAAGCAGCATCAGATCCTAAACGAAGTCGTGGAGATGCGCAAAGAGAGTCGCGCCGCTCCGATGGCTATCACTGACCAGGAGAACATACCAGGCGGCCCATCTATTATGCTTCAGGATGATGATGAGGCTGAGGATGGTTATAGGCCGGATTCAGAATCCGAAAGCAACGATCCATCAATGATCGTCTCAGTCCGTTCATCGACAGTTTCGCTCGGTTCCTTGTGTATTTCGTCGACCAGCTCGATGGGCGTCTCCATGCTCGATGAGATGGCAGATTCTGAATTCGAAGATGAAGATTTAACAAGCGATTTTGAATTTGATAACTATTCCGACCAGGAGATGGATCTACCAGAAGTTGTGGAGGGAACTGATCCGCTTTTAATTACTTCTGACGTAATGTCGCCTGTACAGGATTCCCTAACCGAATCCGATGGCGATCAATAGTTTCTCTCGCATATTTAGGCATACTTGCTGAATCAGAGAAATATATGTTATGTTTAAAAACTATATGTTCTTGTTATTAATTACTTTTTGGGACTCGAGGGTTAAATCTTTACAATTGATTTAATTAAACTAAAATATACAATTTAAACTTGGTAATAGAAAATCTCTATCCCAAAATAATAGATTCATATTAAGAATATGCCTTAAAATTAGTTAACTGAATATTTTCTCATTGGTACTTGAAGTCATTAGTGCCGATCCTGCAGTTGCACCCAGAAATCAGGCGGCGAGATTATCAGCCCATTGAGGTTTTGAGAGAGATCTGGCAACTGATCATTTGGACCTAGGACAAAGTCAAAGTGCTGGCACATGGTCGCCGTCATCAAGAAGAGCATGTTGCGGGCAAAGGTCTCTCCAGCACAGAGTCTTTTTCCCTGCTCCGAAGGGCAAAGAGACATCCAGCTTAAGGCTGAGCTTGCCCTCTGAGTCAAGAAACCTGTCCGGTCGAAATTGTTCCGGATCCGACCAGACACGGGAATCCGAGTGGAAGGCATATAAGCTGGGCACGACAATGGTGTCCTATCGGGAATAGTAATAGTATTATAAATTAATAATACTAGATATAAAAGAAAACTAACCTTTGGGTATCCGGTAGCCCAGCAACTCGGTGTCCTCCAGTGCCTTGTGCGGCACATCCGAGGGAACCAAAGGGTTTCAATGCGTAGACCCTCTCGAACAGTGGCCTCCGTGAAGGGCAAGTTCTTTCTGTCCTCCAGAGTGGGGAGCCTTCCGCATCCCACTACCTCATCGATTTCGTTCTGCATTCGTCGCAGAACTTTTGGATACAACATGAGATACTGGACGAGTAGCGCTAATTGCACTCCAATGGCAGTGAAAGCTGGAAAGGAGAAGTCCACCAGGCCCATGATTAACTGATCCCGATTGAAACCATAACCAGGACATCGGCGCATCTCGGTTATATAGACATCCATGAAATTGCGCTCCATACCCTCTTCAAAACTATCCAAATACTTATCCACAAAGTCGGCAAAGAAGTGGCGTACAAAGAGATTGGCTTCATTCAGCTTATTGTAGCCACTCCACTCTGGCCAAAAGTAACGTATCCATGGCATGATGCTCAACATCCTTCCGTAATCATCAGCATTCCTTTGGAACTGCATTCCCATCTGGCAGAGTTTTACCATTCTACCCATTTCTTCCCTACTCTGGCACTCATTGTAGACAATGTGAAAGTGACAGTTGGCCGAGAAGGGGTTAAAGAGCAGCGGCAGGAGTACACGATATCCCCCTGGCTTCACCATTTCATGCTCATGTCGATACTTTGGTCCATTCCGGATCAGATCGAGCATGTCCGTCAGCTGCTCCTGAATGACCAACTCCAGTTGATCAAATCGTCGCCCAAAGCCAAAGTCTCGCAAATAGCGCAAGATGAAGCGACGCTGCTCCTTCCATAAGGGTCCATCCTGAAAGAAAATACCTACGGAAATTTAAATTTATTAATAATATTAACCGTCTAGGCTACTTGGGCTTATCACTCAAGGTGGCGGAAGCTATTTAATATTTTTTTTTAATGATTAGGCTTTGTAACGTTCAGCTGTGTTTAAACAATTAGTGCACGTCGTTGTGAAAAGTTTTATTTTAAAAATTAAACACACTTCAGTTATCAACGATTTCTTTATAATTTGTTATTTACCAAACTAAGAAAAATCTTAATTTTTAACTAGAATCATTTTTAATTGCCGATATCCAAATCCGCAAGGAACTGCAGATGTTAGTCTAGTTGTTAAGCTTGCAAAAATATTTCTTTTTAATAAAATTGATAAGATAGATTAGTGAATATCTTATACCAAATATACCTGAACCGAATTATGAGAAAATAATAATAATCTTTAAAAGATCGTAAAGTAAACAAGCTTTCACTTTCTATGGCTGAAGTGCACCAAGTGTTAATGGGTTTCGAGCGATAAGAATGTTTTGTTCGCCAACAGCGACAATTAACTCGCGATTGACCCCAATATTTTTAACAACGCCATTATAATTGTCCACTATCAATGATGGATTTGATTAGACTCACCTCGGACATCTTGGCCGGGATCTCGCATAGCGGCTACGAAGAGCTTAGGACGTCCATCGAATACCCTATTGTTAAGAATCTCACGTACTCCTTCTGAGCTATGGACAACAGCCACCGGAAAAGGACCCACATGGAGTCCTATGATATCCGATTTATACCAACGACTTAAGGTCAAAGCAGCCTTATGGAGATACTTAAAGTTTATCATTAGCATGAAAAGATAGCTCCCGAACATCGGAATCCTTGGAGGTCCTGTAAATAATCCATAAAGTTTGCGGACTTCTAGTTGAGGACTCTATTTCCCAAAACGAACCAGGAGGAAAACCGGAGGGTCTAAACACTGCATATCGATACGAAAGGCAAAGTAACACTGCGGAGCAGATCGCCAGGAGAATTTCCGTGATCATCTTAAAGTCCGGACACCAACTGAACCCGTAGCTGCCGTGCAGCTGCGTTTTTGTAGCCACGATAAGTCACTCACACTTTCGCCGGACAATAGCAATTAAGCAACGCCAATCTATATGGATCGGTGTTTATTCATAGATCGGCTAGTCGGTGGCACTCTGTCTCGCTTATGAGTTTTGTGATTTCCCGATCAACAGCGGTCGCTAATACAAAAGATTAAAGGTAATAATAAAAATGTAAGATCTAAAAGATATTTTTAATGTTTTTAACTTTATCAAGAACTAACTATGTATATGATAAGAATTAAAAAGTGTATATGTGAAAGCGGATAAAGCACATTTACAAATCAAGTGGACAGTAATATTTAAAATCCGATCAATCAAATCGAATGATAATATAAACCAACTACATGTATAGATATGGGCATTAAAATGATAGATGATATAAATTTTAAATGCAATTTTAATCTAGAAAAATTGTATTTAAAACTTTCTTAACGCTTCTTAGCGTAGAAAATAATCATATAATTGTGAGTGCTATTAAACAATTACAATGTGTACTTAGCACGCTAAAAATAAATGCACTAATCCGGATAATATGCCCAAACCGTTAAGCTTAAATCGCAATTAATCTTAACTGTGTGCTATTATTTTGTCGCCAACTATTTATAATGCCGATTGGAAGTGTTATAAAGGCCATGGGGGGCTTCACCAGTCTCAGCTAATCGGAAGTCAAGCCTGAATCGTCGGAGAGGTGAGATCAATCTCAATTATGGACTTGCACTTGGCCGCGTCCTTGGGCGGTGTAGCAGGATGGGATTCCATAGACATTTCCGTTGCCAGCGAGACGAGCTGTTGCCACTGAGATACATCGATATTTAAGCTATGAAGATGCTGACACAGTGAGTCCAACCCTTCGACATCGGTGGCCTTTAGATCAAAGGGTATCAACTCGTCGCGATTATCGCCATGCAGTACAGTGACACCTTTCACACGTGCCGGCAACGCCTCGCGATTAATATAGGTCCCTGTTGCCTTCGACAGCGTGTGGATGCTATTAAATTAAACAAAAGAACATTTATTATTTTCATTATTACTTATATACACTTTATATAGCATAATGGGCACTGCGTGAATGCTTTACACTTTTACTTGAGAAAATATTTTTTTTATGTCTTTTATGTATAATTCGTTTTTTAACAAATGAGTCTTATAAATCATTTTTATTGTTCAGGGGTTACGGGTATGTCCTACTAATGTTAATAACAAATGATCAAAATACCCATTGCGCATTAAGGTAAAATATGTCTTGTTTTTTTAAAGAAACTTAACATTTTGACAATTAGGTGTAATTTAGAAATATTTTTCAATTTATTCTAAGTTTTATTTAATTATTATAAGGTTTTCAAATGAATAATACTAGGATAGCATACTGTAAACAATTGTGTTTGTAAGAAAATAGTATTTAAAAACCTCTAAATACCCACCTTTCCATGATTTCGTTTTTGCGCTGTCTGACCAACATTTTTTGTTGTTTTATTTGCTCTCTCATAACCAAATTCCTCTGTTTCGTGGCCTCCACTTCTTGGGCAAGTTCCTCCATGAAGGAAACTCGCTTTTCCATCTCCTCACGACGTTGAATTACCACTTTTTGTAATTTTTCCACATCTCGATGATGATTAACAACAGCCTCCTTGACATCCACTAAGGCATTTAAGCAAAATTAAGCAATTAATACAAAAATGGTTCAATTGCACAAGTTAACTCACATAAATTGCTGTTGAATTTGAATACTTTCTTGATGACACTCGCTTCACGGGCTTCCATTTGAACCTGTTTGTCGAACAAAGCCTTTATACGTTTCTCGTAAGACGATTCTGCAGTTGTAATGGCCATATTTTAGTTTAGTTAAAGGAATTAATTAAATTATTTTAAAAATTCAGCGCCGCTTTTTGACTTCCAAGACGCTTGTTTTGCTTTCCAGTTAGCGGTGGCACTTCAAATAGAGATGACACTTTCATGGCGCGATAGGGCTGCCAGACCGTTATACAATGAATTTGTTCTACATATCGATTATAGCCATCGATCTATTGTTGTGAAAGTTACATCTCTAGGAGCCGGCAAGCAGAAAATTGCAAGTCAAATTGGCAAGACGAAAAACATAAAGTAATCGCATTTTCTGCAACAATTTGTTCAATTTGTGAAGTTATAAATTAATGCGTTTGCTGTTCGGCGTCCAGGCAATACGCAATCGTCTCGCTCGCACCTACAGCAGCAGCCGTTTTCGAAAGGTGAGCAAATAATTTAGTGCAAAATTTGCAAAAACAATTTGCAAAACAAGAACAAAGAGGCTAAAAATAGAGAATATAGATTTTGCATAATGCTTCTTGGGAATATCTACGTTTTAAGTGTTGTTTTAAATATTTATTGCAATGGATGGGTAAGGTGTTCTACTTGGTTTTGGAATTAGAAACCCCGCGAATCGGTCAACGACCCACTTGTTGTTCTTGTCGCGCCGAAACCAAGGTCACGATGGCATTTTTTAATTTGAGATTTAAAAATGTTTTGTTGGTTTATTTTTATCTTTGTTATCAAACCTATTGGTGCTATAAAGTATCATAAAGAAAGTTTGTAGAACTATTATTATATTTTTATTGCCTTACAACTGAAAAAACAGAAAATAAATGTCCCCAAAACGGTAATGTTTAAAATACTTAAATACTACCTTAACCAATTCCTAACTTAATTACATTATATACTTCTGTCCAATCTCAGATGGTAATAATCTGAAAGCTTAGACAAAATATATTATAATGAAAACTGAATACTATTCTTCGAATAATGAAATAAACATGAGATTGTTTTACAATCCTAACATTATTTCTCAATAAAAATTACATTACCTTACAATTACTTTAGAATCGCAATGAGTAACTGCTCGATTAGCTCAGATGGCATCCATCTAAAACCCCAAACCCGGACCTTATCTCTACGCTTTTCGCTCTCGTGATTTATAGGTGGGGTGGCTGCAACAATTGGCCGCCTCTGTGGTGCAAAGTCGTCGACTGATAAGCAACTGGGGCATTTTGAGTGGTAAACGGTAGATTAGCATCGATAAGATAGTACCAGTGGTTTATCGCTGGGATTCGACTGGGCTTCCCGGGTCTTGAAATCTGAATCTTTGCTCATTCACAATCATCTTCTCTTACAGATGGCAACGGACGTGAAGTTCAACGAGTCGCTGGGATGCAGCGATCCGCAAACACATCCGGTACTGATCATCGGACAGCTGCGCCATCTCAATCTGCTGAAGTTCAGTCATCTGGAGAGTAAGCTGAGTCCGCGAGTAACGGAAGAGACTTTCCTGAATGCTGTGGCATGTTTGCATCCGGCGCCCACCGATAAGGTTTCTCTTTACCTTGATGTGGCCACAGTGGCTGCCCTGCCATTGAAGGCCTCGCGACATAATACTGCCTCCCGGGCCCATGCCATCACCCGACTGGTGAAGAACCATGTGCTGAACGTTTCCGAGGAGAGTGTAGTGCTGGTCTGTGAACGTGAGAATCTATTCGCCAGTGCCTGTGCTGTGGTCCGGGCTTTTCCTCTCTATTCCCGTAAAACAGGGAACTTACTGGCTGCAAGCCAAGCAAAGTCAGGTTTCGGTTGCGGAGATCAAGGAGATGGAAACAAAGATATAGGACGGAATGTAGTAAACGTCGAGTTTCTGCTAATCAACAAAGATGGGGGCATAGAAAGCGAACCTTTGACGGAAGATGAGCTAAATTGCCTGAATGAGACCACCCGGGCGATACGACTGACTGCTCGCATTGTGGACATGCCCTGCAACGAGATGAACGTGGACCACTTCATCCAGGCAGTCGAGGACGTGGGTAGAGAGCTTGGCATCGCACCGCAAATAATCCGCGGTGAGGAGCTGCAGGAGCGCGGTTTTGGTGGTATCTATGGCGTGGGTAAGGCGGCAGCTGTGCCACCTGCTCTTGTAGTGCTATCTCATCAGCCACAGGGAGCCCAGGAGACCATCGCCTTGGTCGGCAAGGGCATTGTCTATGACACCGGTGGTCTAAGCATCAAGGCCAAGACGGGCATGCCCGGTATGAAACGCGATTGCGGTGGAGCCGCTGCGATTCTTGGCGCCTTTTATGCAGCTGTCCGTTGTGGATTTAAGGATAATTTGCATGCTGTTTTCTGCTTGGCAGAGAACTCAGTGGGTCCAAATGCCACTCGGTGAGTTTTAACTTGTTTACTTATGTGATTAGATTTCATTTACTCATTATTTCTACTTCTTACAGTCCCGATGACATTCACACGCTTTATTCGGGCCGTACAGTAGAGATCAATAACACGGATGCCGAGGGACGATTGGTACTTGCAGATGGCGTTTGTTTTGCCAATAAGGATCTAAAAGCCAATATCATCCTCGACATGGCAACATTAACTGGAGCTCAGGTGAGATATAATGTTCGACTTTTATAATTTCATAAATGTTGATAAGAACAATGTTCTCAACACGTGATTAAAGAGGAAATTCCGCTTTTAATCAACAAATCAGCGATTACACATGAGATGCTTTTAGGTTTAAAAATGTTAATTTTTAATAGTGTTTCATCATGATTTAATATTTGAGTAATCAATAGTGTAATATTTTAAAATATTCATTTGATTACGTAAAACTAAAACTGTCTTAAACATAGATAAATAAGTTTTACTCTCATTGATTTGTTTAGATGTTAGATTTATTGAGACTGTCAGCTTCACCGACTGACCTATTCTTTCCTTGAACCTCCAATTATTTAGCAGCTTCCTTTGTACCCTTTAATCGCATTAAAGGCAACAATTCACCAGATTGAATGCACATTTCCGCCACTAATGCAGCCAGCAAATTATTTCGCTGTTGGTGTCCAAGGTAATTTCGGTTTCGAGAGATCTTTGCGTCAGGTAAACGAAAACGGGGAGCTGGCAGGTAGTGGGTGGGTGGCCTTGGTATGTACTGTGTTCGGCTGCCTTGTTATGCGAGAATTTATGCCACGCTTTATAAAAGTCACGATGCAATTGACTTATGATCTGTATTCTTATACGCATCTGCAAAAACGGGAATACATTTGCAGGTAGATGGTTTGATAACAACACGGAAAATCTAAAATATTGATGCAATGTACGTTTTTTTGGGTTTTTTTAAACTTTGTCATTAAATACTTGTAATGATTATAAACTCTTATTTTTTAATATTAGTTACTGAAGACGGCAATAATTTGTATTATTAGAAATATACTTTTCTAATATTAAATTATTGGGATTTCCTTCTTTCCTTTCATGTAAAATTATTCGGTCAACCCTCAATGACCTGCTCATGCAATACAGCTGAAGACACCCGAAACACCCGACTCATTTCAAGACACTCGACTCATTTCAAGACACTCGACTCATTTTCAAGACACCCGACTCACTTTCCCAAAAATCATGGGTGCCTCAGACACTCGCTTCATTTGCTATGAGTGTTTAGGGTGTCTGTGCATTAGACTCATGTGCCTAGAATTGAGCGGGTGTCAAAAACGCAAACACCCTAAACGCACAAAGCGATCTGTGCACTCCGGGTGTGTGCTCTTTTCTTGCTGTTCATGAGTGCGACACACACTCGAAATGTATGAGTGTGATTCGGGTGCCGAAAAAAGACACCCTTGACGTTCTCTGGTCACGAGGTTAATTGGAAAAATAAATTGCAAATTTGGTTTTCACTGGCAACTTGGAGGAATAGCAGCAGCGGCAGCATTGGCAGACCAACAACAGCAAAGGATTCGTCGTTTGTGGTCGCTTTTGGGTTGCATCAGCGGAGGAGTGGGGAACAGTGTGGGGTAAAACTGGGGGTTTTTTTTAGGGTGGAGTTTCATTTTCCATTGCAGTGAGAAGGGGAGAGAAAGCGTAGAGGGAAAGAGAGAGCGTTAGCAACTGAGTAGCTGCTGCGATGGCGCACAATTACCATAAATCTTGACTGCAATTTGCTTAAAATATGATGCCAATTTACGTTATTTGTGGTTCGATGGGAAATAAATCGAAACTGGTCAGAGGGGCGTGGCATCCATGGCTTTTCCTCCCCATTTCGAAAGCTGCATTGTTCGCAGGGAAATTCCTTGCAAAATCGCAAGCCTAAAAACCGACAAAAACAACCAGCTAGCTATGCTCTTCTAAAAATTTCCACAATTTTGCCATTTTGTTCAGAATTTTCATTTTTGGCGCTTGTTGTGCTTAATTTCATTACACCCAGACACACACCTAGACGGGTGGATGCAATAATATTAATTGCCAGCATTGGGGCAACTGCCACTGCCACAGCCACTGCCACTGCAAGAACAAAAAGCAGGCAGCCAACACTTTTTCGCTTTTACATTTTATGTTCCTGCCGCTTGTTACACCTTTTGCTGTTGTTTTTGGCTGTGTGTGGCGGCTACTGGTTGCACTGGGAGAAAATGATCGTAACCTATGTTAGTTTATGGAAAGTATATAGTTTTCTATTTAGGAAAAATGTAGAGTTCCTTTAAGATTTAACTTTCAGAAAACCTATTGATGATTAAGTTAAAAAATTCAATTTGAACATTTAATGTAGCTCTGCTGTAAAGTTGTTGCTTTTCATTGACTTTAGGAACAATTAGAGATATCATTTCAAAGTGTTACACGCTTTTTAATAGTGTATTTGTACTGCTGTTGCTTTCAGCACTGATGTTTTTGGTGCTTTTGTTGCAACTCCTGGTGCTGCCTTCATTTGTCCAGCTGCAGCTGAACACGCGCCACGGAGTCCTTGCCTGTTGTTTGGGTGTTGCTCGTTCTAAATAACCTTGCACCTTTTTATTGCCAGTCGCGTCGGAAGCTCGCAATTTTTGTGCACCCCATTCCCTTTCTCCGTTCAACACCTTGCATCCACCCCTTTGTCTTCATCGTAACATTGTTAGTTGCCGTACAGTTTTATTGCTGGCATTTTGTTGATTGTTGCTTGTTTTCTATCAAACCCTCCCCAGCGAGTTCGAAAACCCATTCTTAAATATATATGTATATTATCTAGCCTAGCAGGTACTTGAATATTTCATTTGCGATTTCTCACAATACTCACTATATTTTTCTCTGTACTCTTTTTATTTTCCTTCCAGGGCGTTGCAACAGGCAAATATCATGGTGCCGTATTGACAAATTCGGAGACATGGGAGGCAAAGTCGTTGCAGGCTGGACGCAAATCCGGCGATTTATTGGCCTCCATTATTTATTGTCCCGAATTGCATTTCTCGGAATTCGCATCGGCCATTGCTGATATGAAAAACTCCGTGGCGGTAAGTACTTGGCTTGTACGATTAAAAATAGTTTGTAAAAGAAGAAGAACTTTACACTGTTTCTATAGCAAAAAAGGATATGAGCAAATTATGGTTCAAGAATTTATTAATTTTCATTTTCTGCATTGGGTAAACCATGCAAGAAGTGGGGAAATATTCATGGGGCATGGTAAATCTTGCAAATAACTTTTTAGGAAAAACAATTGTGGTGTAAATATTTTGTAATATTTAATTAAAGAATATTGCTTTTAAAATTGTTTTCAGAATTTATAAATGAAAATAATTGGAATGTTTAAGGAAATATTCAAAGTAATTGTTGGATACTGATTACTTCTCACATTTTAGTCTGTCTAGAGGCTTTTCATATCAGTCTTAGATTTACAATTTAAAAACCCAAACTAGTTTTGTTTTAAGGAAAAACTTTTACTTGGCAATATTTTTCCTGCTATCTTGATATCACTTTAAAAGCTTTTTCTACCCATCCCCAATCAAACTATCTGCAGATGCCATCTCATCCTCGTCACTCTAGCTCTCTTCTCAAATCCTTTTTTTCGGTATTTTCTTGGATTAACAGAGGGTTTTTTCCCCCAAATCAATCCCCAAAAGTACCTTAATTTATGCATTATCGAAGACACCCAAATGCTGTGAACTTTTCCGGCCGCCCGCATTTGATAGAGAAAGCGAATGACTTTGAGAAAGTTTTAATCAAGTTTCGGTGTAACTTTATTCATTTGTTTTCAATTCATTTTCATTTTGCGTTTGCGTTTGCGTTTTCCCCACAATCCATACATCCACTCTGCCTTTTGCACTCTCTCGCCCTCCAGAGATATATTTTACACACATTTTTAATTAACTTTATCGGTTGCACTCAATGTTGTTCTTTTGTCTTACACTCGACCGCACCGTTGCGGAAAAATGATGAACGTCATGTTTGGTTTAAAGATTGATTAGTATTACTCTGATTTATGCCATACACACGCCGCACTCTCCGGCATTCGCATGTATCAAAAACTTTGGCGTTCAATCTACGCCACCAGCCACTTTCGCAGCCATTAGAAAGGCCAGCCAGAGAGTCCGGTCCTGGCGGTCTGTTGGTTCTGGCCCTGGGATGGCACTAGGTGAGCCATAAACCCATCTCTGGGCACTAGCCAACGGAACGAGGTGGTTCGTCGTCGTCGTCGCCGTTGTCGTTTCTGCCCCCGGGCTCCCTTGCTCCATTCGGTTCGGTTCCCGTTTGGTTCGGTTCCAGTTCCTGCCACAACAGTCAACCAAATCGAGTTACCTTATTGTACGTCGCAAGCGCCTCGGATCAATGGTCATTCATCATTGTCACGCCGTGGGCGGATGGGGGGTGGTTGGAGGTTGTGGAGCTTGGATTCCTGGTGAGATGCCAGGAGGACGGAGAGTAGGAGGTAGGGTTGGCTGGCTGGCTGGTGCGTAGATGCCGGGCAGGTCAAGTGGCGTGGCAATTTTGGCTACCTGCCAATCGCCCACCCTGCAACCTTTCGATAAGTACACGGTGCAAAAATACATATTATATTTTTATTTTTAATTTTTAAATATTTAATACAAATTTATTTTAATTTAATTTTTAAAAATGGGTATTGGGGTAAACATTAATAATACATTTTGCTTAAGTTTAGAAAATTTTTTATTTTTATTTTTAAGTTTTTTTCCTCTGCAATTTGACTGTTTGATTTTTCGTCAGTCTGTCCTATCTCGCAGTTGGAAAAAATGGGGAATCAAGTCAAAATATCACACCATAGCATGTTGGCCATGCCACACACACACACACACACCACACCTCTTAACCCCTTGATGCCCAAACTGCAGTTGATGTGACAGCGCCGCGCACTTTGTCAATGGTGTCTGTGATAAAGTGTTTTAAATTCCAAATGCATTCAACGTTAAATGCGAAAAAAGGTGAAATACCAGCCCACCTATCACCCATTTGCTACCCATCAGCGTCACATTTTTTTCTGGCTTTGAGGCAAATTCCCACGCGCAGCGTTTAAATTACATGAGCTAGCTTTTTGTGCCCCTCCCCACACCTACAAACAGACATATCTACCTGTATTTTTTTGTGTAGAGTCTTTTGGGTGTCTTTTCCCCTAGTTTACCACTAAATGGAGGGATTATGAGTGTTGTTAGCGGTCGCCAGGGCTCTTTGTTGGCCGCTGGCTTTGGCTTCAGCTCATTTTGGCAAGCACCAGCAGTAGGTAGGCGGTGGTGGTCAGGTGATGATCCCCATCCTTCTCAACTCACCCCCCAGTCTGGTCCTTAAATAACCGATTCCCATTTGTTTTACGCCCCTCTTTGCCACGGCAGTCGTGATCCCCTGGCGCGTGGTGATATCTGCGGCTGTTGGCTGTCAGGATGCGATTGTCCTCGATAACGAGAACAACATGCTGCGTATTTCGCGAATTAAGCGAAACCATTTAAGCCGATAATTAGGAGGTTCTCTTTTTGTGGGTCGAGCTGCAGAAATCGATGTGGGTCATTCGATTCTGTTTTGGGGGACCGCATTTCGAATGCCATTTATGTAATAGTCGGTCTGTGGTTTCGCTTTGTTAAATGAGAATGTCTATTTCAAAATGGAAAGCCATTTAAGATATTTTAAGCTTGGGATGTTAATAATTGAAGAGAATATAATGACTGCGCCATAGATTAGGATATAAAATCATGGCCCACCATTAAGGGATTATTTTTGTTTAGGGTAAAAAAAGTACCAAAAAGTATTATTTTCATTAATATTAAAATTAAAGGGATTATTAGAATAATAGCTCTTTTAAAAAACTTTCTTCGGATTTTATAAAGTAATCTTTTCTGTTTAATAACGTATTTTAATACATTAATTAATATATATTTTCACCTCAACTTAACAACGGTTTATTAAAAGTTAAAGGCTAATGTAAGATATGGAAAAGCATAACTGAAATATTCAAATGTCTTAAGATTGGTGCTGCTTTATTAAAAATCAACTTTTATTTATTTTCCATAAACATGAATGTGAGCAGTCTCAAAGTGCTTCAGCGACTGCTCATTAAATTTCAATATTCGGCGAATTACTTTTAACTTGCCTTTAACCTCTAGGCCTTTTGCTTTTTAAAACCAAATTCCCTCTTCCACACCGCTAAGCAGAAGACAACAAAAATTGAGCAGAATAAAAATAATATTATCCCGAAATTTCAACAACTTTATGACCGTGAGGCTGTCCGACCTAGAAATCATTCATCCAGCCATTAAACTGGCTTCTTTTCTTGAGTAAATCAGACTTCTAGCAGTCTGGGTTGCGGCTTTCTTGTTTTTGTTCCCCCCGTTTAGTATCTACGTGGGGGAGAACTGTACTCGTGGAGCACTGTTCTGTGTCATAAGTAAAACATAAGCAACACGGCGGCGGCGACGGCAGGACAATAAAATTTGCTTAAACATTTCCAATTGTTTCTCAATTTCCCAACGAAGGCGCAAAGGAATCTAAGTCGAAAGTTACTCGACGTTTTATGACTGTGAAATTTTCCCATTGTTGGTAATTGATTTTTATGTTAAATCGTAAAAACGATGCTCCCCAGCTTCCTTATTTGTTGGGATGGCGGGAAGAGAGGGATGGGGGCATGAATTTTAGATAAACCCATTCTGTGGCAGCAACGTGTTGCAGTCTTTTGCTTTGCCGCACATGCGGCGTATGCGTAATTGTTTTTGTTTTGGCCCCGCCTTGTCCGCCTTGTATGCTTCTTCACTTTTGAGTTTTTATTGGGCGTCGACATTTTAAATTCAATTGTACGGCGACTTTTTACGTGGTTTAATGAATTAAATTGAACTTTTTATGCGGCAAAAGTTTTTTTACGGCACGACCTCCAGGCGCCAAGTATTTCATCGTTGTTGCGGTTATGCTTAGCCGGGGTTAAGTTTTTTGATTAAAGCCAGCCGCAGCAGTTTATAAATAATGCCCAAGCTCAGTGGTTTAAATGCAGATTTCACCAGGGAGATTTTGCCATGGTTTTAAAAAAAAAAAAACAAAATGAAAGGGGGTGGTGGAAAGTCACGTAATTTGCGAAATGATCCCCATTTCCGTTGCCTACTTGAGGGGGCGGCGACTTTGTTAACACAAATCTTTCCGCTTGTTATTTCTCGGTTTCCGTTCAACTTTTGCTGTTACCAGAGATGGCAATAGATGGTTAAAATCAATACAAAATTGTAGAATAAAAAAGCAATTAACAATAAATTATAATGGGAGACTACCAAGAAGTTTAAACATATTAAAGTCTATATTTCTACCCCATCTTATGTGATATTTCAACATTTCTTAATTTATTTTGTTTAATTAAATATATAAGGTTTTATTCAAGTATATTTATAAATAAATATTACATCTCAATAGTCATCTTTTTTAATCTTAAGATTGTTTTTAAAGCTGTTCCCCTTTTTAAAGTCGAATGGGCATCACCAAAGTTTTCTAATATTTTCTTTTCCCTTACTGAATCCTCTCGTTGTAAATGTCTATATATATATATATACATTTTTTATCCGCTTTGCCCTGCGGCGGCAAAGTTTTTAAAGCGCTGGATGCGACATTGTGAAAATTGAATAAAAACTGTAGCCGCCTTCAGCAAAACCATTTGATGGCATCGATGCCGGCAAATCCTTTTCAGTGCCCGCTCCGATTATTGAATGAATGCGTAATTGATACTCCCGACTGCTGCTGCTGGTGCTTGATGCCACAGGGCGTGAATCAGTCACCGATGTAATCTCGCTCGTTACCCCTTAACCACCACCCCTTGCATTCATTCATACATACATACATACATCGATACAGTTATCGTAGATTGAATATCACTAACCGCAGCTTAAATGTGAGACAATGTCGCCGGTTGGCTAATTTCAATTCAAGTTAATCGCAAATGAATCGCGTCATTGCAAATGCGGATGTTTAGGATATGGGACAGCGGATCCAGATGAGGATGCGGATACGGATGGTGTTGGTCTGAGCGATGTATATATATATATATATATCGGCGGGGTATATGCCACAGGGCGGTCCTCGAACGGTCACGTTCCACAACCGCAATTAGTCGGCGACCCATTGTCAAACTCTGAGGGAGATTTTGGTTTTAGGGGTGATGTGGGGGTGTGGATGGTTGACTGGTTGGCTGGGAGATTTGATGTTGCTTCGTTATTTACAAAAGGCCAAGAGAGATACAAACTCACATCATCATCGGGCACAAACACACACGCAGACAATCAGAACCCGGCCTAATGCAATCAATGTTAATGACATTATGTTGACAAATGTTTGCCATTATTGATGAAAGGCCGACTCGATTCGACTGAATTCGATTCGGTCAGAATCCATGTGCGTGAGTGCTCTGATCAGGCTCGACAAACGTTAAACATTTAATTAGCGCCACAGTTACATCGAGACCTTATTGACCTACCATTTTTGATAGGAATTCTCAGCTGCTTTTAGGTAGAAAATGGTATTAAAATAGAGGAAGAGATTTGAGAGATGCAAAAGGGTGTTAATTCTTTATAAGCTAGAAGGTTAACCAAGTTTTCTGCAGATCGTTTAAGCCGTATAAGAAACTTATTTTAATTAAATATCTTTTATGACTTGTTCTACATAATTTGAAAGATTAGAACTACTCCCCCTAGAACATTCGAATCACTTGCTTTGCTTTAAACTCCAACAGCAACTTTGTGGCTTACCACTTCCGCTTGTTTTCGACTGAATTGGTTCATTGGGAAACATTGCATTTGGAAAGTTTTGCTAGCACACATACTCACACACACACATGTTGCCCAAAATCCAGGCAAATCAAATCGAAGTGGATCAGCCAAGACATACTGGCTATGTGCACTATCGGCCAGAGAAGCGTCAGCCGCAAGTTTCATAACAAAAGCTGGTTATTAGCTGCAAAACCGCCAAAAGCAGTAGCAGCAATGTTAGGAGAAGAAATAGAGTTTCGTCAGCAGGAGTAGGAACAACAGACACTGGAACATTTGCGGCACTGAGAAAAATATTGCAACGATTAGAAACTTATTTTTAACTAAAACAACAAAACTGTAAAAGTAATTCCAGATAATATTTTAAAAAACCATTTATAAAAAAAATATTATTCGAATCTTTAAAGTTTTTAAATCTTTAAAACTTTCTTCTACGTGTTAGGGGCCAAACGCTGACTGCAGTCTTCAGTTTTCAGATTTCATTCTTCAAGTCTGGATTCTAGGGGGTTCTTGGGGCTCTGTTGCTTCAATGGACTTTTGACTTCCGCTTTTCGACGGACGATGTTTGCACGTCCCCTGAGAATGTGTGTATGGATGTATGTATGGGTGTGTGATTTTCATCTTGAGGAGGAACTGAGCGCGTTGTCATGTAATTTTCGCAGCAATGCATCCCCAAGTTGTCCGCTTGCCCTGTCGTCCCATCGTCCTGCCGTCGTGTCCGCTCGATTCCGTGGCTCCTGCTGCTGAAGTCTGCCAGTTAACTCCTTTTTTTGGCCAACTGTCAGCAGAGTGTTCACATGTGTGCGTTGGTTCCTCCTTTATTTGGCTGGTCGCTAGTGTGTGTGCAAAGTGTACTTTATGTTTGGCATTTAAGCGCTGCAATTTCCGCTCAAGTTAGTAGAGCGACTGCTTCCGCTACGCAGCTGCCAGTGCATGGCATATAATTTAGGCATTAGCACACCCAGGCATGCCACTAGCGAGGTGTGCTTGAAAAAGTATTTCAATGTAAATGGGAGAGATGTAATATTTAATAAAAATATATATTTCATCTTAAAATATATTTTTTGAATTGTATAAGTTCTAAAAGTCAAAATAAACTATCCAAATATGTAGGTATTATTATATTGATATCATCTTTAGCTTTTTCGGTAAAACCGAAAACTTAACTGCTGAAAGAAAAGTTTACTGTAAAAAAAGATTCAAAAAGTTATTAGTCTTTAGTTAGTTATTTTACGCATTTTTAGAACATTTTTAGCAAATATTTTCAATATTAGTTAAGAAAACATTTCATAAACATTTCCCACTTTCAATTATCTTTTCAATCTACCCTCTTTCGTTCATCTATCTCTATAAATATATTTTCTTGTTGCACTGCACCACAGGACGCTTTTTTAATAAAGCGACGCCAAGTTTTGCTTGTTGCATGCAGCACATCACCACGAACACCAACACCACCACCCACAACCAGATTCACATCCACAAAATGTATACTCCCCATATATGTCACCATGTCTAACTGAGATTTCCCCTTCCGTCTGCAGGATCGACAGAATGCCCAATCCTCTTGCGCCGGCCTCTTCATTGCCGCCCATCTGGGCTTTGATTATCCCGGCATTTGGTTGCACGTCGATATGGCCACGCCCGTTCATTGTGTAAGTGATTTCAGTTTCAGCTTCAATCCGCTTTATTATTTCACTTTGTACGTATTTAATATGATTTCTGTTCGGGTTCTAGGGAGAGCGCGCCACTGGCTATGGTGTTGCCCTGTTGCTGACCCTCTTCGGTGGCCACACGGACTCCAAGTTGCTGCAATCGATTGCCCCCACCGACGAGGAGCCACCATCGAAACGGCTGTGCCGCGATTAACTCAGCCTGCCTGCCATGTGCCTGACCCCGATAAATACGCATTTTAATCATTTTTTGTCTAATTGTGCTCAAGCATCCAATTTGTATAGCCGACAGGCACTAAACAAAAAAAAAAACAATATTATTTAGAAATAAACGAAGTACGATATTAATATGGGCTTTAGTTTTTTTAAACCAGTTTAAGGTTATCAACAAAAACACATTCCCTTGAAAGCAATAAAGAAAAACCTTAAATTTTTTTCAGCAAACAAATGAGTTGAGTAATTCCTAACCTTATTCTAAGCCCGCTTAAATGAATGGTATTTTTTGAGCCAATTTAATTTGCAGTTTTTGTAGTGTTAACATGCTAAAGTACACGCCCCCATGTCCACGTGTACTTCGCCAGCTTTGTCTTTGTCTGTCATTTCGTCCTTTGGCTGTTCAATTAAGCGACACTCTGGCTGCTGCTGCTGCTGCAGAAGTTTCTGTTGCCACTGTCGTTGCCAGGCGCCCGACATCTAAGTGGATTCATCAGCCGCGGCATGGCCATCGCCATTCTCATCATCGTCAGCGTGATCATCACCAGAGCTGGCATTCTCTTTGCCGTCAGTGCAATTGTGTCGGTGGCAACCATTCCATTCCATCTCCATCACCATACCAAGCCAAGCCATGCCATACCATACCATACCATTCCATTCCCGCCGACAATACAAATTAAATTGCAACATCATTGTGCCACGTCGTCACCGTCAGCGTTGCAATCGCATCGCATCGCTGCAGCCGTCTTTGTTGCCTACTTTTGTGCGCTCCAGAGCTTCACGCTCGCGAGTTTGTCAGCTGTCAGAGAGGGAGGACAAGGGTGGTGGGTTGGAATGCCACGCCCTCACCTCTCCCCAGACAACGCCCACCGACTAATGCCAATGCCGTGCACTTTTATTTGCTGAATTACCCGAACATCCGCCCGCCTTCATTTTTATTTGCTTTGTTATTCCATTTGCTTTTTGGGGGGTGTTGAAGCCCTTTTGCGCTTTTATTGTTTAATTAGCTTGAAATGCGTTTATTTTCATTCGTAAGTGCTGTAAACAACGCGTCAGGTTGGTCTATATATATATATATATATATTCAGGTGATTTGTTAAATCCTAGTAATTCTACCACCTTACCACCCTCGGGTATCATTCGTCCTCCATTTTGCTTAAGCCAGCAATTGCAATTGCACTTGCAACTGAATGGTGGCACATGCTGCAAGTGCAGTTAACATTCCGTAGTGGATGCCAAGTGTAGTTACCCCACTTTTGCCATGGCATAGTCTGGGGTTTTATCTTGTTAGCGGATCAGTCGAGGTCGCCTTTCAGGGAATTGGCAATATCGAACACTGGCAATTGTATTTTAAGCGGTGATTCCCTGTTGAGATAAATGTTAGTTATATGAAACGTTGAGTTAATGGTAGTTCTAATTGGACTGCATGAAAGTGAAAATATATTAGACATTCTAAGAACAAAGATGGGTAAATTATATGTCAGTCGATTTCATAATCTCTTTTCCTAAAATGTGGTTATAATTTGTCTGTAAACTACTAAGAATTAGAAAGTAATTTATCCGTTTAAACAAAGTACTGTTGCACATTACTGAATAGAATTTCTACATTATTTACACAAAACATGCCACAAATATTTCATAGCCATTAAATGATTTGCATAATTCAATTACTAAACATAAACTGCTGCCAGCTAGCTTAGTAGGTGGGATTATTTGAGCTTTGCACACAAAAAGCCAAATTATAACAGCTTTTTATTAAAGGCAGAGCGTAAATAAATGATACTTGACAGATGTTATATATCCACTGCTATTGCAATTTACTTTGGTGTGAATTTATTGATTTTTAAATAATTAGTTGAACTTTTTTTTTTTTTGTTAAATTTATAGAAAAAAATATGGTTAGCAAAACACATAAAAATTTAAATCCATATTTTGACACTTTATGTTTTTCATTGGCCAATTTGAGTGGGAAACATAAGCGCTGTGGAATCTGTGGCATCAGTTGCAAGTGAATTACAAACAGCAATGAAATTGGATTGTTGACTGCATACATATCACTCATACGACGCGTTGGCGGCAAACGATCGACCTCGACCCCATAGAGACTGAACCCTAAACTAAACGGCTTACCAGCGGGGCTCAAGGCAACTGCTCGATGGACGGCACAGCAGACACCATCTACCACTCCCTGGACATTGGTCATAAATATCTTCACACTGCCACTTGGACAACAGACTTTAAATACACTCAAAGAAAATCTTAATATAATTTCATATTTGCTTTAAAGAACCTGTATGAAGTCTTCCAAAAAAGATGTGTTGTTTTGTTTTGAAATCTAGTTAAACATTCGAAATTTCTGACATATTCAAAAGTTTTCCTTCAGTGCAATATCGTTCATTGTCCAGTCATCCAGGATGCCTCTGCAGCAGCAGTTGACTTTTGCCGCATTGGCGCTTGGCCCCCAGAGCATTTGCCCGGGTTTTTTATGCTCACAACTCAATTTGAAGGCAACTGGCCGAAGTGCGTGCCCGGGAAAACAAGAGCAAGAGGACAGGAGAAGACTGTGGGAACACAAGAAGCCGGGAGAAGGAACAAAAGCAATATTAGAATTTGTTGCCGGGCCGTGCGGCTTTTGTGGCACTTCTCATTGTTTTTCCCACAGAGCATCCTTGTTGTTTCTCCTATCCATGGCATGGCCAGGACGTCAGCACGACAGCTTAACCCCAGCACAGCGTTTAAGCTGCACAAGTTTCGAAACAAATCCCGCCCAGATCCATAATTCTTTTCCGCACCTAAAGTGACAGAGATCTCGGCTTAGTGTGCCGTCGCTGCCGTTGCCATCTTAATGTTTAATTTTTATGCCAGTCCCCTGAATTATGCAAGGCGCCACAGAGCCACTGAGATTTCCTCCCTCAATTCCCAATGCTCAATATGAAAAATAGATAATAATTTTATCCGCTACTGAAGTGCGTGTGCGTGTGCGGGGAGGGGCAGGGGTGAAAAATCACAGATAAATAATAGAAAACGATGAGAGGCACATAACAAATTGTCAATTTATAAAGTGAAAGTTTTTTGGCCAGAAGCTAATGGATGCCAAAAGTTTAATAAATAATAAATTAACCGAAATATCTTTGTGGCTAGGGTTTGGAAAAACAAAAGCGAACTGCGAAAAATATGGAGAAAATGATTCTCGGCGGAGCAATAGCTGTCATAAAAAAAAAAAAAACATTGGGTACTGGAAAACGAATGAAAAGGCGCAAGGAAAACCGCAGAGCAGGTGGCAGCGGGGGTGGTCGGTTGCTGATTTTCCCTTTGGCGGCCTTGGGGCAATAGCTTAAAATTAGCCATAAGCAAAATTACTGTAAAATGGTTTAAATGAGTGTAAGGGCAGGGGAATATAATAAGCCCACAAAAAGCGCATAATAGAAAGGCCAGCTCAGAGTGGTCCGCGAAATAAAGGTCGCGATGGGTGGGCGCCACATAGCCAACTCCCAACTCCCATGGGGCGTCCTGTTAAATGAAGAATAAAGCAACAAATACAAATACAAAATGTGCCTTGCAGACTGGTTATATACAGTCGGGGAAGAATAATAAAAGCAACAAAAAAAAATTTTTTTTTTAATTATTAAAATTATAATTTGTATCTCCAAAAAGGAAATAAAAATATTGATGCACGACTTTTGGTCATAAATACTTTCTAAAAATATTATTCCTTAAAGTAAATAAGTATAAGTTTTTAATATGGAAAAAGGTTCACAAGGAAAGGCAATTAATAATATAAATTCATTGATAAAAAAAAACTAAAAAAGAAACAGTATACTTTGTAATCAACTTCGTTAAGTTAGTAAAATTTTAGAGTGTATAAATATTTTTGTATATAATTACATACGAATTATGTAAAATATGTCAATGTTTTCTATATTATCCTTTTTTTTGTAAAATCTTCTTTTATACAACTCTTTTTCTTTAAATCTAAAATACAAAAATGTTCTATAACTTTTACAACTCCTATTATTTTTCCCACGACTGTATTACCTTCTGTCGGATGGCAAACATATTTTATGAGTTTTATTGTTGCCGCTGTTGGTTCTTGTCTCCTGGCGAGGCTGATAATAAAACTTGGCCGCTGGCAAGCATCGCAGCCCGCTGGGAGCATAATCGAGCCTTTTACATTGGTCCTGGGTGCCGGCACATGTAACTGTGTGTGGGTGTTAAAGTGAGAGTATATTTGTGTCTGATTTCATGCTAAAAAGGAAAAGAACAAATATTCAAAAATCCCGCACATTTCTACGAATTTCACACACACTCTTGAATCTAATAAATTATTTAAATATGCATTTTTTTCATTTGAAGTGCCGAAAGATACATTTATCAATTTGTGAAAATTAAAAGGAAATACAATCGCGCTTTTGAAGTGTTTTACTTGATTTTATGATGAAAATTAAAAGAGCCAAAGATTTGGTCTCAGGATTTATTAAGTGACTTTTTTTTAATATAAAATGTCTTATTTGCTAAAGGGATAATATAAAATATATATATATATGAATTCCCTGGACAAAGCTCTCTTTCAAGGAGGATTAACCGGAAAGTACCAAATGGTGTCCCCTGTTTCAGTCTTGTATATTTTTTACTACTATTGCTCCTTTTCGAGTTTTAACAAAATTGAAAATGCAGGAGCGCAACTGCAGTAGGAGCAGCAACAGCAGCAGCAGGTGAAACAGGCTGCCCGAAGGACTCTACTTAAATACCCAAAAGCGACTTTGACAAGCCTCATTAAGGATACATCGACAGTGTGCAGTAATAAGGAACGTAATAAAATAATGCTGTTGCAAATTGTGCTCCCTTATCTGTTGTCTGTTCAAGTACAGATAATATCATGCACTTATGCTGCTAAATATGCTTTTTGCTCACACACTTTTTTGCTCCCAGGTTCATGGGGATAAAATGCTTTAAGGCGTAAGTAAAAAATAAAAAAAAAGAAAGAAGGACCTGGTACAGGATTGACAACGGCATGAGCATATTCAAATTGCTTTCGGGCAGCTAATAAAAAGCTTGTAATCAAGTGGGACGGCACTGTAGATGGGGGGTGGCAGCAAACTTTTAGCTTTACTCAAGTCACAAACTTGGACATGTCAGAGGCAAAAAGAAAAAAAAATTTACTAAAAATAAAATAAAATAAAAATAAAAAATAAAAAGGGGAAATATGCTACTAGGATATGCATGAGCAGCAGCTTATGCACAGCATAGCTCATGAGTTTTGCATGGAGTTGTGCAGTTGATAGTTCCTTGCAGGACGAGATGGAAAAGTATTTGGAAAAGCAGCTGACTGGTTGGGGGGGCTGGCTGGCAGGCAGGCGGCTTCTCCTTGCACTTATCCAAGTGCACAAAGCAGCTAAGCAAAACACTCGTTGCAGCCAACTTAAGGCTAATTTAAGTGACTGAATCTGTATCTATCCGAGTGAGTGGCTATGTGTGTGAGTAGAGTGCGTGGCTCTCGGCTTTTACTCCAGGGCCTTCAATGGAACAGCAGAAAGAGAAGGTCTCTCCAAGGAGCTGCTTTCGACTTTTACCTGGCCCAAAGTGTCCCGGGTTAAGCTGCTCGCCTGCCTTTTCCGTTCAGCTTGCCATCATCAATGAAAATGCTCGTAAATTATGCAAGCCTAGGAAAATAAGCTGCACTCAAAAGCGTTTCCTTCCTTCTCGCCGTCGTCGTTGTCGTTCTTCACTGCAAGCACTTCTCTGTTCTTTGCCAGCACTTTGCCAATAGCTGAACCGAACGGGTGGCGTATGCGTGATATTCAATTAAATTACATAACGGCCACGCAACGTTGCCGCTTGAAAACAGCATCGAGTATTATATTTTAATTTTTAATCTCCCCTGAGATTGATTACTCGAAAATTGCAATATTTGATTGCCCATCTTGGCACGAGTTGTCGATTGCTTAAAAACGTAAATATCTGCTATATAAACAATCTTAAAAGAAAATCTTGAAAGACAAAATAGCAGTTTGAACTTTTACGAACAATCACCAAAACGGTCTTATCTTACTAATTAGTATAGTGATATTTCCATATAAATTTTATTGTCGGGCTAGACGGTAGCAGTTTTGGATTATCCATGGATATATTAGAAGCTTTTTGATTCAATTAATTTTAATGGAGGAAATAGAAATCTATTTGGCAGACAAAAAAAACTTTAAAAGGGTATTTTAACTTCAACTTTCAAAAGTGGAAAGACTTTTTGACTTCAGCCTATATAAAGAGCAAAGTCTTTTGGAGAGTTTCCATTTGTAAAATCGAATCAAAGGCGAAATGAAACTGAAGTCTTTTTGCTAGAGAAGTCTAATTTCACTGAGAAAGTGAAAAAACCCACATGGATTTCTTGAGGCTTCCGTTGATTTACTATAACACCGTTGGCCTAGCACCTTTTCAATTTTCGGAAAACGAACAGAAAGCTAAACTGCTTCGCCACATATACTTTGCTGTCCAGATGACCAACCTGAGCTTTATGCTTACTATGGAGATTTGTTGTAGTGTCCATGCGGAATAAGGTGAACTTTCTTAGAATCCTCTGAAGAAATGAATTAAATTTTGTTGATAATAGTTGGACTTTCAAAGTTCATTCCGGAGATCATTCAACAACAGAATTCCATCACCTCAGCAAAAGTTGCATCAGGAGTATGCCGTAAGTGATTACCTGAAGCGAAGTCACTGGATCACCAAGGGTTTTGGTGGCCTCTACCCCATCCAGTACACTATCCTTAAGATGCTAGATTCGCCAAGTGCCAAGCAATCAATGCCATATTTTATGTTGGCTCCATGGGACTACCACGATGACTGGAAATTCTACTTCACCTATATGTCCCAAGCGATTGCTCGCTATACGGCCACCTTTGGTCACATCAATATCGATATCATGATCTTCGCTGTCACTGTACAGGCCACCATGCACTTCGATCCCTTGTCCAGGGCTCTCAGGGAGTTTAAAGTGCGAGAAAGGGGATCTGTAAAGAGGATATAAGGGAACTAGAATCCTTGGTTAGTTATCATAACCAAATTCTTTGGTAAGTATAAGGTTTTTCTAATATTTCACCGATGTGATGAACGAAGTGTTTGGTTTGGATTTTGATTTGCTTGATGGGTTTCAAGATGATTTATATTACCGACTGTAGAGATATACCTTCTCTGCTCCATGAGACAGATGCTGATCGATGCGGTAAGCTAATATAAGTTAAATACTCCATTTAGTAGTAACTAATATTTTCATTATTCATAGTTTAGAGTGAAAATGTAGGCTTTGCTACCTATGACTTGAATTGGCTTGAAACGGATCATCGCTTTTGAAAGATGCAGATGGTGATTGCTTTTTTGTTTAAGAATATTTTTAATTTCATTTAACAACATTTTCTTGCAGTACTTGCAAATGACGTATAAGTTTTTCTGCGCTATTGAAATGTACCAGTTAAAGGATGAAGTGCACAAACTAAAATTAGTAAAACCAATAAAATTCGTTTTTTCATTTTCAAGGATATTGTTTAGGAAGTCTGACGTTCAAAGTTTCTGTAGGAATTTTTGTTTTGCCTTTAAAATCAATAAATATTGCCTTGTTTGAAAAAAAAAAAACATTAATAATGAACTTTACGAACTGAATGACTTCGCATTAATTTAAATTACACAGCTGAAATAAAGGTTAGCTTTTCGCCTATGAAGTTTGTTATTCCTTAAATTTGGAAACTCGAAATTGTGATTTGAATAATATCTAAAATTGGCTTAAGTACAATAATGATTTATAGATTAAGTGGAAACTTTAGAACTAAAAGGAATCCTCATTCCTCGATTTCTTCTCAGTGTACGAATGTCTTTGAAATGGTTTTTATAAATAAAAAATAAAATTTTGCACCGACTATAAAAGCGCGTTCGTTTTTCTCTTCGACGCAATTTTGTTGAGAAATCGTAACCGTAATGTGTTTCAAGTTTTTAAGGAACATTTTTCCAACCAAAAACCCGGAGCAAGTGCATCCTGAGGTTGCAGATTTTTTGAGGCTGCCGGTGATATACTACAATACCGTTGGCCTGGATCCCTACGAATCCTCGACCGGTGAAAATAAACGAGGAATCCTGTTCCACATATACTTTGCCATTCAGATAACCAACTTGACGTTCGTGCTGGCCATGGAGATCTCGTATGTGGTTGTTTCGTTTCGAAACAACGAGAACTTCCTGGAATCCTGCATGGTGATGAGTTATATAGGTTTTGTAATAGTTGGAGAATTGAAGTTCATAACGGTGGTATTTCGCAAAAGTAAATTGACTAATCTTGTGAAGCATCTGGAGTCATTTTTTCCGGAACCGCAGGATCACGAGGAGTATGCAGTGAAGTATTATTTGAAGCGCTGCCATCGTTATACCAAGGGATTTGGTGGCCTCTACACGACCTTGGTGGTGGTTTATAATCTATTCGCTTTGACCCAATACACCATACTCCAACTGCTGCACTCGCCGAATGCCAAGCAAATTCTGCCGTACGTGAATATGGCTCCTTGGAATTATCGGGTCAAGTGGAGATTCTACTTGACCTATCTCTCGCAATCGATGGCTGGGTATATGGCCACGTGTGGTCATATTTCCGGTGACCTTATGATTTTTGCCGTCGCCATGCAGGTCATTATGCATTTCGATCGTCTGGCCAAGGCTCTTAAAAAATTTCAGCTGGAATTTTGTTCTGGATCTCCTGAGGCAGCTGAAAAGGACTTACAGAAGCTGCGGAATCTGATTGCATATCACAATAAAGTCCTAGGGTTAATAATTTTATCAATTACTTATTTTATGTATATATATAGAAGATATTTCGTATTTCATCAAATAACCTCTACAGGCTCACCGATGTGATGAACAATGTCTTTGGGATTCCTTTGCTCTTGAATTTTGCCGCATCCTCTATGCTTGTGTGTTTTGTGGGATTTCAAATGACCGTTGGCCTTGGCCCCGAGCAGGTGGCCAAGCTGTCATTGATACTGGTCTCTGCAATGGTGGAGATATATCTGCTGTGTTATTTTAGTCAAATGCTTATTGACGCGGTTTGCTGAGAATGTCTTAGTTATATTTCTCACTTTCTAACTGTTCATACTTTTCCAGAGTAATAGTGTATCCTTTGCCGTCTACGATATGAATTGGATGGATGCCGATTTACGTTTTCGGAAAATGCTCATTTTTCTAGCTCTCAGGGCTCAAAGGCCAGTATGCCTAAAGGCAACAGTTTTTCTGGATGTGTCCATTGCAACCATGAGTGCAGTAAGTTATTGTCGATTTCTTCTATTAAATTAAATTTACCTTTTTTTCTTCTTATAGTTCTTGCAAATGTCGTATAAGTTCTTTTGTGCTATTCGTACGATGTACCAGTAAAAAAGGAATCATTATCCTTAGAATGACTATAAACTATGGAAAAAACCCACTTTTATATTAGAGATAGTCAGCACAACATTACGTCTTTGTTATAATCTCTTGATAACCTTCATTATCCGAATTGAAACTGTTTAGCTGAAATATATGAGTTTGTATTAGAACTATAAAATCGTTCTGGACATAAAACTTTTAAAATGAATTGCTTGGATTCACTCATTTATTATTTTTCGCTGTTAAACACAAAATGACGGTAAACTTTTTAATTAGGCTGGCGAAGTTTATGCGACTTTAATAAGACTTTAATGATTAACGTGGAGAAGAATGAAAATAACCAGCAGTATGCCTGCAGTAGAAAAACAGTTTTAACGTAGACTAAGGCGACTTTAGACGACGTCATTCGCATCTGAAGAAAATGCTGTTCAGTGCTAGAGTTGAAAGCGGAAAAAAGAAGCAAAGCTAAAAGGAAAAGTTGCATAAGGTGAAGAGGCTATCTTATAGCACAAACACACACACATACACAGAGCTGGGCGTAAAGTAGGCGTGACACGGTCGAAAAACTTGAGCCACGTTGAACTTTGGCCTTTCGGAGCTTGGCCGCGTTTACCTTGGCCGTAAACTTGTCCCAAAGACTTGCCTTGCTTGGCAATTAGTGCACCTTTCACAAGGTAACTCTAGGGCCAGTGATGAGAAAGAGTGCAAGCTGGAACTTACTTTAAAGATATAATTTAATATTAAAGAAAATATTTAAATAATTAATTATCCTTTACTGGGAGAGCTACCTTTACTGTAGGTGTTACTAGCTTAGTAACTTTTTTATACAAATATTAAACTAAGGTTAAAAAACAATCTTTATAATCTCAAAAATATGTTCTTTTTATTTAGTAATTTGAGATAGTTATCAAAAATATTAATTCTTGTTCTTTGTGCATCTTCGAAATGCATATTTTTGCTTACCTACTTGAAATTATCATCTCTCCCCGCCCTTTTTTTTAACCCTTAAATGTGTATATATGTTAGTATGTAGGTCTGGGCGAGGCCATTTAATTCATTTTCAGTAGCAACAGCAGCAGGAAGCAGCGAACACTGTCGCTTTTGCACACAATTTCTCATTCAGTTCCAGAAGTTTCGCTCGCTCACAAGTTTGTAATTCTTGGCCTGTTAACAAAGTTCATAAATACTTGAGAAAGTTGGCTGGGTTTACCCCGGCCCAAGGCCAAAAGGATAAGCGAGGGAACCTGATTTCGCATCCACGTAATTGGTATTGTACTTGATTCATGTTCACAGGTGGGAACAGGTGGGATTGCAGTTCATTATCAGTTGATTGGCTGGGTTGAGTGACCTTTGGAATGTTCAAGGGAATCATTAAATACCACAGATATTCGCCGATATTCCCTTTTATGGCCAACCCAACTAACTAACTAACAGTTTTAATGGCTGGCAACTATTTGGTAAGTGCCTTGGCCATAAAATTGAATCGAGCATATTGAATACTTAGTTATATATTGCTTGGCGTCCGGAGAACAATTTGAAATCCCTCCGTTTCCATCCCCAAATGATTTTCTCCCCTTTCCCATTTCACCGACAGTCAAAAGCACAGCAATTGCAATTGAAAAGCGCGAAGGAAGTTTCGGGGGAAAGGGGGAAAACCAACCCATCGTTTGCCAATATCAATGAGATCTCCGGAACCCGGACTCAATTCGCTTTGTTGCTCACTCGCCGCTTAGTCCCCGTCTCTTTTTGCCCCAGCTTACCCGTCTCTTTCGCTCCCTCCAGCGAGGGAGCATTTGAAATTTTAATTATAAAATATTGCTGGCAAAAGTTCTCAGGTCGGCAACGGTAGACCGTGCTGATGTGTTGGATGTGTGCTATCAAAGGAGGTAGCTAAAGGCACAGTGGATATAGCTTAAAGGAAACTGAATAAAAATGAGAAAGAATTCAAGATGTTTACTAGAAATGTATTGAAAAATTTAAAGGGGTATAAAATATGTTTAAAAAGAAAAAAAGTTAAATCTTTCATTGAAATACATTTTTAATTCATATTTCTCAGGAACTACCCCATTTTCTTGAGGATTTATGTTTCTAATAAATATTTATTAAGGTTTTAAAATCCCTTTTAGGCATTAATAAGTGTATAATTTTGTTATTTTTCCTAAAATAAACTTAACATTTAATTCAAGAGCTATTTAAAGTGATATCTGAAATCCTGACAAGTGGATTAGGGATACGTTTAAACTGCATGAGCATTTGGGGACACTCTCGTATATACATCGCCATCCTGTATCCCCAATGCGTCCTGTGTCCTCGCCATCAGTGACTTCACCAACCCACTCGTAATCACGTTACACACACTGTGTCCGTGCGTCCTGTCAGAAGTTCTCGCTGCAGGCATTCCATCGATGGTTCGTTATCTGGCATTTGGCATGGGGCTAGATCAATGTGGCGCAGGTGAGTAGCACAGGTGATGCAGTGGGTCTTTCTAGGAGAGAGGAGAGGGATAAGGACGAGATGGAGCTGGAGATGTAGTGGAGCAAGCATGGAGACGGTGGGGCCTTTGCACTACTTCAAAAAGTAATTGTTTGCGATTTGGAGAGTGTGGCGTATGTCGGGTAGACTTTGCCGGGGATTGGGAGATGCAGTCAGGCAGTCAGGACGGCGAGACTCTTGAGACATTTGAGTGGCCAAATGGGCGATGGGTTGGTTAGTTGGTAGCTAGAATCGGGGGCATAACGATGACAGCAAACGAGCTGCAGTTAAAGCTGCCTTGGGCTCACCATTCGTATATATCTCCTTGTTCCCATCTCCAACCATTGTTCTCCTCCAATCGTTGTCTCTGGCAGTGACTTTCGCTTTAGGAACGAGTTTATTTGCAGTCGAAATATGTCCCCAGACGGCAACAATAGCAATTAGTTCATTGTCAATAGTTTGCTCGTTGAAAATTTTCAGGACTAGAAAAGGCAAGGACATAGTCGACTGGCAAAGGGGGAGGTAGGGTTGGGGAGAAGGCGGCAAATTTAACTAAATTGTAATCGGAATATGCGCATGCAAATGGCATTAGCCTGGAAATGCAAATTACTTTACGGCATGCCAGTTGGAAATTCAGGCGAAGGATGCCAAGGACAACTGCCACAACGATGATGATGATGATGTTGATTATGATGGGAATGAGAATGGAGAAAATAGGATGCACTCAAATTGCCAGAGCTTAAATGAAGTAAGCTAATTAATTTTGCATTGTCTTCACTGACCCTTATGCCAGTATTGCCATCACCACCATCACCCTTTCGATTTTGGGGCCTTCGGATTGCGAATCCTTTGTGCCCCGGATGTTTACTTTTCATTAATTGAGTTGTGCAAAAGTCGTCCATAATTTCCATGCGCCTGTCGCGCAGCCTGCTGGCCATTACACAATACGGCAATTCCACTACCACTACCCCCACCAATTTTCCCTCCCCCATGGCGCCAGACTGTTAATGACATCGTTGAGTGTCTTGGCGGCAATTGTGCAAACTTTATATTATCATCGCTGGCATGACATGGCCCAAAGAGCATTTACCCAAGTAAAATCCTTTTATTTCCTCCGTAATTTTCTGTATTCCCATTGGATACGGAATGAGAGTATGGCCAAAAAGATCTCGACTTACTTTCAGAGACATCGATACGTGATTGCTTGGCATGACTATGCCCTTTGGGACATCGATGGCTTAATGCACAATTATCCACTGAAAACTTGTTAATTTCGCATATTGTCTTCCGTTGAAAGCCGGAATGTTCGTAATCCAATAATTGCAAGACAGAGCATGGTTATTGTTTTTAGCATACATGGATTTTAGCAAATTTCAATTTTAAGTTCGTGTTTTGATTAATTACAACTTGTAATTGACTAATTAAGATGCTTCGCCTAGTCTATATTGTTATGATTTACTCTCATTGTGTTGTTTTTGTTAATCAAATGTTTGGTTGAGCTTTAGTAATTAAATATTATGATTTTTAGAGTCAATGAGAAATAACAGTTGCTATTTTGCAATGAATGCAATGCAAACTTTCAATTTACGTTTTTGTTGAAATTGTTTGACATGGATTAATGTTGATTATGAACATGTTAATTTTGAAATCTGTTTTAGTTAAACTGTGTAAAAATGATAATTTCAAATATTAGAAACTTAGAAAGTAGAAATTTAATAAAAAATATTATTCTGGATGTTTCTTTCCTTTAATTTATTCTTCAGATTTTAAGCATTATAAAATGTATTGTTATGTAAACCTTATAAGTTAGTTAAGTTACTTAAAAACTATTATAAATAAGTAACTTCCCCCACTAACATTTTTCTTTTGGCAATAAACCACTGTTATAGGCATTTTCAATGCAATTTTCTGTGTCACTTGGGACGCAATTACCTGGAGGGTCATCGGTTGAGCTCTGATTTAATTTCTTTTTTACCAACATATGCCATCCAGCGAATTTCCGCTTCATTACGTTCGCAAACCAATTCAGTGTGGGAGCGAGTAGAATGTTTCCCTATACATCGTATATCGGATCAGAGCAAAGTTCGGGATGGTGTTTTTTTTTCTTTAAGATTTTGTTTTTTGCCATTAGATTGGTAAACTAGCAAAAATAGAAGATTGCGGGCTGCCTTAGAGGGAAAAGAAAGAGCAGCAAAATATATAGGGAAAAGAAATGAGCGAAATGGTTTCTACGGCATTTGTGTAACCAAGCATAAAGATGCTCGCTAGCAAAAGCACAAGCAAGTGGGCGGGCGACATGCATAAGAGCCAGTGGGCGTGGCAAAGGGTGGGTGGTGTGTGTATATGTGTGTGTGTGTGTTGACGAGGTCGCGCCCAAGACGACAAATTGAGCGAATGGATGACAATTTCGATTTGTGTTGTAAAAACTGCAGTAAACTGCAAAAAAACATCAAGCAATAGAACGGAATGTCAGCGAAGGCAATGGACAAAGTAGGGTTGGAAAAAAAGGGGGGTGGTAAAATTGCAAAAAACAAACACACACACACACACACAACTACACGCAGAAAAAA